ATAGGTAATGTGCAAAGATACTTCCAGAACTGACCGCTTCTCTTCTTATAAAACTTCTTTTCACATTATCTTTCCAAAAGCTTTCTATAAGTGCTGGGTTTCCTGTTTGCTTAAGAGCTTCCAAAATGGCTTTCTGGTCATTTGTCAGTGTGCTTTCATCTCTATATGGTTCTTTTTTGGTTTGCCTTTCTTTTACATCTGACATCGTTAAGCCTTCATATTCTGTTAAATCATACATCTTTATTTCAGTAAGATTCTTTATGTTTGTCAAGAAGAAGTCATAGTGCATTTCAACAATACCTGCAGCATTTGCTTCTATCTCTGATATAAAGTTCTCCTTCAAGAGCTGATGTAGTAATGTTCCAATATTATTGAGGTTTAACGTAGAACATTCATACTTTCCACCAAGTTTATAACATACCATCCATCTCTGTTGTGAGTTTATTTTAATTTTCTCTAAGAGTCTCATGAAAACCTTACCGAATATTTTGTGTAATAGTCTCTGTTTGGTTCATCTAAAGCTTCGATGTTAAAGTCAATGAGTCTATTGCCTGACTTCACATTTCTCTTCCTATTCTCTTCATCTTTCTTTAACCATCTCTCACCTTCTTTTGGTTTGTCGTCAATGGAACGAATGACATCGTTAGCTTTGCGAACTTGTTCTATAGCACTTTTAAACATCTCTCTTCTCTGTTGTTTCAGTGTGTCGTCTCTTCTTCTTGTTTCACCAACGTTTGCATTTGTTATGTCAAACATTTCTCTTCTTACTTCATGAGGTATTGAACGTCTATGATATAAGTCAATAGCAACGTCATTTAAAGGAAAAGTTCTTGCATGGACTTCGTCCTCGCCGCGTTGCGGCTTTATGAACTCATGAATTCTATCATAACTTATTGCACCATTATAGTCTTTAATTGAAGTCAGCGAGTGCTTTTTTGTTTGTCGCGTAATGTTTTGCAACATCTATGTTAGCTTCTGTAAGAAGTTGTTTATTTCCGAGTGTTCTAACTTAGACAACTTCCGATACATCTTTAGTAGGAAATAAAAAAATATTTTTTTGAAAAAATTAGATTAGATTTTTTAAGTTATTTTTCAAATAATTAATATTTTTATTTAAGAAACACATGCAAGATTGCAAGTTCTTTTCATACAATGCTCTCGCTGACTGCCATCAAGAATGAGTTTCAATGCTTCAAAATGTTAATGTTATCTTTAACAAGAAGTTTGTGAAAGAATCTAAGTTTGGTCAGTATGTCAGACCATTAGCTATCGTCATTGACCGCAAACGTTATACTTCACAAGAGTAGCAGTAGTTTGAAACAAAAGAGTTTCTTCGTGAATGTCAAAGATACTCATTATACTGTCATAAAGAACTCTAACATTGACTTCTTCAGTATTGCTATGAATCTTTCCGAACAGAAAGAATATAAGAAGGGTGAAACAAATGTGAAATATTATCCTTCATCTCTGAAGACAATAACGAACAAAGATGTTATACAGAAATTCTTACCAAAGGTTGAAGAAGCTTCTATTGACATTGACGAAGGAAGTGAAATGGTTGAAGAAATTGACCCTGACGTCATTTAAGCAAAAATATATTTTTGGTTAGTCTTCATATCGATATTTTACAACAATTCCCCAATGTATAAACTTTTCATACGCTTTTTCATAAGCTTTATATACCTTCAGAAATTTTGCATAATCTTTAGAAGCATTTAGATATTGTTTAAATGCTTTATATACCTTCAGAAATTTTGCATAATCTTTTACATGTTGTTCGTTCTCTTCTTCTGTCATGAGTTCCGAATATTCTAAATTCATGTTCTTTCATATGAGATAAAATTTTATAAAAAAATAAAATTAGCTTAGATTTTTTTATTCTTCCTCTTTGAAGTTATCGAAATATTCTGTTATTTTTTCCTTCAGTAATGGTAAGTCTTCTTTGAATGTAAGTATTGTGCAACCTTTGATGTCATAGTGTGTTTGAGGAAGAGTACTTTTGACAATTTCCTTTATTTGCTCATTCGGTGTCATTGAAATCGGTAAGTTTTCACGATAGAACCATTTCTGTCAGATTGTAAATTTAGCGAGGTCATAAAAGCTCTTGTTGTTTCTTCTGACTAAATGCAACATAACCATATCTTTATCTTCTTCTTTCTCCAACTCTTCAGCGTAAATCATATACTTAACTTTTCCTTTCCTTTTGGTACTGAACGCGGTATTCTTTTCTGTATGCTTTTGTCTTTGGATTCAATGACTTCATCTTTTGCTTGAAGTTTCTTTTCCATCTCTCCACGTTCTGCTTTATATAGTTCATCTAACATCATGAAAATATAACAAGCATAACGAGGTGAAGCCCACATTGCTACAGCATTTACTAAAAGTCTATGAACATAATAACCTTTCAAACCAGGTGCCAAATTCTTGCGATTTTCGTACGGAATCTCTTCTCTCGGTTTTCCGAGGGAAGCAATCATATGAGGAAATTCTTCTAAAAGTTCTTTTGTCTGTTGGTTTTCAAACCAATGATATGCTTGCTTTGTAGAACGAAGAGCATTCATTATACTTTGCATTTGTACATATCATCTTTGACGAACGAATGAGCGAAGTTGTTTGTTATATTGTATGTATTCGTATTCTTCATTTATGGCTTCATGAATATAGCAGTTGTTGTGTTCTCTGATGTTGACATTACTGTCTTTACATACAAAATAAAAAAATAAATAAAAATAAAACTAACTTTATTTTCTGACTTTCACAAAAGACCAAAAATAAACGCTTTACATGTATTTTTCAGCAACTTCGTCAAATAATTTTATAGCTTTATCTATCTCATCTACTTCAAACGTTTCTTTACCTTTCATGGGAGCACCATACATTTTCTCAAACTTTTCAAGTAGTTCTGTTTCTGCAGCTCTCATATCATTAACGAACACAACCTTGACTCTATTGACTGTACTGTCATATCTTTGAGTTATATTATATGTTCTTCCTATCTTATATCTTTTTGTGTTGAAGTCCTTCGGTTTCTGAACGATATAAAGTAAGCCTTCACTGCAACGTTCCGTATCGAATGAACCATATGTTATGAAGTTATATCCAACAACTGGGTCTAACCATAACAAAACTATTGGTATAAGACTTTTGTCTATAAGATATGCTCTTGTTCCATGAAATGCTACTGATATCATAAGCTCAGGATTTCTTGTCAAAATTTTCTGAGTTGAAGCATTTCTAACCCAGTCGTTTGTTTTCTTTCCAGATGGAGATATAATGTCTGACAAAGAATATTTGTTGTATTTCTTTGAGTATCTTACGTTTAAATCACCTATTCTAACCACTTTGGTGTCATTGTCTATCTTTCTAACTGTTTCAAACTCAATGTTTGTCATTACTGTCTTTACATACAAGATAAAAATTTTTCTTAGAAAAAATTAGCGTTATTTTTCTTTCATAAGGAAATGTCAAAAATTCATGATTTTTCGTGAATTTCCTTAAGATAGAAAAAATAATGTTTATGTTAGCATGTTAGATCTAACACGTTTTCTAACCACTTTTCTAACATAACTATTTACAAGCGTTTTACATGGTATATGTTGCGATGGTTCATGACTTTAAACAGTTTTGTAGCTTCTATTTCTTCACGAAGGATATCAAAAATTTTAACTATGCCGAAGGTTTCTTTATATTTCTTCTTGACATCAGATAATAGGAAATCGTCAGCTGTTGGATAGTTTTTGTTCAGAAATGCTAACATGTCCATTTTATCTTCTGCTGGCTTTTCTGCTTCTTTCTTTAAGTCTGCGTAATCGTTTCTCATTCTTTCTATCTCTTTTACTGAGTAGTTATATTTCCTCATTGCTGCTTTACATTTTGAACATTGCGGATTCATTTTTGCGTTATACATTGAAATTTGACCTGCTAGAACAACTAAGGTGTCAATGGTTTTCTTTAACTCAAAAGTTGTTGGTTTTATTTGTCCATTCCATATTTTACATCTTTTATCTTTATCTCTTATCTGCCATACACATTCAGCAACTAATGAAACAAAGTTGTCGTATGTCTTAAACTCCCCAGATTTATATATGTCAGAGATGTTCTTATATACCATGTCGCAATCTTTGTCCATAACTTTATGGTTGCAATGATATCCTAGAAACTCATAGTTTACTTTACGTATGAACTTCTTTATTTCTACTGAGTCAGTTGGTTTCACTTCTATTTCATCGAATTCATGAATAGTGAGCTTTTGTTGTTGGATTTCAGGCAATTTGGGTAAATGGTCAATAATATCCTGCATGTCATAAAGATACTGTTCATTTGTTTCATCTTTCGCACTACAGTCTAAATTACTTGTTAAAAGTTCTTGCTTAATTCTTTGTATTTCTGTCTCAAAAGTATATGAAGAAGGAATGAAGCTTTTCATCTCTACTAACATAGATGTTGGATTCATGATTAATGAATTTGGTGAAGTTGTTGTTTGAAGTGTTGTAGAACCTATTGTTGAAATCATATCTTTACATACAAGATAAAAATTTTTCTTAGAAAAAATTAGCGTTATTTTTCTTTCATAAGGAAATGTCAAAAATTCATGATTTTCGAGAGTTTTAGACCATGTTAGAAAAGTGGTTAGAAAACGTGTTAGATCTAACATGCTAACATAAACATTATTTTTTGGTCATTAATATATAAAATAAATGGTACCATTAATGATATCATGACTGTTCTCGTTCATGTCTGATTTACATCTAATGAAAAAGTTTAGAAGAATTTTCTTATTCTTTCTGGCATATTTTTGTCTTTCCAGTACTCCAGCTCTAATGGTCCCAGATGTGTTGGCTTCGACTCTCTCAAGTTCTTAGATGGTATAACATCTTCAACGCCTCCTTCATATCTTACTTTATAAGTGTCATCGTTTGTGTTATAGCCAAGTATTTCAATAACCACTCCTCGCTTTGCTTCGTCAATGGTTTTAGCAAGTTTGCCATTACTACTTTCGACTAATTTATGACGAGGGTAAATGCTATGGAGTCGTCAGCAGCTTTTATAAGATATCCATTACCTTGCGTAGAGTCTACGATATAATAATTTCGACTTAACCTTAAACGTTTCTTTGTCAACGGTTTGTCGTCAAGAACTACACGAACTTTTGTACCAGGAATGAGGGTAAATTGTGTTGAATTTCTGATATTTTGTGTTTGGCTTCGTTTCTTTTGTATATACTTTTCTTCTTGTTGTTGTGTCATTGAATTTGGTGTATGTCCTGTTGTAGAATTTGTTGAGGAATTATATACTTCGAGAAAATGTTTCATTGTTTCTTCGGTAAAGTCTCGCTCTTGATTTAAATCTCTGAGCGTTCTTATGAAGCGATTAATGATACCTAAAATATTATGGTTATGGTCTTCAGTAGTGTAGTGAGTTATGTTATGCTTAATGAGAAATTCTGTGATTTCGTTGCTGAGGTATGCACTGTCTTGGTCTGATGTTAAAGTACTTGGGTTATGTTCTGCTACAAACTTTTGTAAAACTCTTAACACTTCACGAGTTCCTTTATTTCTCATTATATACGCAAAAGCTTTGCGAGTGTTAACATTTATGAAGATGAGGAATGGTTTATGTCCTCCTTTTCTGCTTTGAATGAGAGTGTCAAATTGGTATGCGTCAGGAGTGTTGGAGTAAATTGGTAAAAAGTAGTCGTAAGGATTTATTTTTGTTTGATGTACAACATTTTTGTTAAAGAACCTTTTCACTTCAGCTCTGTTAGTAAATCCCGAACTCTTTGCAGCTTCATTGAATTTCTTAAAAGACCTCCATGGATGTTGTTCGAATACTTCTTTCAAGCTCATTTATGTAAAGTTAAAGATTTCATTGAACGCGGTAAGCCTAGACCCTTTGAGTCAAGGCTCAAGCGAGTTCATTGAACTCGGTACCATGCGAATACAGTCACAAATGGTGGCATATAATCTGCACCCGAGCCTGTTGGATTTGTTGTGAAAGTGTGTGAATGATTTCCTCCTGGTTCAGTTGGTCGAAAAATCTTTTTTGCTGCATTGTTATAAGATGGAGATAAAACGTCATTGCCAGCTTCATATTCTGAGTTGTATAATGGGTGGTCTCTTAATGAGTGGCTATGGTCGCCAGAAAACTTTGTAGTTCCTGTATGAGTGTGCGGTGGAAGGTTTGTTTCTTTAATTTTCTTCGAACCACCTGTTTGCTTTGAAGAGTTCGCACAATAGAGGAATTTATCTACAATCTGTTCCCACGTACCAAAACCTAAAACACTTGCCGGATTTGTTGAATTCATTGACGTATAAATAGAGCCTATAGGATATATGGTTTCAAGAATCTGAGTCTTCATTGTTAGAAGTTCATGTTTAACGTTTATAGTTTTATTGCCTTCTACAATATTTATATTGTTTGTTATTAAACCATTAGGAAAAGTAGGAGGATAAATTCTTTGTTCTTGTACAGTTGCACCGTCTCTTCCTGTTTTTGTTACTATTTCGATGCATGCCTTAATTTCTTTAATCTTGATTGTTTGAAATTCTTCATGCACGTGCTCTTTATCGGCTTTTCCATTAAGCGCAGCATTTACTTCCGACTTCTTTGCATAATTTTCATCTACATAAGTTTTGTCGGCTTTCTTATCTAACATTGCTGGTAGTTCGTATGCTTCAAAGTTTCTGGCATGATCTTCGATATTCCTGCAACTGTTATCTAAATTGTTTAGTGTATCTTTTACGCTTGTACTTGGATTCTCTAAAGGTGCACTTGAACCAAGGTCAAAGTTCAGTATTATGTCATCAGCTCTAACAGTAGTGAAGGATTCATGTGTATGGTTTTTGTCTGCTTTACTGTCTAAAGAAGTTTGAAGTTCATTTATATCGGAGATATTGTGTTTATGAGATTTCAAAACTTTGTTCGTTGCGTCAAGTTCATTTTTGTCAGCTTTACTTTTAATAGCATCTTCAAAAGTTATTTTTGCCTTAACTCTTAACATAAATCTTGGTTCAACTAATACACCGTTAACAAAGAAGTATGAAGCATAAATTTCAGCGTTATAACCAAATGTTTGTGGTGCTATACCTGTGTCATACTGTACAGTACAGTGTATGTCATAACCTTTAGCACGAATGAATTTATATCTTCTTTCATTAACATTTTTCGTCTTCACTTCTTCATCCTGTGTTAAATATCCATGATAGTCCGTTATAATCTGTTCATCTGAACTTATATAATGAACATGGTTCTTGTCCGCTTTACTATTTAATGTAGCTTGAAGTTCATTTATATCGGAGATATTGTGTTTATGAGATTTCAAAACTTTGTTCATTGCGTCAATTCATTTTTGTCCGCTTTACTATTTAATGTAGCTTGAAGTTCATTTATATCGGAGATATTGTGTTTATGTTCTTTATCTGCTTTTTCGGCTAATTTCTCTTCTATCTCATTTATTTCAAGTTCATGCCTACCACCACCTCCCGAAGAAGTATTTTTCTTCAGCTCTTGAAGAACGTCCACTTCGCCATCTTTGGTGTCAATAATGAGACTTTGAGTTAAAACCTTTCCTGTCTTAATGGATGTTTGTAAAACTTCTTCTTCACCGTGTTCGGGGTCATGGTCGTCATCATATCTTGTGAAATCAGAGATGTTGTCATACATTAAGCATATCTGTCTCAAAAGTTCTGCTATTTGAAACTGGAACGAAAGATATACAGAACTTTCATCATCTCCTAAAGTCAAGTCTGCTTTCTTAAGTATTTCTTGAATGTATGCAATGAGAACAGAGTACCTTGGAAAATATTCGAACAATATTTCATTAGCTGTTGGTTTTGGTGGTTCTTCTGGAGTTTCTGTTGGAGTTTCTGCATCTCTTGACTTCAATGCTCTTGCTCTCAAAGACCTAAATGTTAGAGCACCAGGTTTTACAAAGGACTTTATAAATGCTTTAATAGTTCCTGGTAAGTTATTGTTAGCATTAAGTAAGTTCCTTATGCTTCCATCATGTACGTCCATAGCACTATGTAAAAAATCTATACTTTTCTTGTAGTCAGCAATAGACTGACTGTGATTTTTTAAAGATTTGTCAATACCTTTAAGCCAATCTTCATGCATGTCTGATACTGAGCCAAGAATATCATTTGCTTCCTTTAGTGTATTTTGTGCTTCTCGTAAAGTATCCAATCCCGTACGTGCATTGTTTGCTATACGTCTTACAGTATCTATTTGACTCCTTGTTTCTTGCATCCAACCAGATAAAGTTTTAATAGTATCGAACCATTTGAAATGAAGTTCAAAGCATTTTTAACGTCATCTAAAGCTTCTTCACCAAGTACTGCCCATATCTTTCCGATTTGGTATTGAAGAACTCCATATGAAGCAGCTGTTAAACCAGTATTTATAAGGTCCCATATCCATGATTTAGCAGTTTTTCCATCCTTTCCATCCAAACCGTTTTCGCCTTGAGGTCCTTGTATTCCTTGTATTCCTTGTGGTCCTTGTGGTCCGGTGTCACCCTTCTCTCCTTTCAGTTCATCTTTATGTTCGTTATAATATTCTAATGTCATAAGGTGTACATCATTACTGCTACCAGCAACGCCGAGAATTTGTTTCTCATTCATGACTAAATTCTTTAGGCATTTAATGTTGTCGTCAAATCGAAAGCTCTTTAACAATTCAATGAGAACATTCAGTACTTTCACTAATGAGGCATCTACTGTTGAATTTATATATTGCACCGTTCCATCATTTATGATGGGAACCTTGCTTGTTGTAATGAATGGGTCATAAGTGTTAAAAGTATCGAAATCAATGACTTTTTTAGTTTTTACATCGTCAATGACTAAATCATTGCCTTCAATGGTTAAAGTTGAGTTTTCGTTTACTAGTTCATGTGCTCTTCTTGCTTCATTTGTTTCATACGCATATGCAGCAATAGTCATATTTTAATGAGAATAAAATGTTGTTCTATTTGCAAAGTACAGACCCAAACGAATACGGGACAGTAAAGCTACAAACAAACTTAGGTCTTCAGAATGAAGCGCTTGCTTTCAGAGTTGTTGACTTTAATACTATTGCTTCATTCGTTATAACTGACGAAACAGATTTCATGGAGCTTGAAATAGATGGAAAGAAGCATGAAATAAGATTTCACAATAATGTAGAATATAAGATGGAAACATTAGCTGGAGTGTTAAATGCTCTCATAAATACTACAATAAACAAGGATAACGAAGAAAACTTAATGAATGTTAAACTTATTGCAGGAGTTTTGAAGTTCAGTTATGCGAAGGAGTTTAAGATAACACGAATGAGTCATAGAGTTCAATTGCTTCTGGGAGCATACCATATGACATTTCCTTTGAAAAGTGTTGACAAAACGATTGAGATGAAATCCGTTCCATACGTATGTTATGGCAATTGTTTGTACATTGAGTCTAAAATAGCTAATGTCACAGGTATTTCAGGAGTTAATAGTAAAGGTTCAGTAGAATATAAGTCTTTCTGTTATGAAGTAAATTCAATGTTCATTCCAAACGTTCCTGTCATAGTAACTCATTTAGGTAAATGGGTTCGCATTAGTCCTCATAATTTGAAAGACATGCAATTCAGACTAGTTGACTTTCAGGGCGAGCCGGTAGAACTGAAGGCACCAGTGCGAATGACTGTTGAAGTTGACTTTTTAGAAAATATTAAATGCAACAGCTTACAAGAGAACTCAGAGCTAAAAATATAAAGTATGAATGTTATGTATTAGGCATGAACTTTGGTTGTTGCTGTTTGATGAAACAAATGAGTTAGTTATGTCAGTCAAGAGAACAGAAAAAGGCGTCAAAGGCGCCGAGCGCAAAGCGCTATATTGTGTTAGTGAAAACTGCACCAAGTCAATAAGATTAGGTTTGCATTATGAAGATGAGTTCGATACTGTTGAAGAAGTTTTGGATAGATATTACAAATTGCTTTAATTTACTAAAACATATTTCAAACAAAGCTTATATTCTGTTGAAAGTTTTGTATATTCATTCGAATATTTATACTTAAACTCAACTCCTGGAGTACCTGGTGTTTCAATGATGCGGATGTTACCTATTTTCATGAATATTGGAGTTTGACCACAGCATTCGATTTCAGGGTCGAGATAGTCAATGACACATTGCTTTCCTGTTATTCGTGATATAATATTTTCAAGGTCCTCCTTTGTTAGAATTATTTGGTTCTTACTTATAAGATTTGTCAAAAGCTTCTTATCGTCTTTGAGTAAAATTGTTTGGTATAACTGAAGAAGGTAATGGTCTACGTTATCTGAAGGATTTGTTTGAACATTTGTGTAAGGGTTGTCGTTGGCTTCTCTTGAAAGAACTTGGTCCAGTGGTGGATACTCTAACTTAACATCTGATGTAGCGTTAGCGTTTGAAGCTGTGTTTAAATTCACCGACTTAAGATCTGGTTCTTTGTCTTTCAAACATTCTGAACTATAGTTCTTTATGACAATATTGTTTGTCGTTCGTGAGTCAACATTTGATGTTGGTTCAATTGGAACATTAACGGCACCAGCTAAGATGGATTTGCTTCTCATTTCATATAGAATAAAAACCTTTTATATGTATGAAATGAACAACATACTCGACAAGGGTTTGAATGTAAAGCTAACGAATGAAAATATTGTTGAATTCACTGAGACAGGAGCTGTGTATAAAGATGTAGAACTACTGAACAAAAGAGCAAAGGGAAGAAGCAGGAATATGAACAAAGGGTGGAAGCCTATAAAAATTTATGTCAATGATGGCTCAGGAGGTTCAAACATAAAGTATGCAGAAAGTTATAGAGTTTATGCTCTCAAAGGTGAAAAGCCTTCATTTAAGAACAGTTATTCTAACGCATATCCTCAAAAGCTAACGGATGGGGAAGTGGATGATATGAATGACAGCAAAAATATTAACAGAAATGGCGACAGAGATGCATGGAATTTGTTTACCATCAGTCAATTGAAGGTTAAACTTTAAAACAATGTTGGTCGTTCCCATGGAATATTTTTGACTTTAATGGTATTAGTCATGATATGAATCTCAAGGTATGAACGAGGAGAGATGAGAGACTTATATGCTTCCCAAATTTCTTCAAAAGGTAATGTTATACCTGACTGTTTCCAAATGAGTTCAATATCATAGCGTGAGAAACCTTGAAAGATAACGAAGTCAGTTATGAGACGTTTTATGTTTAAAGCTAAAAACCTCCATGTTTGCATAAGTATTGCTACAGTTAAATGGTAATGTCTGACTTTAGTTATGATGTTAGCTAATGGTGAGTCTGGTTTTGACACTAAACCTTTTCCGGCGAAGTCGTCACAAACGAGCAGAGTGTTTGAAGGATACTTTTTGAAGGGGTATTTTGAAAGTTTTGATAGAATGTAGTTTGTCAGTCGTTTCATATCGTAAACTCCTGAGTATTGACGTAAGTGGTGTTTGTCAATAATTCTTTCCATCTCTTCTGAAGTCTTTTGCATTCCTGACTGTATGAACTCTACAATAGCATAATATTTTCTCTTACGTCGAATGTAACGTTGAAGAAATTCAATGAGTTCGCTATCTGGAACTTTAACGACAGATGCTTGAACTTTACTCATGAATGTTTTCGCTGTTGAATCCATAGAGTCTGAAGTTGCTGATATAATGATTTAGTCATAGTAAGAGTCGTTTCCTAAACGCTCTGTTATGAGTATATGACGAATGAGGTTAAATGTCTTACCTGAACCCATCTTTCCACAATAGAAATACACACCATTTGAACAGAATTCATAATCTTTGCTGAAAGGAAGAATAAGAGAAGAGTTAAGTTTGTCTGTAGTTTCATTCATGTCTTCATCTACGTCATGTATTAAATGCTTCATTTTATCTCCATTAAAAATGCAAGTCAGAAATATTCAGAACATAGCACCGAGTCTAACTGACAAGAGTATAAAGATATACTATGAACACGTTATGATGAAACCTACCAAAATTCAAGAAAGTCAGTATACTTATGAATATCCAAGACACTGGGGTAGAGTATGTAGGAGGTGAGAAAGCTATTGAAATAAGACAAGTTAGAAGTATTCCAGCAGGAAGGACAATATTATTGAAGAACTTTAATGTTTTGAGATATAATGATGAAACAAAGAAGCAAGATAGTTTCCCTGTTGCTGTGTATGTGAACTTAGATACAGGAGATGACATGAAAGTTTTTAACACAAAGCTTCAAACGGTATTGAAAGAACAACTTATAGCAGAAGGACACCCATTACCTTCAGAAGTTACCATAGTATATAATTTTGAAACAAATGCAATAGATTTTAAAATCGTCTCTGCAAAGAAGTCAGGTTTTACATTTAATGAAGCAGATGTATATTCGAATGAAAACTTCAAAGCTATTGCATGGTTAGATAATGACGATTGCTTTAAGAAAATATTTAAATTCAGTGACTCAAAGATGTCAATAGATGACCTTCGTGGAATGTTACCATCGACGTTTACAGTTGAAGGCTCAGCAGGATTGCTTACAAGATTGTCAATTGGTGGCGTTTGGTCTCGTGAGAACATTGTTATAAAATCCAGTATAAGTGAATTTGCTGAAGAATCTATATTATGTCTTTCAAACTACATGTATTCGCCACCGAAGCATTATAGTATAACAAACTTTGTCAGTAAGTTTAACATAAGACTTGTCGAACCTTCTTCAATGAAAGATGTTGTGCTACCTAAAGATGGAAAGGATGGACTCATTATTGAGATGATTTTAATTGCATATTAAATGAGCTTGTTCTTAAAGGTCGTTCATGATGAAATAACAGTTGTAGAAGATGTTAGCAATTGTTCAGATATTTTATTGAGAATAGATGAGATAAGAAAGAAGTTAGATAGACCGCAAAGCGGTGAGGGTGAAGCACGTGAGAATGTTTATGTTTCATTGACTTTCTCCAGTAACGAGAACTTTTATGAGATAATATTGAAGAGAGATGATTTTAATATGGGGTAAATGGTAGCTTGGGCAGCTTTAGGCGCAATGGGAACAAAAGCATTAGCATTTGGAGCAAAAGCACTTGGAGCTTATGACGCAGTAAATAAAATGAGTGGAGGAAGGGTTTCAAAGACATTAGATGCAAATAAAGGAAAGATTGGAGGCTGGGTTGCAAAGAAGTTAAGATTAAATAAAATAGGGCTCATAAATAAAGCATCCAATTTGGTTGCGACTGAGTCAGAAAATGCTTTAGGAAAGGACGATGAGTTTGCAAAACACGCAAAAGACTTTAATGACCAGATGAAAGGTGAAACAATGCATTTAAATAGAGTCGATGGAACTAAAGAAAATGTTTCTTCTCCACCAGCGGTTTATCCATACGGACCTTATGGAATGTATGGAAACCCTTATGAACGACCATTTGACCCATTGACTGGTGGAAGTAATTGGTATCATTATGGACGAAGAAGAAAGACAGTCAAGTTGGAGACAGACGTGAAGAAAGCAACTAAAAAGAAACCAAGGAAGAGAGTTATAAAGCAATGAATTCAAGTGGGTGAAAACCGGGTGAAAAAAGAGGTGAGATTTCACTACTTCACCTAAATTTATTTTTGTGCTATGTTTTCATACGCGTGAGGGTGGTGATATCATTTATTTTTTATTTTATTTTTTTAAAATTATTTTTATTTTATTTTTATGTAAATGACAGAACAAAAGCAACTCATACAAATCAAAACATATAACAAACATACATTTAAACATTTATTCTTCCTTCCTGAGCATAACATGTTCTTTCAAATACATCCGAGACCAGTTGACTTTTCATTGACTGTGTATAAAGATAGAAATAGTTATATCATTAAACCATACGATGACGAAGGTAAGTTATGTAAATTGTACGTTAAGAAGTTAGAGAAAGTTTATGGCTTCAAGTATGACTACAATAGGGTTAACACTGATGATGAAGATATTGAGGAAAATTTATGAGAACATTAGTGAAGTTGTTAGTGAGAACGATAGTGAGGTGAAATTGTTGGCGGCTTTGTAAATATTTAAGGTTAAGTTAGTTTTTGCGTTCATGTTGTAAAATATACGTTAAGAAGTTAGAGAAAGTTTATGGCTTCAAGTATTGGGTAAAGTGGAACGCAGTGCCACCATACCCAAGACTTGTATACTAACTAAAATAGAGAGACCTTTCTGGGGTCTGAATGCAAGCCTAAGTATGTGGCTTTGGTCATGTTTTGCCGAAGAAAATATTGACAAACGTACGAAAATGTGGGAGAATTGTGTCTACCATTACGTAGGCAATCATTCTTTTTGCGAACCGCACAATTACAAATGCTTTGAATGGCAAAAAGGTGTCAATTCGATCCAACTTCAATTCATGCTCTATGACTGGGTTCACAAATGGACACCCATAGTTTCCAAAGTTTCTTCCATTGGATCTACCTGCATGAATGAAGCGTTTAACTCCAAAATTGCATGCTATTTGGACAAATCAAGAGCCTGGAAGAACATTAACATTAGAGTTAACGTTGCAATCTTAGAAAGGAATGATCCAGAGCATTTTCTCGGAGATATACAAAAAGCATTACATCTTCCCCCACTTCCAGAAGATTGTGTCAAATCATTTGAAGATAATTGTTACTCTAAAATGATATTGAAACAAAAAACTGTTACAAAAGGTTCTAAAAAACAGAACAAATACAAAAAATCCATTCAGAGTGTACCAGGAGGAGATTATCAAGTTTTCAAGTCCGAATGGGAATCAGAAGACGAAGACATTGATGACTTTGATTAACGAAAATTACATTTTATTTATTGTTTTTGTTTTTAATTAAATTATTATTATGCTCATTTTCTTATTTTGATTTTTTCTCATTATGATATAAATAATTTATTAATGCATTTATCCAATAATTATGCTATGATATTTTTATGCCTTATTTCATTTCTCTTATATTTGATAATCTGGTAAAATATAGTTCAGACTATAATCATTTTAGATTATTGATATATTTATATAGGTTAGAATAAAATTAGTTTCATTTTCTACTTTTATTTTGAATTAATAATTTATAATATCAAATATTATGGCGTAACCTCTCTTTTAAAATATAGATATATATAGGCCTATAGAGTTTATTGGCACTCTCAAAACTCTAGAATTTTGAGTTTACTATACCCTTAAGATACTTTTTCGCCCAAAAAATTGTAATTTGACTATTTCAATATCATAAACACATTTCTATTGTTATAAAAGTCTTAAGTGCTTGTGATCAGACAAATCTGTTTTTCAATAAGACATCTTAGAAAAAAAAATTGTAATTTGACTATTTCAATATCATAAACACATTTCTATTGTTATAAAAGTCTTAAGTGCTTGTGATCAGACAAATCTGTTTTTCAATAAGACATCTTAGAAAAAAAAATTGTAATTTGACTATTTCAATATCATAAACACATTTCTATTGTTATAAAAGTCTTAAGTGCTTGTGATCAGACAAATCTGTTTTTCAATAAGACATCTTAGAAAAAAAAATTGTAATTTGACTATTTCAATATCATAAACACATTTCTATTGTTATAAAAGTCTTAAGTGCTTGTGATCAGACAAATCTGTTTTTCAATAAGACATCTTAGAAAAAAAATTGTAATTTGACTATTTCAATATCATAAACACATTTCTATTGTTATAAAAGTCTTAAGTGCTTGTGATCAGACAAATCTGTTTTTCAATAAGACATCTTAGAAAAAAAAATTGTAATTTGACTATTTCAATATCATAAACACATTTCTATTGTTATAAAAGTCTTAAGTGCTTGTGATCAGACAAATCTGTTTTTCAATAAGACATCTTAGAAAAAAAAATTGTAATTTGACTATTTCAATATCATAAACACATTTCTATTGTTATAAAAGTCTTAAGTGCTTGTGATCAGACAAATCTGTTTTTCAATAAGACATCTTAGAAAAAAAAATTGTAATTTGACTATTTCAATATCATAAACACATTTCTATTGTTATAAAAGTCTTAAGTGCTTGTGATCAGACAAATCTGTTTTTCAATAAGACATCTTAGAAAAAAAAATTGTAATTTGACTATTTCAATATCATAAACACATTTCTATTGTTATAAAAGTCTTAAGTGCTTGTGATCAGACAAATCTGTTTTTCAATAAGACATCTTAGAAAAAAAATTGTAATTTGACTATTTCAATATCATAAACACATTTCTATTGTTATAAAAGTCTTAAGTGCTTGTGATCAGACAAATCTGTTTTTCAATAAGACATCTTAGAAAAAAAAATTGTAATTTGACTATTTCAATATCATAAACACATTTCTATTGTTATAAAAGTCTTAAGTGCTTGTGATCAGACAAATCTGTTTTTCAATAAGACATCTTAGAAAAAAAAATTGTAATTTGACTATTTCAATATCATAAACACATTTCTATTGTTATAAAAGTCTTAAGTGCTTGTGATCAGACAAATCTGTTTTTCAATAAGACATCTTAGAAAAAAAAATTGTAATTTGACTATTTCAATATCATAAACACATTTCTATTGTTATAAAAGTCTTAAGTGCTTGTGATCAGACAAATCTGTTTTTCAATAAGACATCTTAGAAAAAAAAATTGTAATTTGACTATTTCAATATCATAAACACATTTCTATTGTTATAAAAGTCTTAAGTGCTTGTGATCAGACAAATCTGTTTTTCAATAAGACATCTTAGAAAAAAAATTGTAATTTGACTATTTCAATATCATAAACACATTTCTATTGTTATAAAAGTCTTAAGTGCTTGTGATCAGACAAATCTGTTTTTCAATAAGACATCTTAGAAAAAAAAATTGTAATTTGACTATTTCAATATCATAAACACATTTCTATTGTTATAAAAGTCTTAAGTGCTTGTGATCAGACAAATCTGTTTTTCAATAAGACATCTTAGAAAAAAAAATTGTAATTTGACTATTTCAATATCATAAACACATTTCTATTGTTATAAAAGTCTTAAGTGCTTGTGATCAGACAAATCTGTTTTTCAATAAGACATCTTAGAAAAAAAAATTGTAATTTGACTATTTCAATATCATAAACACATTTCTATTGTTATAAAAGTCTTAAGTGCTTGTGATCAGACAAATCTGTTTTTCAATAAGACATCTTAGAAAAAAAAATTGTAATTTGACTATTTCAATATCATAAACACATTTCTATTGTTATAAAAGTCTTAAGTGCTTGTGATCAGACAAATCTGTTTTTCAATAAGACATCTTAGAAAAAAAAATTGTAATTTGACTATTTCAATATCATAAACACATTTCTATTGTTATAAAAGTCTTAAGTGCTTGTGATCAGACAAATCTGTTTTTCAATAAGACATCTTAGAAAAAAAAATTGTAATTTGACTATTTCAATATCATAAACACATTTCTATTGTTATAAAAGTCTTAAGTGCTTGTGATCAGACAAATCTGTTTTTCAATAAGACATCTTAGAAAAAAAAATTGTAATTTGACTATTTCAATATCATAAACACATTTCTATTGTTATAAAAGTCTTAAGTGCTTGTGATCAGACAAATCTGTTTTTCAATAAGACATCTTAGAAAAAAAAATTGTAATTTGACTATTTCAATATCATAAACACATTTCTATTGTTATAAAAGTCTTAAGTGCTTGTGATCAGACAAATCTGTTTTTCAATAAGACATCTTAGAAAAAAAAATTGTAATTTGACTATTTCAATATCATAAACACATTTCTATTGTTATAAAAGTCTTAAGTGCTTGTGATCAGACAAATCTGTTTTTCAATAAGACATCTTAGAAAAAAAATTGTAATTTGACTATTTCAATATCATAAACACATTTCTATTGTTATAAAAGTCTTAAGTGCTTGTGATCAGACAAATCTGTTTTTCAATAAGACATCTTAGAAAAAAAAATTGTAATTTGACTATTTCAATATCATAAACACATTTCTATTGTTATAAAAGTCTTAAGTGCTTGTGATCAGACAAATCTGTTTTTCAATAAGACATCTTAGAAAAAAAAATTGTAATTTGACTATTTCAATATCATAAACACATTTCTATTGTTATAAAAGTCTTAAGTGCTTGTGATCAGACAAATCTGTTTTTCAATAAGACATCTTAGAAAAAAAATTGTAATTTGACTATTTCAATATCATAAACACATTTCTATTGTTATAAAAGTCTTAAGTGCTTGTGATCAGACAAATCTGTTTTTCAATAAGACATCTTAGAAAAAAAATTGTAATTTGACTATTTCAATATCATAAACACATTTCTATTGTTATAAAAGTCTTAAGTGCTTGTGATCAGACAAATCTGTTTTTCAATAAGACATCTTAGAAAAAAAAATTGTAATTTGACTATTTCAATATCATAAACACATTTCTATTGTTATAAAAGTCTTAAGTGCTTGTGATCAGACAAATCTGTTTTTCAATAAGACATCTTAGAAAAAAAATTGTAATTTGACTATTTCAATATCATAAACACATTTCTATTGTTATAAAAGTCTTAAGTGCTTGTGATCAGACAAATCTGTTTTTCAATAAGACATCTTAGAAAAAAAATTGTAATTTGACTATTTCAATATCATAAACACATTTCTATTGTTATAAAAGTCTTAAGTGCTTGTGATCAGACAAATCTGTTTTTCAATAAGACATCTTAGAAAAAAAAATTGTAATTTGACTATTTCAATATCATAAACACATTTCTATTGTTATAAAAGTCTTAAGTGCTTGTGATCAGACAAATCTGTTTTTCAATAGACATCTTAGAAAAAAAATTGTAATTTGACTATTTCAATATCATAAACACATTTCTATTGTTATAAAAGTCTTAAGTGCTTGTGATCAGACAAATCTGTTTTTCAATAAGACATTCTGATTCAAAACTTTAAATTATATCTCTACCTTATATCAATATCTCTTTTACATATAATATTAAAGCAAACACTGCCTTCCCTACTTAATTTAACTATTTTATTTTCAATTAATTTCATATTCTTTTATCTTTCACCTTTCTCAATATTTCTAAACGCAACTTCACAGTACATTACATTTAACCACCACTTTCTTTTTATCATAAATTTATTTTTTTATTCTTTATCTTTTTTATTTCTTTATTATTTTCTTCTTCATCTAATATCTTATTTCATCTTTCACCATCTTTTTAATATTACCTATTGTTAACTCTTTATAATAATCTCATTCTGCAATTTTCATAAATACATTTTCATATAAAATCTTCTCAATTCATTTCAAACACATTCAAAAATAAAATTTTGAAATATTAATATACTATATAAAACCAATATTTTATAATTCATTATTTTTTTGAATACTTCTCAATTTTTTCTTATTCAATTTTTACTAAATAATTTCTCATTTTCTTTTTATTCTTATTCATTCTACATGCTGTTACTAGTTTACATATCATTAGCCGAAAAAATAATCATATAACAATCTTATCACATGTTAAATTTTTGATACATATGATTATTTTGAAATTTAAGAAATCGATTTCAAACATTCTAATAATGTCATAATGCAATCAGACAAATCCCAATTATTATAAACACTATAACATCGATTTTGACTTTAATTTTGAAATCGATAAAATATCTAGAAGATAAAAACTCATATATTTTGAGTGTAAACCTATTCAATTGTATTTTACTAAAGGATATAGATTCATTCACGAACTTAAATAAGTGTTCACTACATTAAATTCTCATTATTTAAAATCTGATTATTTGGCTTGTTCTTTAAAATCAAGTTTAAAGCCTACCATAGTGTGACAGGTACATTGCTAGAGACTATACTACAAGTTGGACAATTTTAATTATAAATTAAAATAATAATTTGCATTCGCATTACACATCCTAAGTCCAAATCAAACCTGACCGATATGTAATGATAGCTAATAATATATACTTCAATGCTATATAAATGAATACCCTTAGAAACAAATATAAAGAAAGATATGAATTTTTTAAATTTTCACTTCACCTAAAATCATTCCGATCCGTAAAGTATTGAAATCTATCCCGATTAATCGGGATAAAATTGAATGAGTTGATCCCAATTTCCCGATCAATCCCGATGCCAAAAGATCAGTCAATTTTAACGTGCTTTATTTTTTCTTTTTTATAATAATACATATTATTATATAATTAACATATTCATAATGTTTCACCCTTTCAAAAATATAATCCTCCTCCTCTCAAATAAACGTACATACGGGTGGCCTCTTTTTTCAAAAAATTAAAATTTGAAATTTTTGGCTCAAATATTAGAGATTTTTTCAACCTTCAACGATATATGTTGTCTATATCAGACCTCCTTTCTTTTTGATACTTAACATTGTTCCTAAATCTTAGCCGTTAAGGCTGTTCTGAAAATATTTTTTTTTTCGAAAAAATTCGAAAAAAATTCTTAAAATTCAAAAATCCTTTAATTCCTAAGGATTTTGGAAAAAAGTTTTTACATGAACATGTGTATATTATATGAAGTATATTGATAAGGTAAAAATCAAATTTTATTGCATATTCATCGAGAAAATAAACTAACGAATCCCTCAAAATTGAGAGAGTAATCCTCCTCCTCTCAAATAAACGTACATACAGGTGCACCCTTCATATCGAATATGAACTGACTAGATATCAAAAAGTCTATGTCTTCCAAAAAGATCTCTGATATACTTCATTTCTTATTTTTTGTATTTTCTGAAAACAACAGTATTTTGAAAATGAGCTAATGTATACAAATAAATTAAAAAGTGATTGAAAATTGTATTGACATCAGATTTATAAAAAGGTAGAAAAATTAATTAAGTATAAAAAATGTTTAAATTATATTCAAGTTGGAGCGATAACTCCGTTGGCAATGACAATTTTATTGCGATAGAGTTAAATGCATCTATTTATGATTGTGTATAAAATTGAATATTCTGTGTGTTAGTTTGTTTTGAAAAACCAAGGCGGCTCGGATAAAAAGTATCATCCTAATCAGAACAGATCCTAAATTATCTTCAGCGCCAAGTTTAATACATACTTAATTGACAAATTAGATCTTGACCAGATCAAAAATGACATGACCATGAAAAACCGCCATTGTGGAGTTATAAAAATATGTTATTTTTCTGCTTTGAATAAACTACTTTGATTATTGCTATCAAAAATTTATATGAAATGTTTAACAAATTTTATAAAAATAATAAATATAAAAAGATTATAATACAAACAATCGATTTTTTTCCTCGCAGTTTTCAAATGGATCTATAACACCTTTGGCAGCGTCTTGAATTAGATCAGCAACAAATTTTTTAACACACATAAGATTATCCGGACTAAGAATATCATACTGAATTGAGATAATTTCATTCATTATAACGGCTTCTGGCTGCAGTTTATGAATAAATGCTGCTATTTTTATAAATAAATTTCTACTCCGTAGCATCCTAATACATCTTTGCAATTGTAAATCATTTATGTCAGATATTAATTCTAAACTGTAGAACTTTGAATATGGCTCTAATTTATCATTAATAATTGATATTTTTTCGGCAGAATTATTTTTTGTCCAGTCAGATAGATTCTTTTTAATAGCCTTGATTTCAGATATGATTTCAGAGTCTTCGATTGAGTTTCTACGCAATGAAAACTCAAATTCTTGCCATAATTTATTAATTATATTTCGTTTGAGTTCATCTTGCTTAAAAATATCTGCATATACGGAAAAAGTATTCCTCATTTCGTTAATCCATTCATGAGCATCATGATAAATTTTTTTTTCGAGCCTACCATAGATTTGATCGAATGAATATGGATGATTAACTTCGTCAGCAGCTAATTTTGAATCTATGTTTTCGAATACATTCCATATTGGCTGCTGCTGGAGCTCGTCCATGATTTGTAGTGAGCTCCTTATCTGATTTTCATTCATTTGTCAAATTTCTGAAATATAGAATTGAATATTTTATTTCAAAAATCATTCATAAAGTATTTATCTTTAATAACATTTGAGATTAAAATAATACAAAATTGAATTAAAGGTAAAGACGTTAATGCTTTACATTGAACGATAACAGAAAATCCAATGTCCGAGCATCGCCACCGTTCACGCCAATCAGCATCATCTCTTGGCCTCACAAAGGATCAATACATAGAAATAGAAGAAGCTTTTAATATTTTTGATGCCGATCAGAGTGGAAGTATCGACGAAAAAGAATTACAGACTGCTTTTCGTGCAATGGGTTTCACAGTTTCAGAGAAAGAAATCGAAGAAATTATGAAGACATATGATAGTAAAGGAAAGCACGCACTCAATAAGAAAGATTTCTTTACAGTTTGTTCAAATTTGGTTGCAAAACGCGACCCACTTAAACACATAAAGAGGCTATTTTTACTCTTTAGTCAGGATCATGAACATATTAAAATCAAAGATCTTCGTAGAATTTCAAAAGAACTTGGTGAAGAAATGACAGAAGCAGAATTGCAAGAAATGATTGACCGCTTTGATGCTGATAAAGATGGTATGATAAGTGAGGCAGAATTTATTGCAATTATGGATCCTGCTAAAAAATACGGAAAATAAATAAACTATACTTATTTAATTTGATGTCTAGTTAAAGGATACTGAAAATTTCGTTTCTATTTATATTGGATTTCAATTTGAAAATTTGACATGTAAACTATAAAAATCGTTATTTACATGAGTGGAATTCAAGCACGACCTCCTCTTTTATCATTAAAAGTACGACGAACTGTTGATACTATTCTCTCAATGAATCCAGAAGAGCAAAAGGAAAGAGAATCTTCGAATACTCCAGTTTCTAAAGTCAAAGATAAAAAGCAACAAACTTCTCTTGATCATTCTTCGGAAATAGAAAAAATTTCAGGAATTCTTGAACAACAATCATTTTACTTTGTAGCTTTTCGCAACCAAATTCAAGATGCACAAAGGGATCAAGCAAAAATCATGCAAAAATTTCACGAAACTGCTCAGGATATTGACAAACGAATGAACAAAATGAAAGAAATGCTAATGAAAAAAGTTGTCGATTTAAACAAACGTGTATCATCAATCTCGAGAAATCTTGCTTTGAAACCGACTTTCCGTAAGATGTTACCTCAAAATAATTACGGCAGAATTACTGGCATATCAGTATGTGGAGAAACATTACTTTGCACCTCAGCTGACGGTTGGCTACTTAGGATTGATCGTCATGAACTCAACATTAAACATACAACAAGATATTCCACAACAGAAGCACTCTTTCAACCTACATTATTCTCTCATGGAAATATATGGGTTGAATTAGCCCTGACCTCTACAAGAAATTTGCTTATCCGAATGCAAACAAGCCCAGATTTAGAGAGATGTTCTCCTCTTCTCATAGAAAGTTACGCAGTTAATACAGATCCTCACACCAGGGATGCTTTTGAAGTAATTCTCGGAGAAAACTCGCAAATAGAGTTCTGCTCTATTGCTCCTGATGCTTCTCCTAAACTTCAGGTTGTTTCAACAACCAAAAAGATTCGTGGAACTGTTACAAGTATTGTTGTTGACCAAAATATCGATGCTATTTTTGCCATTACTTCAAGGAGAACATTATACTGCATTTCTGCCACAAATTATCAAATCGTTCTATCAGAATTATTTGACAAACCAATTATGCAACTTTTTACCACTCAATGTTTCATTATTCTCTCAATAGCTCCAAATGATATCATATTACTGGAGAAAAACAGAGAAAAAGCTAATAAATTATTCCAGATTAATATTTCTGCAGGACTTCGAAGGTTCTTTGCTGCAGAAAATGATATACTGATAATCAAAAAAGACCAGCAAATTGAGAGAAGAAGGCTTTGCAATGTTGAAATTTCAGAACCAATTTGCGAAGCTGATGCTGCTGATTTCAACGAAGAAGAATATATAGGTCTGATTATAGAATATGAAAGGCAAATATATTTAACTCATGGAAATCGAATTTCATATTGGACATAAGAACCTATATTATAATAATAAGAATATTGTTTGTAAATCCTTTTAATTCTTTTTATATTGCTAATGCTTTTGTCTTTACTTTTAACTTCATTTATATCCTGATGTACTAATATGAACGATTCAAATAATTGATAATTATTCATGAGATTCAAATAGAACACATATTGCCAATAACACATCAAAAATGTATCCTTGTGCTTAACTTGTTAATTGATTAAGGTTCAAAGAGAGAGAGAGAAAAAAAAAATATCAAAAATTGCAAAATTATCAAAGTAAACGCAATTTCACTTATTGGATAGAGTGTGGAAACCCAGTAGATACCTAAATTAATATCGCAAAATTCATGTTATCCCAAAATTTTCAAATGTGAAAATCCCATGCTACATATAATGCCCATTGTAAAACTCTGAAAATTTTTTAATTCGCCTGTAAATCATTCAAATCAAAAAATCTCTCTCAAAAAAATTCATGGGGAATAATGTAAACTACTCAATTTTATTTTCTCACCATCACAGCGCCAATAGTTATCACTCGACCAAATAAAACAGTCATTGTAGCAACAAATAACAACGGAACACCAAAAAATCTAGGTCAGGCACCAGTGAATGCCTCTCCATTTTCACCCTACTCAATGATTAACCAAGCTTTGCCACCGGCTTCTCCTCCTATGTCTCCTAATGTCTTAGTTCCTAGAGCTCCTGTTGTTCATTTCTTCATTTGCGACTATGGAAATGCAAAAGTCAAATCAATCTCCGACCATTTTATTGAATTACTCGTATCAAATGGTGTAAAAGTTTTTACTGAAAGATATGCAACTCATCAAGCAGGATTTCAAGTAAGAGCCGCCTCATTAAATAGTAGTGCCGACTTTTTCTTCCAGATTCATTCTAAAACTGCCGGTAGAGGTCATGTCAGGCTTTATCTCAGCGGGCAGCCAAAGAGAATGACTGTTGAAGAATCAGTGAGAGATGTATGGGCCTGGTGGCGTCTTATGTGCGGCGCGGTATCTAATATTGAATCGGAAGTATTATCGAGCGAAAAGCTTAAATACGCTCTAAAAGTCTTTGCAAACCTCGATTCAGAACTTATCAATATTGATAGCATTCAAACAGAGATTCGAAACTCAATTGCCAATCATCTTGTTCCATTAGAGTTATTGCAGCAAATTCAAGCGATTGAAAATATGCTTTCTGACGGAAGACGTAATGTTCTCACGCAAAAGGTTATGAGAATCGAGTGGACAAATGAGCCAGGTCAACAATTAACTCGATGCGTCCAAATGCCCGTTATTAGGGGGCTTAGCCAACCTCTTAAAGATCTCCTTCTTGCCATAATAGACCAGACAATATCAAAAGTCCAAAAGCTTGAAAATATTGTCAGGAAATATGGTGTTGCGACTCCACCTCCTCCAGAAACAATTCTTCCTGTTTCTGACGGCGCTGAAGTTGAAATTCCAATAGACGGACAACAACCAGGATTATCCTGGGGAACTCTATTAGAAAGCGTGAAGGATGAATCTTACGGAATGAATCATATTACATCATATGGTGATTCATCACACCTTGGATCTTTTCAACAACCGTTCTTGTTGGATGAATTCTAGGGTTTGTTACACTGTTTTTAACTGTTACGCCATTAAAATATATGTTTTATTCAAACTATAATATTTTGGATTAAGTAATTTCAATACATATAGGGAGATTATTCAATTTTTTATCTGAATAAAATCGTTTATGTGTTGAATTGAAATTGTAATATCTGAATTAAATCAAATGAATCATTATTAAAACGCTCGGACTATGACTTAGTCAACAAAATTTAAAACCATAGCGAAATTGGAATAAGTTTGTGGAAATTATATTACAATTAATGTTTTGCGAATATTAAAATGAGAGGATTTATGATTCACGCGGGACACTAGTAAATTTCCAATATTTTGGATTGTAATTTCCTAATGTAAATCTTAAAGGAATACACGATTTCATTGGAGGAAAGTTAAAAATAAACGGTGACTAAAGAAAATTGACAAGTTTATGAGCCGAAGTTCTGGATTGTCATCTAAGGCACCGACACGAGCTCGCACGAGAGTTTCTACAAAAACATCTCAAACAACTTGGACAGAAGAGGAGGATAATATTCTTTCACAGTTAATGGAAAATGAAAAAATCGCAAATCCAGAAATTTTTGCGAAAAAGTTTCCAAATAAAACCCAACAACAAGTAATGGATCGATGGAATAAGGTTTTAAATCCGGAGCTGATTAAAGGTAGCTGGACTACAGAAGAAGATGAAATTATCACACAGTGGGTTAATGAACATGGAGCCAGAAATTGGTCATCTCTTGCAGCAACACTACCAGGTCGTCTTGGAAAACAATGTCGAGAAAGATGGGTCAATAATCTTTCTCCAGATCTTGTTCATCAACCATGGTCTGCTGAAGAAGATAAAATTTTAATTGAGCATCAACAAAAATGGGGAAACAAATGGGCAAAAATAGCACAATTACTTCCTGGAAGAACTGATAATTCAGTCAAAAATCGTTGGAATTCCTCTCTCAAAAGAAAACTCGAAAGAATAGCTCGCGGCGAAGCACCTGTAAATAAGCGTGGGAGAAAGCCTAAGAGAGCTTCAAATGCCCCAGATGTTGCTCCAATCATTGAATCCAAGTCATCAATCTCAATTTCAATACCAGAACCAGAAAATCTTGAAGATATACCAAATCATGATTCAACAGAAGATGAGAAACCAAAGATAACTTCCGAAAAAGAAGATAAATCACCTTCTCAAGATGAATCTTCAAAAGAAATCCCTAAGCCAGATCTTGCTGGAGTAGATTTATCTATTCCAAGTCCAGCAATTCAGACACCTCTTTTAATGTCTCCTTTCATGCAAATGTCACCAATATTAATGAAAGATAGCCCATTTTTCCCTCTTTGGTCCCCTGGAAGTAACTCAGATCTTAAGCCTTCTACGATTCTTAAATCTCCTCTGCCGTTTTCATTGGATAAAAACGAAGCATTGGATACAAATAAGGCAACCGATTTAAAGTTTTTCAGCTAAATACACCCTTTATAAGCTGACATATATTCATAGATCTTTATCAATAAAAAATTGTTTATTTTTTTTTAATTTTAATAATTTTTTATAAAAGTAAAAACATACATCTACAGAAATAGAATAAGATATAATTAATTTGTATTATCTGCAATAAGTTGGATTAATAAATCTTTGCGCTGAGAATAAAAATTTGAATAATCTTGAGCAAATTTATTTATAGTAGAATCATCACTTTGAACTAAGGATTGCAGTATTTGATGAATTAAATCGTTAGTTTTTATGATGCTAGAAAGTTGAATGGAATTATCTTTAGAATCAATTGCAGTTTCAGAGATAGAAAATATTAATTTTTCGATTTCATTTAATTTGGGAAACAATGCAAGATCATTATGATTAATCAGGCGCGATTTCTGAGTTAATTTGCTTAAATAAGTAGATTGCAATTGCATTAATTGGCTTTTCTTTTCTCGAATTTGATTGTTTTTATTATCAAGTTCGTTCTTTTGGACTTCGGCCTGGAAAATTGCATGTTGGAATTCAGATAAGATATTGTGATTCTTTTCCATTTCATTTATAATATTATTGTTTTGACTTTTAATCAATCTGCTTTTTTCATATTTGCGAATTGCAGATTGAATTATAAAGTTGGCTGATTCTTCATTGAGTGACATATGTCAGTTTTGTTTACAAATGTAATAATCGGAGTAGTAGGATGACGGGTTTAGTGACTTTTTTTGTTACATCTATATATAGACGATGCATTAAAATATATTGTAATAAACAGAAATTCATCAAAAGTGACAGCTCTCAATTTTTTGACATTTGTAAATTCTGAATTGAATGAGAAAAATGAAATAATACTAAGCATAATACAATATTCTAGATTTAATTATAATTAGGAAAAAGTTAGTTTTGAGAGTACTTTTCATAGGCATATAGAATGAAATCTTCTGAAAAATAATATCACATAAACTCATATTATTTTCTAATATATAACTATTTTGTATAAAAATCAAATTCAATGATCTTAAAAGCGAAGGATAAACCTCAAAATTTACGAATATAATGAGTGGGAATATAATGCTTATCTATCATAAAACCATATGAAATATTAATTTTTGCTTTACGCCTAATTTTTGACGACAATTAGCAAAAAATGTTAAATGTTAACACTCAGTCCATTTGAATATGAAAAATAAAATTGACTTTGATTAAATGTTTTTATTTATCATGCAATTCTTCTTGCGACCAAAGATTTGAATAAAAGTTCAAAAAATAAGATAGCTTAAAAAATAATATACGGTAGTGTTTACTAATAGATGAATAGTATATAAATTCTATTAAAATGGATTTGATCCAAAAAAATATATAAAATTTGATCATAAATAAAATCGTTTTAAATTACTTCTTCATTTAAATTATAACAATTATTTTTGGTTTTATATTTTTTTGAACTTTTATTCAAATCTTTGGTCGCAAGAAGAATTGCATGATAAATAAAAACATTTAATCAAAGTCAATTTTATTTTTCATATTCAAATGGACTGAGTGTTAACATTTAACATTTTTTGCTAATTGTCGTCAAAAATTAGGCGTAAAGCAAAAATTGATATTTCATATGGTTTTATGATAGATAAGCATTATATTCCCACTCATTATATTCGTAAATTTTGAGGTTTATCCTTCGCTTTTAAGATCATTGAATTTGATTTTTATATAAAATAGTTATATATTAGAAAATAATATGAGTTTATGTGATATTATTTTTCAGAAGATTTTGTGTTCTTCTTCAAAATTTTATTTTTTTATTAAAAAGAATCTTTACAAAATATACATTTACTTTAATTAATATTTAAAAACGTGCTCTATCAAAAGTTCCAAAAATTCAATATTTTAGCTTTTCTGAAGTGTCACTTTTGATGAATTTCTGTTTACAACAATATTTATTTATAAATCATTAAAAAAATTAACATTAATTTTAAAATAATTTATTTTTTTATCTTTTATAAAAGAAGCTATATATAGATGATGTCAGATATTCCGCGATTAATTAAACATTGTTTAAATCCTGAATGGGTTAAACTTCAATTTAAAAATGAAGATTGTGAATTATTAAATGAATATGAAAGCCAAAATAAGCTAATGAGGTATAAATATAATGATAAAGAATATTTAATTTCATGGAATCAATGGAGTCATAATCAAAGACCTCATAAACGAGAAGAAGAAATTGAAAATAATGAAATGGAAATCATTGATGACATTAAAGAGGATGGAATTCCTAAATTTTGTAGAAAAACCTTTAGAACTAAGTTAGGAGCATATAAACGTAGAGTATTAAATCCTGAATATCTTAAACATCAATTTAAAAAGGAAGACTGTGAATTATTAAACGTTAATGAATATGAAAATGCTAAATCAAAACTGAGATATAAATATATTGGAAGTGATGAAAGGTGTAAAGATAAAGATAAAGTTTATTCAGTTTCATATAATAACTGGCACACGTTAGGGATAAGAAAACATTTAGGAGATTATGGGAAATGTTCTGAATTCTTTAAATCTAGTATATACGAGAGAGTAAAAGAAATTAGAAATAATTATTTTCATGAATAAAAAATAAACTTTAAAAATTCATGTCTTACGAAAAATTAAAACTTAGTTATGTTTATTATTTTATTTTTTTATTTTGTATGAAATGAACAGCTCTAAATTCGTGACTGTAAATCAATTAATGAATAAACTTTCACCAATTCTCACCCAGGTTAAACAAGTAGACGTTTATTTTGATGATTACATACAAAGTTTATTTTATAAAGGTAAGTTTAATATTAAACCCATTGCTTTTGCATTTGATGGTAAATTAATCGAAAATTCAAAAATTTGGGAATTAATTCCGGATATTGAATTTATAACAAATATTAAGGATAAATGGTTTAAACAACAAAACCACCTCACTAAAGTTCTTTGTAGATTAATGATTAAAACTGAGGAAAAAGAATTTAACGGGTTTAAATATCATCCATGTAAAATTTTAGAACTTGGTAACGAAAAACTTCAGAAAAAATTAAACGCAAGACTATCAAAAGATAAAGTTGAAAGAGTAAATAAACTCGCTAAAGGTAATGGTAATGATGAAGAAGAATTTGATGAGTTCAACATAGAACTTTAAGAAACTAATGATTATTTGAATTTATGAAATCAATTATTTGATTCATTCTTTCTTCAATCTCTTCTATTCTTTTTGTTAAATCATCTATTTTCATTAATGAGGTGATTCTTGATTGAGGAATAGATTTCAAACTAACCACTCCTTTTATTTTTGAAATTTTGAATCCATCAACTTTAAACATTTTATTCAATTTACACGTTGTCAATTCTTCAAATAATTTTTTATTATTAGCATAATAGTCATTAAATTCTTCAACAGATGAAAAAATTTTTATTTCAGTAATTGGTTTAACAACGTTTATTTTTTGTTGAACATTTTCACTTTCATTTATTTCTTCCTCCTCTGTTTCATTTATTTTTAAAATCGGTTTCATTTATCATTAAATAAAAATTAGAATATAAGTGATGAAATATATTTTTTTAATTAATATTAAATCAGAAATGGCGGCAGGATTCTTTAAAAAATTATGGGATGGAATTAAGAAAGCTGCGGGTTGGGTTTATAAAAATATTATTAAACCCGTTGCAAACTTTTTGGCACCAGTAGCGAAAACGGCAGGAACTATCATAGGTGGAGTATTAGGTACTAAAGCAGGTAATCCGGCGATGGGAGCACAAGCAGGTAACGCAATTGGTGGAATTGCTGAAGGAATACTTAATAAAATAGGAGGTAGATAGTGGAAAAATAAATAAATATTATTTTTATCTTAGTATCGGTTGTAGTCTTTGATAAACTTTTTCTCCTTTATTTAAAACTTCTCTTATTGGGGCAGCTTTTGGTGTTATTGATTCAGCAACGTCACTAATTGCTTCTTTATTCTTAAATATCCAATTTGCCCCCTTCTTCAATGTTTCCCAAACTTTACTCGCTCCTCTTTTTACTCTATCCCACAGTTTCTTAAATATACTTGCAGCCATAGTTGATTATTTCATTAAAATTAAAAATTCATTTTCATCTTTTAATTTTGATTTTTTATTTATTAATAAATGACGACTAACTATTTGGTGCCAAACACTAAACCGATTAATGGAAATGTGTTTCATTCATTCGAAAAGATAAATGAAATATTCGCAAAGAATGACGGTAGAAGATATATATAGAGAACTTGAAAGTTCATGCTATGACTCTGATGCTCCATATTTTGATGATAAACAAACTCATTTAAGAATTACAAACCCAGCTCATGATGTGAACCAATTCGGTGACACATATATTAAACGCAAAGTTAAAGCAACTCTAGTTTCAAATAAAGCTTTCACATGTGATGCCGCTTTTAAATGCATGCGTTTATTCGTTGGTTACAAATCATCAAATCAAAGCTTTAAACAATTAGAAGTAGAAACCGAAAGAGGTGATGCCGGTTATCTTCAGATGGATTGCGCCCGTGAATCTTTCGCATTTGCAACATATAAACCAAAATCAGAAAGGAAAGTTAAAAAGTTTGTTCATTCGTTATATAATAATGTTCAAAAATATGATAACTCAGTATGTGGTAAATATATTGACCCTTCAGAAGTTTTCAAGAAAGCAAATGAAGAAGTTGATGTCACTTTTGATATGATTATTCCGGTAAATGATTTGTTAGCATTTCAGGCGTTCGATGATTATCCTAAATCATTTGGTGATATCATTCTTAAATATTATGTTTTCAGGGATACTTTAGTATTTTGTCAGGTTGACCCGTTAAGAGTTGCTGATTTACAAAATTACGTTTATGAAAAGATAACTGATGAAAATTATGAAAAGATTATGAATCATGTTTATAAATATGATCGCAAATTCCAACAAATCGGACTTCCTGCCAAATTAATTACAAGCTTAGCCGCTACATCTGCTGACGCAACAGTTGACGACGTTATTATTTCATGCACAAAGATGGAAGTTTTAGAGGATAAATGCATTACACCAGGATACGGTTTAATTGAAGAATCAGTTAAAGCAATACCACGTTTATTCAGTAAGGAAGATCCATTCATGATTCCAGCTCAACATATTGACGTTCGTTCACTAAATGGAGGTTGCATCACTCCTGAAGGTATTAGCTCAGATTTCTCATACGCTCTTCATAATGTTACAGATGTTGTGTTAACATTTCCGAAGAATGCAATGCAAAGAACAGTTTTAGAAAAATCCAATGCTTCGAGGTCTTCAGGTCACTATAGATTCCAGAAACTTCCCGATCAAGCGATGTCCACAGTGGGCGACATATTCTTTACACGTATGCTTCAAGCTTCTGATTTAGATGGAGTGAATAAATGCACAGAAGAATACGAGGACTCATTAACTAGACCACTGAATGCAGATGATGGCACGCCATTAGCTAGAACATGGAAAGACCAAACTTCATTCTTATGCACTATTCCAGTTCAACGTGATGGAGCGGGTATATTCTTTGATGGATTAGAAACTTTCAACTCACAAGTTACAGTACAAGTGAAAGCTTATCCAATCATTCAGGGTGAAAATGACACTTACTGTTCAAAGGTGACAAATCCTCCTCAGGTTTGGTTTACTAGGACTACATATTGGACATGGACACCGGATAAAGGTTTGAAATATCATCCAACAGGTACACACACAGTATAGAAGTTCATATGATGAAATATGATGAATAGAAATGTTTAAAATTATAAATTTATTTTTGATTAAATGGATTTAAATTCATACACTCCTTATGAAGAATTAGCAGGAGTATATAATACATACATAGATGATATGATTAATGAAGCATTGAGTGATAATAGAAATGCTCTATCTAAGGAAAAATTAATGAAAATTCCATATTCTGAATGTTACTTAAATTCAATCACTGCAGCAATTGGTAAACAAAATAAAGGTAAAACATTAACGATATTAAAACAAATTATCATTATTGCTAACACTTCACCCTATTCACACGTGTTAATTTATATCAACCGTTCAGGTTCACCTTCAGATGATACATTTGAATCTTTAAAGCATTTAATCAAAATTCCAATTATTTATTTATCACAAGAAGAAGCAGAAGATTATTTAAAAAACTTTTTAATGTATAAAGAATTATATAAACAATCAAGAAGCAAGGATTAGAGGATAAAATTATTGATAAACAACGGGATGAATTATTTGAAACACTTTCTATTTCAAATTTTGATAGAGAATTTTTGCATTCACTCATTTTTCTAGATGATGCAGTGAAATCAAAACTAATAACAAATGAGAAATCATATTTTAATCAGTTATTAACTCAATGTCGACACATTCAGGTGTTCATTCTTCATGGCTGTTCAATACTTCAAAGCATTAAGCACAAACATTAAATCAAATCTATCAACACTTTTCATTTTCAGTGGGTTTAGTCGTCAACAGTTGAACGTTATGCTTTATCAAGTGAATTTACCAATGAGCATTAATGAACTTTACACACAATATCAGCAATTAGGTGAACATGGAAAAATAATAGTTGATTTAAATAAAGGAAGTGTTAAATTTGATTAACTTTTTATAATTAATTTTTATTTTTTATTTATAATTAAACATGACAGAAATAGCAAATCTTTTACAGGTTCCATTAAAACAAGGGACAAACAAAAGGGGTGCATATAATAGAACTATGAAAGTTCCTGATGGAATGAAAGAATTAGTTCATATTGTTGCTGGTCTTCAAAAAGATGTTAAACAAATGAGAAACGTTTTAACATTACCAGAAGCTCAAGCATATGCCAAACGTCAAGGTCCAAATTGGGAAGCACACGAAGCAGACATTACGGGTCCAAATGGAAAACCTGATGGTATAAATGAAGTTTTCATTACTGATGGTCAAGGTAATATTAAAGTCATAAATGGTTACAAATTAACTATAACTGATTATCCTAAACGTAAAGCATATAATGAACGTTATCCTATGCAATTTGATGAAAATGGAAAAGCTGTTAAACAATACATTGGAGAAGGTGAAAATGGTCCAATTAATTCATACCGTCATAATCCATATTCTTATTTTAATGAAGAATTAAATGCTATTGAAGAGGGACCGGATGGATTACCACGATATTCTAACCAGTTTGATGGTCAATATGCAAATATTAGACCTGAAATTTCAGCTAAGAAATTCTTTAAAGTTGCTTTATTCGATCCAGTTTTCGCAAATGTTAAAGATGAACTTAAACAGCAATTCCAACCAATTATAGTAGCAAGAATTGCATCAGGTGCTTTATCTCAAGCATTCAAAGATTTAATTAAGAAACCATTATATCAGCAACGAGGTTTAACTTATGATTTAGTTAAGGAATCAGATAAAAGAAAATTTGAGAAATCAGATGATTATAAGAATGCAATTAATGAATATATTAGGTCTATTAATTACAATGAACCAGCTAAAAATCAACTTCAAGAACAAATACAGGGAATAATAGATTCAAAACTTCCAGCAAAATAAAAGTTTAAATATATTTTTTTATTCGATTATAAATGAGAAGACGTTTCACTAGTCAAAAGAACACTAACGCAAAAGCAGAGATTACGGTTGGTTATAACGTAAATGATGATAAATCACGAATTATTCAAAATGTTAAAGTTAATGTTAGCCCTGAATTAACAAGGTCAGCAACTCAACCAAATTTATTAACTCGTGACTTACCGAAAATGAGGAGAGAAAAAAAGAAGATGGAGACCCAATCATTTTATCTGAACCCGGTAAAGAACCTGTTGAAATTCCCACTTATCCAACATACCCCCGCCTCTTTCATCAAACATCGAGAACCCATATAAAATAGACATTAATTCTGAATTAATGAAAATTTACCGTGATATAATAATTAATAATTATGATTCAATAATAAATTTAATTGATCAATCCGGTTTAATTATTTTACCTTATGAATCATTAATTCACATTATCGCCATTCTTTGTGATGTTCAAGATTCAGACGTTAAGATTCAATTTTTCATAGATGATGAGGTTTCATGCTGCGGAACAGTTGCAAAAATAAATCCTATAAAGGATATTAGCACAATTAAGATATCAAAGAACGGAACAACAACTGAACTTCATTTAACATATAATGATATTTATAATAAAATAGTTGATGAATATAAAATATCACTTGAAAAATTCTTTGTTAAGGCTATTTAATATTCAAGCATTAACATTATCGAATAATAATCCTTTGAATCATAATCAATAATAATTGACCTTTCACCAGTTTCTATCGTTTGTTTTATTTCTTTTTGTTCCCCACTATCCGGATCGGTCATTGTAATTGTTTTTGTTATAGTATCAGCTTTATCTTTAACTTCAATCTTTTTTCCATCGATATTTAAACCAAAATTCCAAAAATTCGATATTGTCAATCTGTTCATATTTTAATCTATCAATTACATTTTTAATACCATCTGAAAATCTTATGAAATGGTCATTATATGGGTTTGATTGAACTAAATTTGAATGAAGTGAAATATAACCTGTTGATGAATATGACACTGACTCATATTTTCTGAAAACACTAAAATTTATAACATGAATGAATTTCTTATTCGTTGAATTTATGAATTCTTGAGGTAATCTTATTCTAGTTTTATTTATCACTGGAAAATAACGCTTTACCATATTTTTAATCGTAATAAAAATGTCAATTATCAATATTATTTCGAATAATAACTGTGAATTAAATTTAACAGTTAGCGGAATTTATAATGTTACTCTCGTTTCTGTGAGTGGTAAATTTAATCCCATTCTTTTAGACCCTTCAGATTATATATCATTTATTAAAGATGACCATGAAAAAACGTATGATATGTATATAAATAATGTGATAACGAAATGGGATATTAACATGATTTTAAGTTATTTAAATGAATCATTTATCGTATGGTATGAAGAAAATTTTAAATCAAAACCTGATAAACTTTTTGAACTTGATGAAATAAATAACCTTATTAAATTTCCGCTGAAAATTAAATTTTGTACTCCTCATCTTCGTTCATTGTTGGGGATATTAAATTTTGAAAAAGATGTTGGGATGTTTTGTATTCTGACACTGGTTCCAATTTCATTTTAATCAAATGTGATAAAGTTAATACCCCAATGAGATTTTCACATCAAACATTAGACCCTAACTCTTACCCATCAATACAAAACATTTTATCCATCAACTTAAACACATTTTCTTTATCATATCCGTTTCAATTATCCGGGAATTCATTTATTCTCCATTCAAAAGATTTATCAAATATTAAATTTAGAATAACTGACCTATTTGATTGTGATTTAGAATTTATGAATGAAATATTATGGCAATTTCAAATAGAGAAAATAGCTGATGAGATAACGGATTAAATATTTATTTTTAAATCATAATAAATGATTAAACAACAGCAACTTAAGGCGCAAAGCGCCCAGGTCCTTCAGACCATTACATACGCCACATATGCATATAATTCAAAGACGGCAGAACAAACGCAAAGGTTGAAATATGGAGATTTGGAGATAGTATTGAAAAATGACCATTTCGAATTCGTTTGCAAAGGTGGTGCAGTGATATCAAATATAAAAGAAATTTTATTTATGAATTCAAAAATTAAAGGAATAACGGATGATATAACATCAATTCCACCAGAAGAACAGAGATATTACGCATTAAATGCATTTCCTAAAGTTTTGAAGATTGGAAGATTTAATTTAAATGAGGAATTCATAGAAGGTTTCCTAAATGACATAATGAAGCAGGTGGATAAGGAATATGTAAATACCGAGTTAAATAAGAAGGCAAATTTGGTTTATGTTGATGAAAAAGATAATGAAATTAAAGAAAAGGTTGAATGGTATCATGAATGGACATTGGAGACTTTTAAAGTTAAAGCTGATACAGAATGGGTTTCAGGATGTTTAGACCTTAAAGCAGATAAAACTTATGTTAACGATGAGTTAGAGAAGAAAGCAGATAAAACTTATGTTAACGATGAGTTAGAGAAGAAAGCAGATAAGGAAAAAGTTATTTCATTCATTAATACTGAGTTAGCAAAGAAAGCTGATATATCATTTGTTAATGAAGAAATAAAACAATCAGAGGTCTATTTTACTCCACCATTTTTAAATTTTATGAAATCATCAGATAAAACCTTTGATATAGATTCTTTTGAATGGATATGTTTCGATGGAGTGACCACGTATTTATTTTATACAGCTGGAGTGCTTTATTATTTTAAAACAAATGATTTTAAAAACTATGAATCATTTACTCCATCTGTTTGGAATCCTGATACACGAAAGCCAATCATTAATCCAATAATTTTATATGTTGAATATAATAACGGTAAATTTATGGGAATGATAACGGTTGGAGATGATTTTTGCACTTGTTATTCATTCGATTGTATCCATTGGTTCAAATGTAATTTAAATCAAGATGCTAAATTTAAATATCCAAATAATCCTATTAGATGCGTTAATAATAAATGGGTACTAATTTATGAAGTCAATCAAATTTTCATTAGTGAGGATGGGATAAATTATTATATGTTTAGTATGATGTCATCAGATTTGGAAATTGATTATACAAGTAAGTGGTATTACATTAACAACATGTATTTTATCCTACAAAATGATAAAATTTATAGATCATATTCAATACCATTTGGTCGTTTTGAACAAATTTTTCAAGCTGATGGAGAAATTGAAGCTTTATGTTATGCTTCAAATGTTTGTGTTCTTGTTTCAGGTGGTATGGTCTATTCATATCCTGTAAGTTATAACAGACATATTTATTTATCACAAGATTTTTCACAGAATCCAGAGAAAACACCAAGTTGGGAATTGGTTTATTCATTCACTCCAAAATTACTCGAAATTATAGATTTTAATTTTTTATATTGATGGGTATTTCATTGCTTTAGGATGTGGTGATTTAGTAAATATCAGTAATGATGGTAGAACTTGGTCTGAAATCACAAAATTTCAAGATGTACGAAAAGCTATTTTCAAAAATAATACGTTAATATTGATGACAAGACCAGTTTTAAATACTCGCCCAGTTTCAATATTATATAATAAATTCAATATTCATAATGGATTAAATACAATTCTTGAGATGATTTACCCCATTGGTTCAATATATACATCAATGAATTCAACAAATCCAGCTGATGTATTCGGTTTCGGTACATGGCAACAAATAACCGATCGTTTCCTCTACTGTGCTAATAGTTCAAAACAAACCAGTGGAAGTAAAAAGATTACGGGAGAAAATTTACCTGCTCATAGTCATTATGTTAATTTAAACACTCAAGATTCAGGTTGGCATAGTCATACTTATACTAATTCGTTTGAATATCCTGATGGAAATAATGGATTTCCTGATGGATGGTCTGATAGAGACGCTAGCAGGGGTAAATATTGGTACGGTAATAAAAATAGATGGAATGAAGGATATACTTCAAACGGTTCAGGTACATATTCACATAACGTTTCAGGATATACACAAACGACAGGAAGAGGTACAGATTACATGCCACCTTATATGACAGTTTATGCATGGTTTCGCGTTCAATGAACGCTCAATGTTTGTTTCACAAACTTTAGAACGGCATAATTTAAATTTTTATTTTAGTATAAATGAAGATTCTACCATATGGTGTTATTGGAAGAGATAAAGATGGAAACCCAATATTTGATCCAAAGTTAAAATTAAAGTTACTGAAACCAAAACAGAATGAAAAAGAGAAAAATGAGAAAATGAGAAAATGAGAAAGAAAAAAATTTAAATTATGCAATTTTATTTTTATCATAAATGACAAAATTAATTAAGCCAACTATTTCTAAATTAATGATACCAATGAAATCATTTCATGGAGTACTTATCCCAGGTTCTTCACAATTAGCCGGGGCAAGTGTTGTGGCTCAAGGTGGAACATTAGCGAATCCATTCAAATTAACTAAAGATGAACTTAATAAAATGATGATAAAATAACTGATAACAAAATTTTATTTTTATATAAATGGATACCCCACAAGCTCAAAATTTACCACGAATCATAACAAGGGAGGAAATGATAAAAATGATGCAAGAACGAATTAAAAACAACAAACCACGAAAACCGAGAAGATGCGGAACTATCATAGGTGGGGTATTAGGTACTAAAGCAGGTAATCCAGCGATGGGAGCACAAGCAGGTAACGCAATTGGTGGAATTGCTGAAGGAATACTTAATAAAATAGGAGGTAGATAGTGGAAAAATAAATAAATATTATTTTTATCTTAGTATCGGTTGTAGTCTTTGATAAACTTTTTCTCCTTTATTTAAAATTTCTCTTATTGGGGCAGCTTTTGGTGTTATTGATTCAGCAACGTCACTAATTGCTTCTTTATTCTTAAATATCCAATTTGCCCCCTTCTTCAATGTTTCCCAAACTTTACTCGCCCCTCTTTTTACTCTATCCCACAGTTTCTTAAATATACCTGCAGCCATAGTTGATTATTTCATTAAAATTAAAAATTCATTTTCATCTTTTAATTTTGATTTTTTATTTATTAATAAATGACGACTAACTATTTGGTGCCAAACACTAAACCGATTAATGGAAATGTGTTTCATTCATTCGAAAAGATAAATGAAATATTCGCAAAGAATGACGGTAGAAGATATTATAGAGAACTTGAAAGTTCATGCTATGACTCTGATGCTCCATATTTTGATGATAAACAAACTCATTTAAGAATTACAAACCCAGCTCATGATGTGAACCAATTCGGTGACACATATATTAAACGCAAAGTTAAAGCAACTCTAGTTTCAAATAAAGCTTTCACATGTGATGCCGCTTTTAAATGCATGCGTTTATTCGTTGGTTACAAATCATCAAATCAAAGCTTTAAACAATTAGAAGTAGAAACCGAAAGAGGTGATGCCGGTTATCTTCAGATGGATTGCGCCCGTGAATCTTTCGCATTTGCAACATATAAACCAAAATCAGAAAGGAAAGTTAAAAAGTTTGTTCATTCGTTATATAATAATGTTCAAAAATATGATAACTCAGTATGTGGTAAATATATTGACCCTTCAGAAGTTTTCAAGAAAGCAAATGAAGAAGTTAATATCACTTTTGATATGATTATTCCGGTAAATGATTTGTTAGCATTTCAGGCGTTCGATGATTATCCTAAATCATTTGGTGATATCATTCTTAAATATTATGTTTTCAGGGATACTTTAGTATTTTGTCAGGTTGACCCGTTAAGAGTTGCTGATTTACAAAATTACGTTTATGAAAAGATAACTGATGAAAATTATGAAAAGATTATGAATCATGTTTATAAATATGATCGCAAATTCCAACAAATCGGACTTCCTGCCAAATTAATTACAGGCATAGCTGCTACATCTGCTGACGCAACAGTTGATGATGTTATTATTTCATGCACAAAGATGGAAGTTTTAGAGGATAAATGTATTACACCAGGATATGGTTTAATTGAAGAATCAGTTAAAGCAATACCACGTTTATTTAGTAAGGAAGATCCATTCATGATTCCAGCTCAACATATTGACGTTCGTTCACTAAATGGAGGTTGCATCACTCCTGAAGGTATTAGCTCAGATTTCTCATACGCTCTTCATAATGTTACAGATGTTGTGTTAACATTTCCGAAGAATGCAATGCAAAGAACAGTTTTAGAAAATCCAATGCTTCGAGGTCTTCAGGTCACTATAGATTCCAGAAACTTCCCCGATCAAGCGATGACAACAATGGGTGACATATTCTTTACACGTATGCTTCAAGCTTCTGATTTAGATGGAGTGAATAAATGCACGGAAGAATACGAGGACTCATTAACTAGACCACTGAATGATGATGATGGCGCGCCATTAGCTAGAACATGGAAAGACCAAACTTCATTCTTATGCACTATTCCAGTTCAACGTGATGGAGCGGGTATATTCTTTGATGGATTAGAAACTTTCAACTCACAAGTTACAGTACAAGTGAAAGCTTATCCAATCATTCAGGGTGAAAATGACACTTACTGTTCAAAGGTGACAAATCCTCCTCAGGTTTGGTTTACTAGGACTACATATTGGACATGGACACCGGATAAAGGTTTGAAATATCATCCAACAGGTACACCACCACAGTATAGAAGTTCATATGATGAAATATTGATGAATAGAAATGTTTAAAATTATAAATTTATTTTTGATTAAATGGATTTAAATTCATACACTCCTTATGAAGAATTAGCAGGAGTATATAATACATACATAGATGATATGATTAATGAAGCATTGAGTGATAATAGAAATGCTCTATCTAAGGAAAAATTAATGAAAATTCCATATTCTGAATGTTACTTAAATTCAATCACTGCAGCAATTGGTAAACAAAATAAAGGTAAAACATTAACGATATTAAAACAAATTATCATTATTGCTAACACTTCCCCCTATTCACATGTGTTAATTTATATCAACCGTTCAGGTTCACCTTCAGATGATACATTTGAATCCTTAAAGCATTTAATCAAAATTCCAATTATTTATTTATCACAAGAAGAAGCAGAAGATTATTTAAAAAACTTTTTAATGTATAAAGAATTATATAATACAATCAAGAAGCAAGGATTAGAGGATAAAATTATTGATAAACAACGGGATGAATTATTTGAAACACTTTCTATTTCAAATTTTGATAGAGAATTTTTGCATTCACTCATTTTTCTAGATGATGCAGTGAAATCAAAACTAATAACAAATGAGAAATCATATTTTAATCAGTTATTAACTCAATGTCGACACATTCAGTGTTCATTCTTCATGGCTGTTCAATATTTCAAAGCATTAAGCACAAACATTAAATCAAATCTATCAACCTTTTCATTTTCAGTGGGTTTAGTCGTCAACAGTTGAACGTTATGCTTTATCAAGTGAATTTACCAATGAGCATTAATGAACTTTACACACAATATCAGCAATTAGGTGAACATGGAAAAATAATAGTTGATTTAAATAAAGGAGTGTTAAATTTGATTAACTTTTTATAATTAATTTTTATTTTTTATTTATAATTAAACATGACAGAAATAGCAAATCTTCTACAGGTTCCATTAAAACAAGGGACAAACAAAAAGGGTGCATATAATAGAACTATGAAAGTTCCTGATGGAATGAAAGAATTAGTTCATATTGTTGCTGGTCTTCAAAAAGATGTTAAACAAATGAGAAACGTTTTAACATTACCAGAAGCTCAAGCATATGCCAAACGTCAAGGTCCAAATTGGGAAGCACACGAAGCAGACATTACGGGTCCAAATGGAAAACCTGATGGTATAAATGAAGTTTTCGTTACTGATGGTCAAGGTAATATTAAAGTCATAAATGGTTATAAATTAACTATAACTGATTATCCTAAACGTAAAGCATATAATGAACGTTATCCTATGCAATTTGATGAAAATGGAAAAGCTGTTAAACAATACATTGGAGAAGGTGAAAATGGTCCAATTAATTCATACCGTATAATCCATATTCTTATTTCAATGAAGAATTAAATGCTATTGAAGAGGGACCGGATGGATTACCACGATATTCTAACCAGTTTGATGGTCAATATGCAAATATTAGACCTGAAATTTCAGCTAAGAAATTCTTTAAAGTTGCTTTATTCGATCCAGTTTTCGCAAATGTTAAAGATGAACTTAAACAGCAATTCCAACCAATTATAGTAGCAAGAATTGCATCAGGTGCTTTATCTCAAGCATTCAAAGATTTAATTAAGAAACCATTATATCAGCAACGAGGTTTAACTTATGATTTAGTTAAGGAATCAGATAAAAGAAAATTTGAGAAATCAGATGATTATAAGAATGCAATTAATGAATATATTAGGTCTATTAATTACAATGAAACAGCTAAAAATCAACTTCAAGAACAAATACAGGGAATAATAGATTCAAAACTTCCAGCAAAATAAAAGTTTAAATATATTTTTTTATTCGAATATAAATGAGAAGACGTTTCACTAGTCAAAAGAACACTAACGCAAAAGCAGAGATTACGGTTGGTTATAACGTAAATGATGATAAATCACGAATTATTCAAAATGTTAAAGTTAATGTTAGCCCTGAATTAACAAGGTCAGCAACTCAACCAAATTTATTAACTCGTGACTTACCGAAAATGAGGAGATGAAGAAAAATGAGAATGGAGACCCAATCATTTTATCTGAACCGGTAAAGAACCTGTTGAAATTCCCACTTATCCAACATACCCCCACCTCTTTCATCAAACATCGAGAACCCATATAAAATAGACATTAATTCTGAATTAATGAAAATTTACCGTGATATAATAATTAATAATTATGATTCAATAATAAATTTAATTGACCAATCCGGTTTAATTATTTTACCTTATGAATCATTAATTCACATTATCGCCATTCTTTGTGATGTTCAAGATTCAGACGTTAAGATTCAATTTTTCATAGATGATGAGGTTTCATGCTGCGGAACAGTTGCAAAAATAAATCCTATAAAGGATATTAGCACAATTAAGATATCAAAGAACGGAACAACAACTGAACTTCATTTAACATATAATGATATTTATAATAAAATAGTTGATGAATATAAAATATCACTTGAAAAATTCTTTGTTAAGGCTATTTAATATTCAAGCATTAACATTATCGAATAATAATCCTTTGAATCATAATCAATAATAATTGACCTTTCACCAGTTTCTATCGTTTGTTTTATTTCTTTTTGTTCCCCACTATCCGGATCGGTCATTGTAATTGTTTTTGTTATAGTATCAGCTTTATCTTTAACTTCAATCTTTTTTCCATCGGGATATTTAAACCAAAATTCCAAAAATTCGATATTGTCAATCTGTTCATATTTTAATCTATCAATTACATTTTTAATACCATCTGAAAATCTTATGAAATGGTCATTATATGGGTTTGATTGAACTAAATTTGAATGAAGTGAAATATAACCTGTTGATGAATATGACACTGACTCATATTTTCTGAAAACACTAAAATTTATAACATGAATGAATTTCTTATTCGTTGAATTTATGAATTCTTGAGGTAATCTTATTCTAGTTTTATTTATCACTGGAAAATAACGCTTTACCATATTTTTAATCGTAATAAAAAATGTCAATTATCAATATTATTTCGAATAATAACTGTGAATTAAATTTAACAGTTAGCGGAATTTATAATGTTACTCTCGTTTCTGTGAGTGGTAAATTTAATCCCATTCTTTTAGACCCTTCAGATTATATATCATTTATTAAAGATGACCATGAAAAAACGTATGATATGTATATAAATAATGTGATAGCGAAATGGGATATTAACATGATTTTAAGTTATTTAAATGAATCATTTATCGTATGGTATGAAGAAAATTTTAAATCAAAACCGATAAACTTTTTGAACTTGATGAAATAAATAACCTTATTAAATTTCCGCTGAAAATTAAATTTTGTACTCCTCATCTTCGTTCATTGTTGGGGATATTAAATTTTGAAAAAGATGTTGGGGATGTTTTGTATTCTGACACTGGTTCCAATTTCATTTTAATCAAATGTGATAAAGTTAATACCCCAATGAGATTTTCACATCAAACATTAGACCCTAACTCTTACCCATCAATACAAAACATTTTATCCATCAACTTAAACACATTTTCTTTATCATATCCGTTTCAATTATCCGGGAATTCATTTATTCTTCATTCAAAAGATTTATCAAATATTAAATTTAGAATAACTGACCTATTTGATTGTGATTTAGAATTTATGAATGAAATATTATGGCAATTTCAAATAGAGAAAATAGCTGATGAGATAACGGATTAAATATTTATTTTTAAATCGTAATAAATGATTAAACAACAGCAACTTAAGGCGCAAAGCGCCCAGGTCCTTCAGACCATTACATACGCCATATATGCATATAATTCAAAGACGGCAGAACAAACGCAAAGGTTGAAATATGGAGATTTGGAGATAGTATTGAAAAATGACCATTTCGAATTCGTTTGCAAAGGTGGTGCAGTGATATCAAATATAAAAGAAATTTTATTTATGAATTCAAAAATTAAAGGAATAACGGATGATATAACATCAATTCCACCAGAAGAACAGAGATATTACGCATTAAATGCATTTCCTAAAGTTTTGAAGATTGGAAGATTTAATTTAAATGAGGAATTCATAAAAGGTTTCCTAAATGACATAATGAAGAAAGCAGATGAGGAATATGTTAATGGTGAATTAATGAAGAAGGCAAATTTGGTTTATGTTGATGAAAAAGATAATGAAATTAAAGAAAGGTATGGAATGGTATCATGAATGGACATCAAAGATTTTAAAACTAAAGCTGATACAGATGGGTTTCAGGATGTTTAGACCTTAAAGCGGATAAACTTATGTTAATTGATGAGTTAATGAAGAAAGCGGATAAAGAACATACACATAACTTCTTCTCAACTGTTTCTATAGAAAATATTGAAGGAACGGTCGAGGAACTGAGGGGATGCATTATTTATAAACCTCCTAACTTTCCACAGTTTAACATCGAATGAAAACATAACAACGAATAAAAAAAATTAGCTGTAAAAATGTTTATGTCATGAGTAGTGAAAATAATGTTAAATTCACTGCTCAAGATTTATATGATAAGAAAGCCGACAAAACTTATGTTAGCGATGAGTTAGAGAAGAAGGCAGATAAGGAATATGTTAACGAAATATACCAAAGTTTGATAGGAACAACAAAAAATATTGAAACTATTGTTGGTGACTTTTCTGTCAATGAAGAAAATAAATATTTTAGATGGCAGTTTGTACAGTCCTTAAAAAATGGTACACGGTGTAAACTCATTCCGAAAAATAACAATGAAATGTATGTAAGCTATAAAAAGAATGATGGAACACAAGTTAAAGTTCCATTAGATAACAACTGTTACATAAACTTATATGGAGACGAACAAAAGAAATATTTAAGAGTTTATGAAATGACAGATATGACATTGCCTGACCCAGCTCCAGCACCATATTATTATGACTATGGAGATGACAATAGAACACCACATGTAGATGAACAAAAGTTAACATTATATTTAGATTATTATAGATATAAAAGATATAATGCAATAGAAAAAACGAGAATAGTATATTATTATACAGATGACAGAAATAAATATTATAGTCAAGATTTTACCCACCCTGAAAACATAAGATTATATTATAAAAAATATTCTGACACAAACCAAAAGAAACCTGAAATAGTTGCATTATATTTTAAGTTCAAAAGAGACAATCCTATATTATCTCATATGTTTGATTTAATGAACCCAGTAGGTTCTATTTATACATCTATGGATGCAAGAGGTCCTCAAGTAATGTTTGGTGTTGGTGCATGGGAACAAATAGTCGACAAATTTTTGTATTGTGCAAACTCTTCAAAGGAAATAGGTGGAAGTAAAACGATTTCAGGTGAAAATTTACCTGCACACAGTCACTACATAGATTTAAGCACATCTCAAGCAGGTTGGCATAAGCATAGATATTGGGATTGGTCAGGAATGACAAAAGGTAAAGGATATGATGTTAAAGACGACGTTAAGTTTGCTATAAATTGTTACTGGAGTGACACTCAGGGAGAAGGAAACCATACACATTTCGTTTCAGGATATACACAAACAACGGGACAAAGTAAAGAATACATGCCACCTTACATGACAGTTTACGCATGGTATAGAGTTCAATGAACGCTCAATGTTTGTAAAACAAACTTTAGAACGGACTGAAAGTCCTGAGCTCCAAAAGAGCGAACGGCATAATTTAAATTTTTATTTTATCATAAATGAAGATTCTACCATATGGTGTTATTGGAAGAGATAAAGATGGAAACCCAATATTTGATCCAAAGTTAAAATTAAAGTTACTGACAAGACAACAACTTGAAAAGTTGCTGAAACCAAAACAGGATGAGAAAATGAGAAAGAAAAAAATTTAAATTATGTAATTTTATTTTTCTCATAAATGACAAAATTAATTAAGCCAACTATTTCTAAATTAATGATACCATTGAAATCATTTCATGGAGTACTTATCCCAGGTTCTTCACAATTAGCCAGGGCAAGTGTTGTGACTCAAGGTGGAACATTAGTGAATCCATTCAAATTATTAACTAAAGATGAACTTAATAAAATGATGAAAAAATAACTGATAACAAAATTTTATTTCACTGCTACCATGTTACCATATGCTACCAGGTCAATTAACTTCTCTGAAAAATGATGACAACATGACATTTTGACAACATCACTGGAGGAAGGTAAAAATAAAGTTAGTTTTAAAATTATTTTTATTTTTTTATTTTGTATGTAAGAACAGAAATGTCAGTCGAAGCAAAAACGTTCACGAACAAATCAAATGGCGAAACATTCACAAAAGGCACTTATAATGGTATTGAAGTCTTATGTAGAGACAAGGATGGTTACATTAATGCAACAAAGATGTGTCAACAGTTTAGGAAAGACTTTAGAAAGTTGTTGGAAAATAAGTCCTGGGAAGAGTATTATAAGGCATTTTGTGAAGAATATAGCAACCGCCGGAATTCCGACGGTTGCTTTTTATACAAAATTCATGCAGGAATTCCTGATGAAATCAAACTGGTTAGAGGAACGTATGTAGACCCAAGACTTATAAACTATATAGCAATGTGGGCTTCTCCAAAATATTGCATAGCAGTTGGAAAAATTATGGACTCCATAGACAAGAAAGTTCATGAGAAATTAGATGAAGAAGAACTCGAAGATACAGTAGAGAATGCTAAACCTTTGTTCGAACAAGAAGTTAGAAAAATGCGCGAAAAACAATTAGAACATGAACGTGAGATATGTTATGGTTATAGAGATTTTCCATACGAACTAGACCAATGGGAACAAGAAGATTTAAAGAGAGAATTTAGAGAATATGAACTCGCTAAGATAGCATTTGAAGCTGCAGAAAAGAAGTTAAAAGTTTGGGGTCGTTTTGTACAAAAATATTGTGAGTAAATGAATCATTTATTTTTATCATAAACGACCAAAAATATATTTTATCGTTAATGGTTTCATTAATGATTTTAGGTTATTCAATAATGAATTATTTTTGAAGAACTGAAGGTGCTACCATGTTGTCATGTTGACGACATGACATTGTGTCAACATCACGAGAGGAAGGCAATAATGAATTATTTTTGAAGAACTGAAGGTGCTACCATGTTACCGGGTGCTACCAGGTCAATTAATTTCTTTTAAAAATAGTGACAACATGACATTTTGACAACAACATAGGAGGAAGGCAATAATGAATTATTTTTGAAGAACTGAAGGTGCTACCATGTTACCGGGTGCTACCAGGTCAATTAATTTCTTTTAAAAATAGTGACAACATGACATTTTGACAACAACATAGGAGGAAGGTAAAAATAAATTCGAATCATACTTTATAAAGCTTCATTTACAGGTATTTCATCATCAGTAAATGAATCCTCATTATCGTTTGGTTCAACCTGTTTATATAATCCTTTCATTTCTTCTTTCAAAACATAACACCATGTTTGTTTACAATCTATTCTTCTATGTTTCCTATCACATTTATCCTTAATACTCATTTGAAAATTGTTGTCTTTCATGTCTGATGGTTTGCAGAATAAAGCATTTTCACACATCATACCTGCACACAATTCATCATAATGTGTATTTATCCATACATCTAAAGGATTTGATGATAATTCAATTAAATCTTGTTTGGCTTCAGTCATCGGTATGATTCGTACATTAAATGATGAAAGGTCGTAATTGATAAAATACGTCAGTAAATTATCATAAAATTCCTTTGTGCATGAATCCATTAAATTCTTGAAGTAATCAAATTGACCCTTAAATTTATCATTAACCCTTAAAACTACATATCTTCTGTCTCCAACTTCAATTTTGACAGGGTAGACGTTATTAGTTACCAAAATGAAGTTCGCAACGTTTTGAGCGGTTCTTCTGGGTTGATTCTTTTCATTAATTCTAATCTCATTATCCGTTATAATTGATTTCAAAGCGTTGAAGTTTGCGAGTCTATCTTCACCTACATTCTTGAGTTCATTAAGTACAAGAAACATTTTATTTTCAACTACTGAGTTGAAATTACCCGTTAGCTCAGCGATTTCAGTAATGTTTTTGCATGAATAACCAGCGAGAAGTTCAGAAATAATGTCAGTGAATCTGTTTTTACCTGTTCCCTGAAGTCCTTTCAAAATAATTGCTGTTTCATTCTTGATTCCAGGATGTTGAATCATTGATGCAATCCACCCAAGTAGGTATTTATACACTTCTTCATTATTATCACAAATGGCTTCTTTAATGAAATTCATAAACATCTCAATTTTTGAGTAATCAGGCTTTTCGAGAACGTTGTATTTATAACCTTGAAACGTTGAGAAAACATCTGGGGAAACAGATTTAAAGCAAACACCCTTAACGGTTAATGAAGACAATTGATTTAGTAGTACATCCCATGCTGTTATTGTTTTACCTTCTTCTTTAAATAATTTAATCATTTTGAGTGACTCTTTCATGTTTGATTGAAGAACGAATGATATTTGATTCATTTTATCGTGGATATTATAGTCCTTTTGAATGAAATATTTGTTTCCACAATCTACAAAACGGATTACACGTGATAAATCCTCAATTACTTCAGAACTGTTTTTATACTGTTGATTTTCAGCCTTGCGTCTAATATCCGTTATCAAAAACGAGTCGTCAAGTTTGATATCAAATGTTATTTTTGGCTTACGTAATAAAGGTAAAACATATTCATCATAATATTCCTTTTGATATAGTTTTAGAATCTTCACCAAAACAAATGGAGAAGTCATTAAATATGCATATCTACAACGTGCTTTTTCAAAATTACTTTTAGCATTTTCTGTTAAACTGCAGAAGTTATAAACGTTATCGTATGCTTCATTAATTAAATGATTAGGTAACGAATTAATTGCTTGAAACAGTGTGAATAATGTTATTTCTTTTTCTAAATTCATGTTTCCACCGTCATTATGTACTTCAAAATCACAGATGCCATCAACTATGCTCTGGGCAAGTTTATCGTCAATGTTTACATCTTTGTTTTCATTCATGATAGTCTTTATTTCTTCATTCTTCTGTTCAACTTTTACCTTAATATTCAAATCATTTAATATATCATTCACTGTTCTGGTTAATGTTGAATCGTAACTTCCACGAATGAATGAGTATGTATTGATTGGTTCTGTTGCATTCTTGCGAACTCTTGAATCAGCCATAACTACTAATGAACGCTTTGAATCATCCATAGAAGTCATGATATCAATATCATAATCATTGCAGGAATAGCATTTAATCATTCTGTTCGAAACTGCATAGAAGAAATTAGTGTTGCAATAAATGTGAAGACCTCCAGAAGCGGTTTTAACGATAACATCTTTATCCGAAAGTTTTGATAAAATGTCTTTTCTAACTGTTTCTTTAAGTTCATCATTGTATGATTTATTGATATCGACATCTATAATCGTTAAATTTGGAATTTTATTTACTAATAAAGCCATACCAGTTTTCCTTCCTCTTCCTCCATCATGTTTGAGGTAGTTGTGTAAATCAATCATGTTTTCACCAATTCTTTCATTGAGGGTTTTAGTTTCTGTCATAACTAATTCCTCAACTAATGAATCAATAACTTTTTCATCAGAAACGATATAGTTGCTGTTGTTGTTTGTTGCCGTCATTTATATAGGAATAAAAAAATAAAAATAATTTTAAAACTAACTTTATTTTTGGGCTACATCAAATTTTCTATGTTGTTGTCAAAATGTCATGTTGTCACTATTTTTAAAAGAAATTAATTGACCTGGTAGCACCCGGTAACATGGTAGCACCTTCAGTTCTTCAAAAATAATTCATTATTGCCTTCCTCTCGTGATGTTGACACAATGTCATGTCGTCAACATGACAACATGGTAGCACCTTCAGTTCTTCAAAAATAATTCATTATTGCCTTCCTCCTATGTTGTTGTCAAAATGTCATGTTGTCACTGAAAAAATTAAATGTTATTTAAATATAATGGAGTAATAAAATAAATCGGAATTTCTATTAATTTATTGTCAACTTCAACTAATGCATTGCCGTTAATATATCTAACAAATTCAGCTATTGTGTCAAATCTTCGTCTTCTTTTTGTCATTGATTTATCAGTTTTTCCATAATCGAGATGAATCAAAACTTTATCCCCTTGTTTAAAATTCATGAGCCCCGAATTAATTTGTTCACATTTAACATCATTTAACCTTTCAATTTGTTTTCTAATATATTCCCATTCTTTTGAAATATCATTTTTCATTTCCACCGGTTTCATGTTTATTGTTCTATGCCATGTATTATTGTAATAATATACTAACTGCTGTATGATGGAGTCATGATTTCCATCCCAGTATATCTGACCGTTAACTCCTAACGCATCTCTAAGAGTTCTCATTACCGCATCAACTATTTTATTATGAAACGTATATGGAGAGGATGAAAAGTAAAAATTAATTTGTGGAAAATAATGAGCCATAGCTGCCTGAAATCCTTTATCACCATCACCCCTTATATTATCTACTCTTTCATGATCTAGTAAGTATTGTATAGCTCTTCTTGTTTCCTGTTCTGTTTTCCCTTTCACTGGAATGCAATATAAATATCTGGTGTTAATGTTAATGGCAAATAAATAAGTAACATTTCCTTTTGAATATTCTAAATGATCGATTTCGTATGAATATGGATATGGTGCAAATGAGGGGCGACCAAATTTTTCCTTTAACGGTTGAATTTTCGGGTCAATTGGTTTATTTAATATTTTGAAATCCCTTTTAAAATCTTTTTGCTTCTTTAATGTTTGAAATGGATATAATAAAGTGAATGATGAAGGATTAACTGAAGGAGGAGGAGGTACTACTGTTGGAGGTTTTGGGGTTGCAAGTGGTTTAATTTTATCTGCTTTGATTTTGGATTTCATTCCTCCTTTCATTAATTCTGGATGTATTTTATTCATTTGTTTTAAATATGCTGTATATAAAGGTTTGATATACTTTCCCGCTTCGAGTTTATGTTGAAGGATGAATTCCAAAAGTTGATCTTCATTTAAAAGTTGGGTTGAACACGGTTTAACTAATGAATCATAAATTAAAGCTTGTGCTTCATTTATGGTCTGAATGACCTGGGTGTTTTGCACTTTTAACTTTTGTTCCTTTGTTTTTTGCGGCTCAGGATTATATAATTTATATAATTCATCAATATCTTCTTCTGTTAATATAGGGTGTCCAAAGGTGTGTTTAGCACAAACCTGAATACTGCGAATAGAAATAAACAAGTTACATATATATAAAGTTTATTTAAATATAATCACCATTGGATTCAATCACGCGTTCGCAGCGATCGATCCAGGCTTGAAAGACACGCTTTAAATCATCATGAGAAAATTGCTCAAATTGCTCTCTTACAAAATTTTCAAGATCATCTGGACTCGCGAATTCGCGTCCTTCAGCTCTCTTTTTTAGCGTGCCGAATAAATAAAAGTCAGAGGGTGCAATATCAGGTGAATAAATTGGGTTTGGAACAACTTTGACATTGTTTTCCACCAAGTAATTCATTACCTTATGACTTTTGTGAACTCTTGAATTATCAAAATGAATTGCAAACTTTTGTTTTTGTTGTTTGGATTTCTCAAACTCATCAGAATTGATAATTTGAGTAAGAACATTGTCAATTAGATACTGAGCATTCATCGTATTAGGTTTTTGAAGAATATCAATTGCGATGATGCCATTCACGCCCCAAAAAACCGACAACATCATCATTGGTATGTCAATTTTTTTCTTCGGGAATGTTTGCGGATTTTCATCCTTCGGGATCCACATGATTTTTGGCTTCTGTTGCATATTGAAACCAAGACTCGTCCCCTGTTACTAAAAAGCGAAACTTCTTGGATTGATACGCACCCAATATAGAGAGGAGCTCTTTCGAAGATTGGACTCTAGATTTTTTTGAACTGAATTAAGGTTGTGCGGAACCCAACGTGTATACGCTAGTTTGTAGTTCAAATAATTGTGCAGATAATAACTGACTGTTGTACGTGGTATCTTTGTCATCTCCTCTATCCTTCTGAGTGATGCTCTTGGGTCTTCATCTAGCGCTTGAAGAATTGCTTTGATTTTTCTTTGATCCGGCGATTTTTTGTCAATTTTTATGATGGGCGCCTTTTTGTTCATGAAGTGATACATCCTAACATGATACGTTACAGTGGAATAGCTAGGAGCATCCATACCGAAGCATTTTACCAATGTCTCGTAGATTTTTTTACAGTCTTTGCATTTTTTTGCAAGAGCGAGGATGTTTTCTTTATGATTCATTAAAAAAATGAAAAAAATCCCGCCAAAATTTCCCGCGAAACCGCCTCTTGTCTCAAAATTCATTTTATATCCCGGCATGGCGCCAAAATACAACATACTCATCATATACATATATTCATATTTTTTATTATATATTTATAATCAGCATATATCTCCTTTAATAGTCTCATATAGAGCGCTGTGCTAAACGCACCTTTGGACACCCTATACTTTATTTTTGAAATCTTTCATTTGTTTAAGTTGTGATTTAGTTTTTCCCTTTGCATATTCATTATTTTTAATTTTGTCTTTAATTTTAGAAATTATTTTATCATGATATTTCAAAATTTCATTTTTATAATAATGATAATAATAATCCATATCATCACCCGTTATATTTTCATCGTATTTTTGGAGATATGCTTTTAATTCATAATAAGTAAGAAAATTTTGATTAAATACTAAATCATCAATTAAAATTTTTAAATCTACATTATCCATTTATATAAAAATAAAATAAATGTTTTAAGGGCGCCCACCTCTTTGATCAAGAATCAAAACCATCATTAACGGTTCCTTTTGTCTCTTCTGTGGCATTTCATTAAAATAAAATTTTAAATTGTATTAAATAAACGGCATACAACATCCATTTTCACAACATACAGCCTTAGTGTGTGCTCCTGTTAATGCAGTCTTACCGATTGTTAAGCGAGTCATTGACCCGTTTTTAAGTTGTAAATTAATATTCTGACCATCAAATATCAATTTATCATTTATTATATCCAAATAATTTTTAGGTGTTAATTGTTTATTTTGTCGTAAACTAACACCTTTCATTTTTTGTGCAATCTTTTTAAAATCACCTCCATCAATTGAACCGTTGAATGATGTATAACACTTGGGACATAAAGCAACCATGTTATCACCTTGTTTCTCAATTGCTAAACCCAATAACTTCTTCTCATGTGCTTTTTCTTCAGCTTTATTCATTAATTTAGGTTTAAATTTCTCATCAAAACAGAAGAAATCAAATGAAACCGATTTTAAAAATAAATGAAACAGAGGGGGATGAAATAAATGAAAGTGAAAATGTTCAACAAAAAATAAACGTTGTTAAACCAATTACTGAAATAAAAATTTTTTCATCTGTTGAAGAATTTAATGACTATTATGCCAATAATAAAAAATTATTTGAAGAATTGACAACATGTAAATTGAATAAAATGTTTAAAGTTGATGGATTCAAAATTTCAAAAATAAAAGGGGTGGTTAGTTTGAAATCTATTCCTCAATCAAGAATCACCTCATTAATGAAAATTGATGATTTAACAAAAAGAATAGAAGAGATTGAAGAAAGAATGAATCAAATAATTGATTTCATAAATTCAAATAATCATTAGTTTCTAATTTCTTTACCCGTTTATGAGGTCTTTGATTATGACTCCATTGATTCCATTCATTTTTAAACAATGTTTAATTAATCGTGGAATATCTGACATCATCTATATATATATAGCTTCTTTTATAAATGATGAAATAAATTATTTTTATGTATGGGCTGAGTGTAAATGTCTTACGATTTGAAAATTTTTTAAATCTTGATTTATTCAAAAACGTAAGAATAAAAACCGTAAGAATCATACATTTTTTTACTTCATATGTTAAAAAAAAATGATACAAAATCGTTCAATATTGTATGAATTCTTACGTTTACAAAAAAAGTCACACAACCCGCTCTCATATACTACTAATAACTTTTCGTTTAATTTATTCTACAAATTTGACACTAATATTCAAAAAAAAAGAAAAAAAAAAAAAAAAAAAAAAAAAGGGTAGTGGGGCTTCCAGGCACTTCGTGCCTTCTAGCCCTGAGGATGAATGAGTATAATGAAGTCTTGACAAAACATTTACGAAGAAATCTCAACAAAGTCTTTACGAAGAAGTCTTGACAAAACATTTACGAAGAAGTCTTGACAAAACATTTACGAAGAAATCTCAACAAAGTCTTTACGAAGAAGTCTTGACAAAGTCTTTACGAAGAAGTCTTGACAAAGTCTTTACGAAGAAGTCTTGACAAAATATTTACGATGAAGTCTTGACAAAGTCTTTATGAAGAAATCTCAACAAAGTCTTTACGAAGAAATCTCAACAAAGTCTTTACGAAGAAGTCTCAACAAAGTCTTTACGAAGAAATCTTAACAAAACATAGACAAGAAAGTTCATGAGTGTAAATGACCCAAAAATATATTTTAGGGTAGAAGGGTATATCTACCCCGTTTTCTACCCTCTTTTCTACCCTCTTGAATTTTCATGAAATTTACACCAAAAATATACTACTAGGGTCATTTACGAAGAAATCTCAACAAAGTCTTTACGATGAAGTCTTGACAAAGTCTTTACGAAGAAATCTCAACAAAGTCTTTACGAAGAAGTCTCAACAAAGTCTTTACGAAGAAGTCTCAACAAAGTCTTTACGAAGAAGTCTCAACAAAGTCTTTACGAAGAAGTCTTGACAAAGTCTTTACGAAGAAGTCTTGACAAAGTCTTTACGAAGAAATTCATGAAAATTCAAGAGGGTAGAAAAGAGGGTAGAAAAGAGGGTAGATATACCCTTCTACCCTAAAATATATTTTTGGGTCATTTACGAAGAAATCTCAACAAAGTCTTTACGAAGAAGTCACAATAAAACATCTGTCAAAAACCGCTTTTTAACTTCACTTAAAATGCCACGTAAGCTACGTAAGAATATACGTAAGAGGAAGAGAGCATTGAAACATCCAATAGTAAGACTGACACCACAACAACAGTTGCAACAACAAATGCTGAATGACCCCACTATGTTGCAACAAATGTCAAGCAATCCTATGCTTTTAAACCGAGTTGTTGGTGCACAGAGTGGAGGTTTAAGAGCGGCACTTTTAGCGAAAATGGCAGGCTATGGTGGAGCTGCAGACGGAACAGCATATAACCCTCAAAGTCAAATGAATTTGAGTTCACTCAAAAATCAAATAACAGATGTCAAAAAGTCAAACATAGACATACAGAAGCAAATAAGTGAAAACGAAAAGAAACTAGAATATGACAGACACACAAAGAAACTCAATGAGTTAAACGTAGAGAAAAAGAAGAAAGAAGAACAACTGAAAGAACTAAGTACAGAGGAATATGCGAAAAAAGTGTCAGAAAAAGCAGCAGAAGTAGCAAAAATGGAACAAGATGTCATAAATTTGAAAAACCATACTACTCAATATAAAATACTGAAAGATGAAGAGATAAAACAAAAAGCCCTGAAGACATATATGGATAGCGATGAGTATAAAAAAGAAGTTGAAGCAAATGTAAAGGCAGAAAAACTTTTACAGTTGCAAAACCAAACCGTACAGTATGAAAACTTAGCACAAGAAAGTAAAAATAACGACGCGGCTATGCAAAAGGCAATGAAAAGCGCAGAATATATAAAAGCTAACAATGACTGGTTAGATGCCCAAGCCAACGCTAAAGCAGCCCAACTCATAGGGTCAATAAGGACAAAAATACAAGCGGATGAAGACAGTTCAAATGAAGCTTTAACAAATGCTGACTTTAAGAACGCCTTCGAAGCTCTTCATAGTAAGGTGAAACAAGTGAACGACTTCTCATCTGGAAAGAAACTGAAGTCTGAAGGTTTCGACAAAGAGTTAAAAGAAGTAGCACAAAATATGACGAAAATAACAGATGCAGCAACGAGACAGGCAGTTCAAAGTGCCTATGACGCCGTTAGAGCAACTGTTGTGAAAAGTCAAGAAAAAGAGTTACAACAGACCAAAACAGACCTAGTAAATGCTTTCTTAAGAACGAAAAGTCAGGTAGGACATTACGCTGCAGATGGAACATATGTGCCAGCTGGTGGAATTTATATACCAGCTGGTGGAACTTATATACTAGCTAGTGGAACTTATATACCACCAAACCCTCCAAGAGAAGCACCTGCACCAGGACTACCTAAAACATTTACATCGTCACATGGACATAGACACAGGCATGCACCAAAACCAACACAACAACCAACAGTTCAAAACCCTGCACAACAACCACCTCCACAACCAGCACCAAAACCAACACAACAACCAACACAACAACCAACAGTTCAAAATCCAGCACAACAACAACCACAAACAGAGCAAGGACATAAAAGAAGTAGAGAACAAGGAAACCAAGAATTCTTAAAAATGCTTAAAGAAGAGTGTGGTTTCCCAGATAGTATTGACTTTAGTGACAGATATAAAGAAGCTATTGGAAAGTTCAAGGATGGAAATACTGACCCGAACCTATTTAGCTTTATGGCTCAGCACCAAAACGGATATAATCTCAAACCTGGAAAATACAAGCTCGCTAAGGGATATGATTTAATAGCATATCATCCAAATGACATGGATGAATTTACTCCGAGATATTTGATGTCAGAGCTAAATGACAATTCAACTTTCGTCATGAAACGCGTAAAAAATAGAGACGGAACGAAAGAACAAAAGCTTATGAATGCGGATGACGTAGATAGGGAAATTGTTGAAAACGGTCTCGGAATATATGAAATGCCAGCAGATGAGGTACAAGAAACTCCACAGGAAGAAATAGTTCAGATACAACCAGACATGGAAGAAATAGTTCAGCAACAACAGCTAGAAGAGCCTGAAGGAAACGAACAAGTCACTCCTTTGGAAAAACTTCACAGAACTAGATGAAGATTTGGAACAGCCGAAAAATCTTGACCCTCAACAAGAGTATGCGGAGAATATGGAATATTTCCAAGAGTCTAAAAAAAATTCGGCTGACATAGTAGAAGAATATCGAAAAATGTTTGCCGACATACAAAAGACTCCAACATCAGATGAAAATATCCAGCATAGAATGGAAGAACTGAAAAAAAATGTACACAAATACAACAACCCTTTTTACTTACGAGCATTTAACGTTCAATCTTCGGATGAACTCGGTGAAGATAAAAGGTTAAATTTCAAGAAAACATATAGAAATGAAACATTGTTTAAAGTTCATTCAGAACCTAACCAAGATGGAAACAAACCTACTTTTGTTTCTGCAGACGATGGAACTACAATGAGATGGGTCATAAAGCTAATCCGGATAGGTGGTTCATAAACTTACAACCTCAATTCCAAGAAGTTGTAGACGCAATGAAGTCAATGGTGAACCAGATATAGCTGGTATTTTAAGCGCGGCTTTAATGCCATTGAAAGATATGAAAGATGCAGATATTTTGGACCAGTATGAAATGAACATGGCTGATGGAAATATAACACCTGACGTTCTAGAACATTTATCTCAAAGAACTACACAGAACCATAGAGATGGTATATTTGGTGAAGAGTTTAGAAAGAAAGTTAGGGAGGGAGAAGGAAGAGAACCTATTGTACATGACCTTGCAAACGAAAGTTTACAAAATGTCATAAAAACTTACTTTGCAGACAATGAACCGAGAAGGGATGAATATTTAAGAAAACTCAAATGGACAGTACCAAATGAAATGTTAGTATTGAAAAACATGTTCCTTGACAAAATAAAACCAACTACAGAAATAAACGACGCAAGACTGAAAGATTGGGTAGAAGCTTTCCCATTCACAAAAGATATAGTTGGTAACATGGAAAGAAAACCAGAATGGCTACAAAAACATATATTTGGAAACGAGCTTATTCCATATGGACAGGCACTGTTTGAAGAGCTTGAACCAGAAACTCAGGAAAGAGTCATGCAAACAATACGCGAAGACTCAAATACAAACTATGACAAAATCTTTCTAGGATATAGGTTACCTGAGATGGGCGACCAGAGCCCAAAGGCAAAAAGGACATGGGAAATTTGCAACATACTAGATGAACATAATGCAAAGATGCAACAACTTCAAGCAGAGGGCAATGAAGGAAAAAGAAGAGTTAAAAACTCAGTCAGGAAGAAAGTAAAGCTTGGTCGGAGTGGGTTCTATTATGACATATAAATCCAACTATTCTATATTTTTACTCATATGAAATGTACGCCGCTCAGAATATAACGCCAACAGTTTTGGATGCCATGAATGGAAATTTCCGAATGGTATAACGAATGCGACAATGCCATTAGAAGGTCAGAAATAGTTCCTGGAACTTACGAATATACAACTGCTGTTTCTTATGGAAACGTAGGTGAGTTTGGAGAAGGTTCTTCAACAACAGTAGATATTGCTTGCGACAGGTTTCATATTATTTCTATTGACAACTCTTTCTTATACGTGGAACAAGACATTGAAATAAACCTTCTGCCAAGTTGTCTGACAAGAAAGGTTGCAATGGAATTTTCTATGTCGGATACCAATATGCTCCAGAAGTTTTCATGGATATAAGATATATTCTAACTCTGACTTAGTTCAAACAGTAACATGGGCAAACTATGAATGGTTCGCTTTGAGAAACTCAGTACAACCACAAGCTAGAGAACAAACAGACCAGTATGCAACTATTGAGAAAATAAGAAGACTTGACCCTAACGTTCCAGGAGTTTATGTTGACCTTTCTGGACAAAATGCAGCAGCAGTAACCAAAGTAAAATTGAAACTTAGAGTTCCTTTGTCATCTTTCCTCATCTTCAGGTTTTTAAGATACTTGCCAAACTGGGCAGGAAAAATTTCTATCGAACTTACTCCAAGCAAAAATAACTTAGTCATTGCACCAACACAAGACCCATTCACTCTTACAGAAGTAGTGGGAACAAATAAAATGTCATTCGCCGACTTTTGCAAAAACAAAGTTGACTTAGACTTTGGTTTCTCAAACCTCAACACTGAAGTAAACTATTATTTCAATGCTGCTGGAGATGCTTGGGACCCAGTTAAGTTCACATGCGAAAATTTGAATGCAAGAGAATAGAAAGCAGACTTGCAGTCTATATGTTGGACCCAGATATTTCAAATGCTTTAGCTGCCAAATATATTGCAGTTCCACTTATGTTCCCTATACACCAAATATCTGTCAAAGACTTTGCAGGTGAAGTTGGAAACCAAAGTGCTGACCCAGGTGCAAGAACAGATATTGCCTTAACAACTGCAATGAAACATGCAGATACTATGTTTGTACTGTTCAGACGAACTATAAATGACTATTCTTGCTTCTACAACCCTGGTATTAAATACCATATAAACATAGATGGCAAATATTATCCAAGAGAAGAATATTCTACAGTTGAGGATATGAGGTCATACAACTTGACATTAGATGCTATGAACTTTAACAACAACTTCACAACAACCATTAACCCTGAAATGCAAAGTTCTATTATGCCATATGTGAAAGTATGGACTCATACAGGAGGTCAAAAAACTCAATATACAAATGGAGACCGTTCAAACTTTTGGCTTGGCATTCCATTTGCTGACTCAGAAGACTTTATGGGTGGTATTTCAACTGTTGGTACAGTTCAAATACAATATACTGGTGACAGAGACGGTCCAAATGAATTGAAAGCAAAGAAGTTTACAAAACCAATAGCACTTTTCACGGAAGATGCTCTTTTGAAGATTCGTTCGATGAAACCTGCTGGGGCTCCTCAGATTGGCATAACGACAGCTTCCATCGAGCAGATTTTGGCAGCAGGTCAGTAAGTTGTTCTTGAACTGACTTCTCTCCGTCAAATATTGACAGTACGCCAGTTTTGATATAATATTGTATTAAAAACTTTCCTTTAGAAATATCGGTCAGTTTTGTTGTTATATTTTTGTCTGCTTCAAGAACTTTCACCATTTCAGTTATACCAACTTTCTTTGCTTTATGAAAATATTTTGGTTCAGCAAAGACTGCTATTCTATAACATTTTCCATTGTTTGTATAAAGAACTATTCTATCAATGAACTTGTATTGTTTGTGTGTGTAAACTTTGTTTTGCTTCAATTCGAAGAGATACTCAAATACGTCCATCTTTTTATTCTAAGTAAAATGTCATTTCCGAAAAATAGAAGCGTAAGTGTTTCAAAAGGTTTAATGGCGATGGCAGATGTGAAGTTAAATTCACCAACTCAAACAAACAGTCAAAGTGTTGTTGTCAATGTCAAAGAAAGAGATGTTGAAGTGGAGAAACCATACGAAGACGAAGATGGTATAACAATTGTTCCTGTAAAAGAACAACCAACATACCCTGAAGTTAGCAGAGACTTAAGTTCTGTTGCAGATATTCGAAACGACTACCAACAACTTAAAGACAAACTTAAAACTCAGGAGAAGATTTGTCAGGCTTTGGGTATAATGTTAAACTTGGTCGAACACAACCCTGTAAAAGTGAACTCATATGTCATTGCACCTCATGAAGTTTTGAAAGAACTATTGAAACTTTTGACAGAGGCAGACGATATAAACATCAAAGAAATAGAACCCGACGTTAGTTGCTGTGGTGTTTCATATAATGTCATTGACAAGATATACGTTATGAAAGGAGGTGAAACGTTGAACTTAAAGTATAGTTTCCCAGACGTCATAAAAATATTTGACGACCACAACATTTCATTAAAATTTACTTGCTAAGTAAATGGCAGAAGACATAGTGGTTTATACTATTACGACTAAAAACCCTGAGTCATATAATTCTATAACAACAAACTTACAAAGTCCTCAAGGACGGTATTGTAAACTAACTTTAAACACAATGACGACTAAAGCCTGTTTTGCTCTTTTGACACCAGAAGACTTTGTTGTTGTGAATGGTAAAAAATACTTCTTTGAAGATACTTACTCAGATATACCACCAACAGGTTTTGTTGACTTATTTAATACTTTAAGGACGGATGTAACATGTGCTGCAACTAGAGCAGGTTTCATTATGTTTGGATGTCCGACTGAGTTTACTATAAACGATATGAGCTATAATACAAAACTTATATCTGGTTTTTACTACCAACAGTTTCCTATAACAGGAAAAGGTGTCATACAAGGTTTGTCTGTTCCATTGACTTTAAGTACACCTATTTTATATATTGTTTCAAACTTAGGTTCAAAGTGCTATTCGAATGTCGACAGAAACTACTATGACCAAAAGATACTCATGCGTATAAACAACACTTTCTCTGCTGGTTTGCCTATTGTTCATTCGAATGCAGAGTTTTCAGCTTTAGTAAACTCAAACACTTTAGCAAACATAAACTTAACCTTAGTCGACGCAAACTTTGTTCCTGTAAAACTTTTATGTCCTATGTATTTGTCAATGACGGCAGAAAGTTTCGAATTGGAAGATGCAACTGGTGAAAGTATTGTACTACAAGAACAACTTCAACAACAAATAGCTCAAGAACAACAAATGGAACAAATGCAACAACAAATAGCTCAAGAATAAAAAAAAATATTTTTTTTTATTTTTATAAAAAAAATGTACAGAATAGACGTTTCAGATTTTTATGACTTCCAAGCGTTCAGAAATATGTGTCCATTTCGAGACTATAACAAAGCAGTCGAGAATTTGAAACGTTTAGTCATTTATGTCGACTCTGCCCCAGAATGTTATGTCATGAAAGAATGGGATGTTGTCTTTAACAAACCAAGAGCAACCATAGTTTCAGAACAAGAATGTAGACAGAAACTTAAGAAAATAAAAGTCGTACAGGTTGGTATGAAGATGTTAGATGCTTGGGATATCTTATTGTCGAAGTTAGAAGATTTTTCAGTTCGAGGTATAAAGTTCTATACACCTTCTCCAAACTTCTATTCTATCTTCACTGGATATAAATACGAACAAGTAGAATGGAAAGAAAATATTATAGAAGCTTGGTTAGACCATGTCAAAGAAATTATATGCAATGGAAACGAAAGAGTCTATGAGTATATCTTATGTTGGTTTGCAAACATCTTACAACATCCAAGTGCTAAAAATGAAACTGCTCTCATTATATATTGGAAAACAAGGAACTGTAAGAAACATTCTTTACAGATATCTTATGCAAACTATTAGAGGGCTATTCGAATCCGAATATGACAAACTTAGAAAACATCTGCGGTAAATTTAACTCTTCAATAGAGAATATGAAACTTATAGTATGTAACGAACTTCAAAGTATAGATACAACAAAAGTTTTGAACTCAGATGCTTTGAAGAGTCTTATAACAGACAAAGTTGGAGTTGTTGAAAGAAAATATAAAGACCAAAGAGTTTGTGAAAATGTTGCAAACTTCATTATGGTTTCAAACAATTCTGTTCCGATGAAGTTAGAAAGTTCTGACAGAAGATATGTAGTTGTCAGAACGTCAGAAGCTCATATGCAAGATACAGAATATTTTGACGACTTAGCAGAAACTTTGACACCTAACTTTTACAACCACTTGTTCTCATATTTCATGACATTAGATATTTCTAAGTTCAATCCAAGACAAATTCCACATACCGAAGAAAGACAAACATTGTTAGAAGCAAACAAGAGTGTATATGAACTGTTTATAGATGAGACTAACTTTGAGTGTTTAGATGAAAGGTCGTTGTACGATGAATATAAACAATATTGTCAAGAGTATGGTTATATGACAGCGTCTAAACGAACATTCTTGGCAAATGTCAAAAATCTTTTAGATGTTCAGAATGGTGTATATACAAAGAAAATTTTTATGAGTAAATTTTAAAAAAATATTTTTTTATCCGATAGAAAAGATGACGAAATATATTTCAGTAAATAAGTACATGACAGAAGTCAAAGAAGAACTAGACCCATTCGCTTATTTGAATGTTTACTTCTACCATTTTGAAAAGTCTACATTTGACAAAGTTTGGAACATCGAACCAGTTAAGTTTGCTATTGTGACTAAAAATGGTGCGAAATTTGAAGACTTAGACATAGAAGGTTTGTTAGCAGTCAAAGAAAATTTTGACAGAAGGTTCTCAAACCTTAAAGAAGGCAAAGCATACAAACTTGTTATACCTTATGAACCAAAGAAAGCAGACGACTATGAATATTATGAGTCTAAGATAGTTGAAGTTCAAGGTAAATTAGGTAAAAAGATTTTAGAGTCTAAGCCAGTGTTTGCTCCTAAAGAGGAAGAGAACATTGACATTGACCCAGAAATGTTCTAAAAATAAACTTTTATTTTTACATGTCATATCTCACCTTCTCTGGAACTGGTTCAGGTTCTTTCTTCTCTTCTACTTTCTTTTCTTCTTTTCTTTCTTTTCTTCTTCTTCTTCTTTTCTGGTGGAGTTATGTCAAACTTCTCAGAACCATATTTATGTAAAAGTTCTTTGTCCTTTAATAGCTCTTCTATTCTGTTTCCTATTTCATCTTCAAGAACAGCGCATGTGTCTTCTTTGCATTCTAAGAACTTTTGTTGGACTTCATCTTTCCAATCGGCGTCATCTCTGTCAACAAGTCTGTCATTGACAAATTTTAAGACTGCTCTGCTTAATGTTTTATGGTTCTTGTCATATTCCCAGAAACAGAACTTTAGAACAAATTCACCTTTCTTGTTTACACTATGTAAGATTTTATGGTCTACAGATGTTTTGCTGTCGAAAAGCTTGTCTCGAATATAGATAGCGAAATCGCTCGACATTTTCAAAAAGATAAAAATTTTAATTTTTCTAAAAATATGTTAGAAAAAAAGTTTGCTGACATTGACAAGAAATTTGAGAATGTTTTAAACAAGAACAAGAGGAAGTTGGAAAATGCTCAGATAAAACCCATACATGACAAGTTCTTATTTGCTCAGAATGGTATAACAGGTCTAATTGCACCACCTGGGTCGGGTAAGACTTTCACTTATCTTAAAATGGCTGCACAACAACAAGAACTAGATGAGAAGAACCCATTCTATGAGTTAGTAGTCATTTGTAGTACTTCTGGTCAATTCGACCAAACCGTCAATTCGTTCAAAGATATTATAAAGAAGTCTAAGTTAGTATGTATAAAAGACTCTGAGTTGTTAGATTGGATAAAGAAGTACCAAAGAAGAGTTTTGAAGTACAATGCTATAAATGAGTATATAAATTCGAAGTTTAAAGACCCAAATGAGGAAATGCAGAGAATATTAGAGAAGAAACACTTCAGAAACAAACAGAAAGAGATAGAATACATTTCGAAGAAATTGCAATCGTACGATTGGAAGACTTACCCTCATAGATGTCTTCTTATCTTAGATGACTTTGCTTCTCATCCTTTGTTAAAGAACAGAGAACAAGACATGTGTCGAATTCTTAAGAAGCTCAGACACTTTAACATTTCAGTTGTCATTTGTGTACAGACAGCCAAGAGTTTAAGTAAGGATGTAAAGAGAATACTTACTGACATTGTACTTTTCCCTGGATTGTCCGAAGACGATTTCATGGAACTTATGAAAGAGTCCATGGCAGGTAAGTTTGACAGACATGAACTATGGGAGAAGTACAAAGTCATACAAGACCCTCATACTTCTTTCAGAATTCATATCTACGCGAACAAAGTTCAAATTGTAAAAAGTCAAGCTTGAAAATTAAATGTTTAGTCTTAGTAAGTCTGTTGTGGTGCTGGGGTTGTCGGTTCTTCTGGCTTTGGAAGGCATTCAGGAAGAGGAACGTCAGTCATCCGTTTGTGTCTTAACCGTCTTTGTTCTGAAACAATATAATATTGTCTTGAATAAGTACAATATTGTCTTGAAAAAGTACAATATTGTCTTGAAAAAGTACAATATTGTCTTGAAAAAGTACAACATTGTCTTGAAAAAGTACAACATTGTTCTGAAAAAGTACAACATTGTTCTGAAAAAGTTCAAGACTTGTTCTGAAAAAGTACAGCCGTACTCAAATTTGAGAGACATTGTACTGAATTTATACAACATTGTTCTGAAAAAGTACAACATTGTTCTGAAAAAGTACAATATTGTCTTGAAAAAGTACAACATTGTCTTGAAAAAGTACAACATTGTCTTGAAAAAGTACAATATTGTCTTGAAAAAGTACAACATTGTTCTGAAAAAGTACAAGACTTGTTCTGAAAAAGTACAGCCGTACTCAAATTTGAGAGACATTGTACTGAATTTATACAACATTGTTCTGAAAAAGTACAATATTGTACTGAATTTATACAACATTGTCTTGAAAAAGTACAACATTGTCTTGAAAAAGTACAATATTGTCTTGAAAAAGTACAATATTGTCTTGAAAAAGTACAACATTGTCTTGAAAAAGTACAACATTGTCTTGAAAAAGTACAAGACTTGTTCTGAAAAAGTACAGCCGTACTCAAATTTGAGAGACATTGTACTGAATTTATACAACATTGTTCTGAAAAAGTACAATATTGTACTGAATTTATACAACATTGTCTTGAAAAAGTACAACATTGTCTTGAAAAAGTACAACATTGTCTTGAAAAAGTACAATATTGTCTTGAAAAAGTACAACATTGTCTTGAAAAAGTACAAGACTTGTTCTGAAAAAGTACAGCCGTACTCAAATTTGAGAGACATTGTACTGAATTTATACAACATTGTTCTGAAAAAGTACAATATTGTACTGAATTTATACAACATTGTCTTGAAAAAGTACAACATTGTCTTGAAAAAGTACAACATTGTCTTGAAAAAGTACAATATTGTCTTGAAAAAGTACAACATTGTCTTGAAAAAGTACAAGACTTGTTCTGAAAAAGTACAGCCGTACTCAAATTTGAGAGACATTGTACTGAATTTATACAACATTGTTCTGAAAAAGTACAATATTGTACTGAATTTATACAACATTGTCTTGAAAAAGTACAACATTGTCTTGAAAAAGTACAATATTGTCTTGAAAAAGTACAACATTGTACTGACTCAGTATGGAGCTTGACCCCTTAGACGAAGCAATTTATCTAATTGAAATTAACGAGCTTGTTAAAGACTTCCTCAGGCAGAATGTAAAGGTCAAGCGTAAAAATAAAGATTGAAATTTACCCTACTTGTTTGAAGTTGTCGAAATACTCTGTTATTTTTTCCTTTAACAATGGCAAATCTTCTTTGAAGGTAAGTATTGTACAACCTTTCATATCATAGTGTGTTTGAGGTAACGTATCTTGAACTATCTGTTTAACATCTTCATTCGGTGTCATTGAAATCGGTAAGTTTTCGCGATAGAACCAATTTCTGTCAGATTTGTAAATCTTAGCAAGGTCGTAAAAGCTTTTGTTGTTTCTTCTGACTAAATGCAACATAACCATATCTCTGTCTTCTTCATTTTCCATCTCTTCAGTATAAATCATATACTTATAGTTCTTTTCCTTTCCTTTTGGTACCGAACGTGGTATTCTTTTCTGTATGGTTTTGTCTTTTGCTTCAATGACTTCATCTTTTGCTTGAAGTTTCTTTTCCATCTCTTCACGTTCTTGTCTATGAATTTCGTCAAGAAGTCTGTAAATATACCAAGCATAACGAGGTGAAGCCCACATTGCAACAGCATTTACAAGAAGTCTATGAACATAATATCCTCTCAAACCATTTTGGCAATTTTTCACGATTTTCATAGAGTTTTGGCGACTGCGGTTTTTCTCCCACTCGCTGTTCTTCACTGTTTTCATAGAGTTTTGGCGACTGGGGTTTTTCTCCCACTCGAGTTTTTGCGACTACGAGAAAATCCGTAGTCGAATTTTCAGCTTCATTTAATAGTTCAATAGTGCTTTGGTTCCTAAACCAGTCTTTAGGAAGCTTGGTATCTGGCGCAAAACATGCTGTCAAAATACTTTGCATTTGTACATATCGTCTTTGACCGAACGAATGAGACGTAACTGTTTGTTATACTGTATGTACTCGTATTCTTCATTTATAGCTTCATGGACTATAACTGTTGTTGTGTTCTCTGTTGTTGACATTACTGTCTTTACATAATAAAAAATAAAAAAATAAAAAATAAAATTAGCGTTATTTTCTATCTTGTATAAAAGACCAAAAATAAACGCTTTACATGTATTTTTCAGCAACTTCGTCAAATAATTTTATAGCTTTATCTATCTCATCTACTTCAAACGTTTCCCTACCTTTCGTGGGAGCACCATACATCTTCTCAAACTTTTCAAGTAGTTCTGTTTCAGCAGCTCTCATATCGTTAACGAACGCAACCTTAACTCTATTGACTATATTGTCATATCTTTGAGTTATATTAAATGTTCTTCCTATCTTATATCTCTTTGTATTGAAGTCCTTTGGTTTCTGAACGATGTAAAGTAAGCCTTCACTGCAACGTTCCGTATCGAATGAACCATATGTTATGAAATTATATCCAACAACTGGGTCAATCCAGAACAAAACTACTGGTATAAGACTTTTGTCGATGAGATATGCTCTTGTTCCATAGAATCTTACCGATATCATAAGCTCAGGATTTTTTTGTCAAAAATTTTCTGAGTAGAAGCATTTTTAACCCAGTCGTGTGCTTTCTTTCCTTCAGATAGTGTTAAAATGTCTGACAAAGAATATTTTTTGTATTTCTTTGAGTATCTTACGTTTAAATCACCTATTCTAACCACCTTGGTCTCATTGTCTATCTTTTTAACTGTTTCAAACTCAGTGTTTGACATTTCCTGTTCTTACATACAAAATAAAAAAAAATATTTTAAAAAAACTAGCTTTTATTTTATTTTGTATAAAAGATACAGTTATATCATGAAATTTGGTCATTTTTTTTACGATTTTCATGTGTTTTTAGGCGTTCCTCGGTTTTCCGCGGGTCGCAATTTTTTACGATTTTCGAATGGAATCTCTATCCTCGGTTTTCCGAGGGTAGCAAACATATGAGGAAATTCATGAAATTTGTTGCTGAATTCAATAAAAATATATTTTAGGGTAGAAGGGTATATCTACCCCGTTTTCTACCCTCATTTCTACCCCATATGTCCTTACTGAAAAAGTATGTGTTCCATATGTCATTTTACTCAGAATTTTATACAGAATTCAATAAAAATATATTTTAGGGTAGAAGGGTATATCTACCCCGTTTTCTACCCTCATTTCTACCCCAGTTATTTTACAAGCGTTTTACATGGTATATGTTGTGATGGTTCATGACTTTAAACAGTTTTGTAGCTTCTATTTCTTCACGAAGGATATCAAAAATTTTAACTATGCCGAAGGTTTCTTTATATTTCTTCTTGACATCTGAAAGAAGGAAATCGTTAGCAGTTGGATAGTTTTTGTTCAGAAATGTCAACATGTCCATTTTATCTTCTGCTGGTTTCTCTACTTCTTTCTTTAAGTCAGTATGGTCTTTTCGCATACGTTCTATCTCTTTGACGGAGTAGTTATATTTCCTTGTTGCTGCTTTACATTTTGAACATTGTGAGTTCATTTTTGCGTTATATTCTGAAATTTGTCCTGCTAGTATGACTAAGGCGTAGATGGTTTTCTTTAACTCAAAAGTTGCGGGTTTTATCTGTTCATTCCATATCTTACCTCTTCTATCTTTATCTCTTATCTGCAAGACACACTCAGCAACTAACGAAACAAAGTTGTCGTAGGTCTTAAATTCTTCAGATTTATATATGTCAATGACTTTGTGGTTGCAATGAAATCCAAGAAACTCATAGTTTATCTTACGAATGAACTTCTTTATTTCAACTGAGTCAGTCAGTCTGACTTCAATTTCATCGAATTCTGGAATAGTGAGCTTTTGTTGTTGTATTTCAGGAAGTTTAGGTAGATGGTCAATAATATCCTGCATTTCATAAAGATACTGTTCATTTGTTTCATCTTTTGCACTACAGTCTAAATCTCCTTGGAGAAGTTCCTGCTTTATCTTCTGGATTTCTGTTTCGAAAGTATATGAAGAAGGAATGAAGCTTTTCATCTCTACTAACATAGAAGTTGGGTTCATGACTAACGAGTTTGGTGCTGTTGTTGCTGACATGTTCTTACAATAAAAATAAAAAAATATTTTTTGGTGGGACTACCTTTATTTTATTTCAGCACAAAATGAACGAGTTTGGTTTAAAAATACGGTGGAGCCAAAAATGGCTCGACCTCAAAACAAGCATTTTGTGAAGAATATACCAACCCGCGGAAAACGGCGGGTTGCTTTTTTTATACAAAATTCAAGAGTTTTGTGTGTTTTCTACGAGGGTAGAAAAGAGGGTAGAAAACGGGGTAGATATACCCTTCTACCCTAAAATATATTTTTGTCGAAAAAAAATGGTTCATTTACTCACAATATTTTTGTACAAAACGACCCCAAACTTTTAACTTCTTTTCTGCAGCTTCTAATGAAATTTTAGCGAGTTCATATTCTCTAAATTCTCTCTTTAAATCTTCTTGTTCCCATTGGTCTAGTTCGTATGGAGAGTCCCTATAACCAGAACATATCTCACGTTCATGTTCTATTTGTTTTTCATGCATTTTTCTAACTTCTTCTTCGAACAAAGGTTTAGCATTCTCTACTGTATCTTCAAGTTCTTCTTCATCTAATTTCTCATGAACTTTCTTGTCTATGGAGTCCAAAATTTTTCCAACTGCTATACAATATTTTGGAGAAGCCCACATTGCTATATAGTTTACAAGTCTTGGGTCTACATACGTTCCTCTAACCTGTTTGATTTCATCGGGAATTCCTGCATGAACTGTGTATAAAAAGCAACCCGCGGAATTCCGCGGGTTGGTATATTCTTCACAAAATGCCTCAAAATACTCTTCCCAGGACTTATTTTCCAACAACCTTCTAAAGTCTTTCCTAAACTGCTGACACATCTTTGTTGCATTTATATAACCATCCTTGTCTCTACGTAAGACTTCAATACCGTTGTAAGTGCCTTTTGTGAATGTTTCGCCATTAGATTTGTTCGTGAACGTTTTTGCTTCGACTGTCATACTGTTCTTACAATAAAAATAAAAAATATTTTTGGCTTAACCGTCGGACATTCGTTTGTGGCTTAACCGTCGGACCACAACGATAAAAATCTCATTTTAACTCACTTTTTTTCTATCTTAAGGAAATTCATGAAAATTCATGAGGGTAGAAAAGAGGGTAGAAAACGGGGTAGATATACCCTTCTACCCTAAAATATATTTTTCAATACTTTTTCAGCACTTCTCCGTAGTTATATATGAAAGACAATTCGAGATAAAAGTCGTAGTACAATGGAACAATATGTTGCACACCATTTGTTGTGAACCAAACTTGAAAGTCAGAGAAACTGTTACTAGGTGGTTCGGGATGAAATTTCTTCATCTGATATAGTCCTACCGGCGTTTGTAAAGATATAGTCTAACGGTTTTGTATCTGCTACTTTTGTTCTTTGTTTTTCAACCTGAAGCATTTAATATATGTAAAAATATACTGTTTTAAAAATGTTTTAAAATGGTATGCCATATAGCTTCTTGAATTTGTTAAGAAGTATTCGAACGTATTTTCCATCTGTATCTCTAGCGTTTACATAAGCATAGCCATCCTTAGTAAAATATACTTGTAATTTCCTATAGTTTACGCCGGTATAAAAGTAGAAAGAGTCCTGTTCTTCGCTATAGTAGTAAAACTCAAACGTATGCTTACCATAGTCTGTAATTTCAATTGCTTCATCTTCTAGTTCGTCGACAAATTCGAATACAATATCTCGAAAATTGCTTTTGTTCTTATTGTTTTCAGAACAAGTGACCCAGCGTAAGTTTTCAAGTCTATTGTCGTTTCTTATATGGTTTATATGGTCTACAAAAGGTAGATTGTTAGGGTTCGGTATAAAATGAGTTGCAATGACAACATGTTTAAGATAGTGTTTCCCACCAATCCTCATCCTAGCATATCCGTCATTTTGCTCCCATTCGCTTAAAACTCTTTTTGTCTTTTTGTTTCTGACTTCAAATGACTCACAACAGTGAATTTCATATTTCTCATCTAACAAACAAGTTTCCCAACGGTCTACTCCAACAAACTCAGCGTACATTTCAAATAAAATAAAAAAAATATTTTTTTGAAAAATATACTGTTTTCCTTTTACTTTACATAACCTCCTGCTACCAGAAGTCTTTGACGCCAACCCATACCAGCTAATGAAGGTTGACTTGGTTTAGTTTGGAGACTAAACTTTGGTTTTGGTTTATCTTCAGTTTTTGGCTCACCTTCTTCTATCGGTTTTTCGTCACTTTTCGGTTCCTCGGGTTTTACCCCACCTGCAGGTATGGTTGTGTCGTCAACATCTTCATAAATATCATATGCCATCTGTTTTTGTTTTCCTTTCAACTTTTTGTGTTTGTTGTAAAGTTTAGAATATTTCGACTCTAAGTCAATGAGATGTTCTATAATGAACTGTTGGTCCGTGAAGTAAACTTTTCCATCTGTTGTCTCGAAAGCTCCTTCAGACTTCAATATTTTATTTGTGAGAGTCTGTTTCTTTTTTGAGATACTAGCCGTTCCATTTCTATGAAAAGTGACTTTATAGTTAGGGTTTGTATTTCCAGACCTGGCACTTTCTATTATTGAATTTTTCTCTTCATCTGTAAGTTCTTTGACAGGTTTTGACAATGGTTCTGAACTTTTTGTTTGTGGTGTCAAATCTACCGTTTCAACTTCTTCGGTCATTTCATCTCAGTAAAAAATTTTAGTTTGTTTTGTTTTCAACTGGTTGTTTAGGTTTTTTAAGTCGGTCTAAAACTTCCTGAGGTATAGGGAGGACTTGACAAACACGTGGTTGTGTAACTACTGGAAGTCGACAAATCCATCTTGAACCCATTTGTCTCAATGCTGTATTGTTCATTTCATCTCAGTAAAAAACTTTACATTCCCCACGTTTGAGGCGGTTGAGGTTGGTTATTGTTTACCCATTGTTGTGCATGGTTATATCCTCTGTTAAAGAATCTTTCACCTTGGTCCATATAGTGCCCTGCTTGGTTATAGTAGTCATTTGCTTTGTTATAGTAGTTTCCTGCTTCTCTTCCTACATTGTCCATCCATCCTTGAACTTTTCCTCTTGTTTCAGGATTTGGAATAAGATTTGCTGCATCTCGTGCTACATCCCAACCTTTCTGTACAGTTTGTATAATAGGTTGTGCTTTCTCTTTCAGTATACCTAATGTACTCAAAATCTTCCTTCCAATTCCAAATGCACCTCTGGCTATTGTTCCAACTGCGGGCAAAAATCTGGATGCAACTCCTGCTAATGCGCCAAATAAACCCATTTCTTATGGGGTAAAAATGACGAATCCAAACAAGGACCCCTATGTTTCTAAGGCAACAAAAAAAGCACTCATGATAAAAATCTTTAGTTCAACACCAAATGCTTGGTTTATGGATATCTTGGAAAACATTCCGAGGTATAGAGAAGATGGACCACCATACTGGCTAATATTTGTCGGTCAAAACACAAGATACTGTGAAGCCATACCATTATGGTCCAAAAATATTTTAGATGTGAAAACTGCTTTGACAATATTCGTTGACAAATACCATCCAACAAAACTGACATCTGACTATGAAAGTTCTTTCAAATCAGACGATATTAAAAACTATCTGCGTTCAAAAAATGTAAACCAATATTTCATTGTCGACCAAAACCATTCTGCTCTTGGTGTCATTGACGGTTGTATAAAAATGTTAAGAGACTTAAACCAACCACAAGGTGGTGAAGCAAATGAAATGTCATATGACGACAAATATAGACACTTCTCCATGGCAAAGATGAGACAAGTTTTAAATATTTACAATAGCCGTAAACAAAAAGGTTTGGGAAACCACTCCCCCGAAGAAATGAAAAACAACCCTGACTTAGAGAAAGACTATATATTTAATAGTTTAGTCAAGAGAAACAAGAAAGAATGCCAGGCTTCAAACTTAAGAAAGGTGACAAAGTAAAAATAGAAATACCTAAACGCGACCCATATGAAAATACTATTGACTATGACAACAATGGGAACCCGACAGGTACTCACATTCGTGTTCGTAAAAATAGAAGAAAGTATACAAGAGAATATTATGAAGTTTTAGGCAAACATGGCAAAATGTACAGACTGCAAGCAGAAGATAAAACTACTATTGTCAGACCTCGTTTCAAACTTGTCAAAGTTCAAGGTGGTATACTTTCAAAGACAGTTCCTAACAAATATAAGACAACTCCTGACGAATATGCTAAAGAAGTTGAAAATGACGACTAAGCAATTCTATACCATGCGTAAACTGTCATGTAAGGTGGCATGTAGTCTTTACTTTGTCCCGTTGTTTGCGTATACCCTGAAACGCGATGTGTATGGTTTCCATCTCCCTGTGTGCTACCCCAGAAACAATTTATAGCAAACTGAACGTCGTCTTTAACATCGTATCCTTTACCTTTTTTCATTGCTGACCAATCCCAAAATCTATGTTTATGCCAACCTGCTTCAGCTGTACTTAAATCTATGTAGTGACTGTGTGCAGGTAAGTTTTCACCTGAAATCGTTTTACTTCCACCTGTTTCCTTTGAAGAGTTTGCACAATACAAAAACCTGTCGACTATTTGAGTCCAAGTTCCAAAACCAAGTACTACTTCTGGTCTGGTAGAGTTCATTGACGTGTAAATAGAACCTATAGGATATAGTGTTTGAAGTATTTCTGTCTTTAACGTTTGAAGCTCTGTTTTGTCTGCTTTTTTATATAACTTTTCTTCAAGTTCATTTACGTCAGAGATGCTATGTCTATGATATTTTTGTGGGTATGTTCCTTCTGTCCATGCGAAAATACGTTCTTTTGTTGCATCTACATATCCTTTTATCCATGTCGAGTCTGCTTTTGTATTCCTTAACTCTGTAACACCTTTCTCAAGCTCTTTCAACTGTTGTCCATCTTCCATTAAACCTCTGGTATGACTTGAAACCGTTTGTGTCAACATATCTACAGTTTCTTTGTCGGCTTTAAGGTCTAAACATCCTGAAACCCACCCTGTATTGGCTTTACCTTTTAAAATCTTCGATGTCCGTTCATGGTACCATTCAACCCTTTTTATAATTTCATTGTCTTTTTCATCCACATATTCCTTATTTGCCTTCTTCACTAACCCACTAGCCAGATATGCTAACTCATCGTCAACATACTCTTTGTCAGCTTTCTTTTCAACATCCTCTTTCGTTGCATATGTTGCATCTGCTCTGTCATGTTCTTCTTGAACTTTTTCAATGACATACTCTTTGTCAGCTTTGTTGTCAACATCTGCTTTCAAAAGAAGTTCATCTATAGGTTTCTCGTTTAAAGTTCCTTTTGTTGGATTTATACAAACAGTATGGTTCCTATTGTCTTGAAATAGAAACTCATCTGTCATTGGGTTTAATGTCAGTTTTAAGTTTCCTTCTTTCAATGACTCAGATATCTTAGAATAGTTTGAAAAGTTTGTTGTGTTCTTATTTAGAGCTTGCAAAATGAGTTGTCGGTTGTGTTGTATTTCTCTCATAGACGCTGTTTCTTTCGACATTTTTATTCTAGATAAAATATGCTTTCAATAGAAAAAGAAAATTCAAGAGTTGCTACAACTAAACCATTAGATGAACTTTTTACTAATGTCGGTCAAAAGTTTGAGACAGAGACCGTAAAACATGAAGGCTATCGTTTTGACTACCCCTTAAGATGGTTAAGAGACCCATCCGTCACAAAAGCTATTGGCTTTCGTAGAATGAAGTTCATTTCAGAAGCCATACATGGTTTCCCATTTACGGTCGCTTTTGAAGTTCGATACTATAACAAAGAAAAACGTACGTATGAGAAATTTGAACAGGGAAAACTTTTACAAGTGAATTTGCTTGTAAACTTAGAAACAACTCTTCAAGCTTTTCAAGAAAAAATAAACGATATCTATCTCGAATATGCAAAACAGTACAACATTGACGAAGGAGAGTACCATCTCGATATTATATATGACAGGAAAAATGCAACTGTTAAAATCAATAGAATAGAAGACCTTGGAGAAGACGTTTATATTTCTACAAAATATAACAACTTGGCATGGTATAGATTTTTGAGGATGTTAAATCAGCCTGCAGAATATCCAGTACACCCGAACTTTTATGAAGTCGAAAACCCTAATGGAACATATGAAAATGTTTTCGACTCAGACGCTATTATCGTTCATGCTTCATTTTCTGGTGCACAAAACTCTTTTTTATGCTTGGCAAATGACTTTTACGAAAAACCTACAAAGTTATACGAACCACCGAGTGGAAGTATTTCAGACTTTCAAGTATGGTTTACTACAGATGGAAGAAAGAGAATAATTCCATTATACCACGCGTTTTACTTAGAACTTAGTTTCATATACAACTACTATCGAACGGTAAAAATATGATTTTTTAATACGGTTGAGGTGTTGGATTTGGTTGCCAACTAGACTGTGGTGCAGGTTCAGGCTGTTGTATAACAGGAGCTTGCTCTTCTGGTTCAGGGTCTTTAGGTATAATACCAACGAACTGACCTACTCTTTTGCCAATATTTTTGACTCCGTTCCAAATTCCTCTTCCGACGGTTTTTATTCCATTCCATATACCTCTTCCAACATTTCGAAAGAAGTTTCCTATTCTTCCAAAGAAACCCATTTTACTATATGTAAAAATCTAATGTCCACCTAGTCTCTTACGTTTCCTTCTGAGTTCCATAGCATTCTTTAACTGGAGCTCATACATTCTATTTCTCCTCTGGTAGAAAACATACTCTGGGTCAACTCCTGTGTTCGCGTCATCTGCATAGAGTTGTTTATATCCCACTTCAGGGTTTGTATAAAACTCTTTCCATCTCATATTTGCATACCATGGTGGCAAACCTAACGCAGCGTCATTTGACATGGCAGTTTGCATTTGTACATCTGTTGGCACTTGACCATAGTTTGCCATTGCAGTTTGTATTCTAACTTCATTTGGAATATTCTCTGGGTTTGGTTGTCCAGGTTGCTGTGCATTCGCTAAGTTCTGTGCGTCCATTTAATATTAGATAAAAATATCTCTTACGAGTACATATGCTGAACATTTGCAGGCATTGGTTCATCTTCATATTCTCTATATCTTTCTGCCACGTCAAATAAGTAAATGACACAATGGAAAAAACCTAAAACAAGTAGTCCTATTTCAAACCACATTTACTTACTAGTAAAATTTCTTTGTTATGACACTTTCTCCAGTTTATAGGACCTCTCTCATATTCTATCTTATCGTATCTAAACTCATAGTCATGTATGTCCTCTAACCATCTCATGACACTTTCCAAACCACTTTTATCGGATGTAAAGTAAAAGCATGGATGGTTATGTAAAACGTCTAAAGTTTCTAAAGAGTCTCTCAAAGTCCAGTCTACTTGGTATTGAAAATCCCATGTGTTATAGAACGGCGGGTCCACTATAAAGAAAACATTTTCCTTGTCTTTATATTTTTCATACAACTCTGTCCAATGACATCTCACAAACTCTATACCCTCAATATATTTTTCTATGTTCTCTTTGAAAACATTTGTATAGTTAAGATATAAAACTTTTGACATAAGTGTTTCAATGTCATGAACTCTTATAGCACCACTATATAATAGTCTAGCAGATATACTATCCCAGTCAATATACTCTGCCTTTTTCAAAACCTCTCTGACAGTATTTTTCTTATCTAATGGTATACGTTCCATCTTACCTATAGGTATCTTTTCTTTTAACTCTTTCAATATTTTGTTTGTGTCTGGTATATGTTTGAGACGGTTCATATAGTTGTCGAAGTCATTGCATATAATCTTTGAGTCAGGAAATACAGTATGGCACAAATGGGATATATAGAAACTTCCACCGAACAAATCTACAAATGTTAGACCATTCGGTAGTTTCTTAAGTTCTCTCAATAGAATATCTTTACATCTACTCTTATTTCCAAAGAAGGGTAACGGTGGTTTTGTAAAATTCATTTTATATATATAATAAAAATGTTTTTTCCTGAAAAGTGACAAAATTTCTTAGGGGCTAGAGGGCACGAAGTGCCTGGAAGCCCCACTACCTTTTTTTTTTTTTTTTTTTTTTTTTTTTTTATTCAGAATGGAATAATTCAATCGTTTAATTCACAAATAAAAGAAGAATCAGACAAATTCAAAATAATAAATCTAATTATTAACGAAATACCAAAAAATTGCGTGATATCCGAAATACTATTATCATTTATAAATACACACAGGGAGTTTTTGCTTCCATCAAGAGCTGCGGAAATTTTTATAAACGTTATTTCAAATCTTAGTGATGAGACAAGTTACAATGAAGAAAACGTTATTAATATTTACAATATGTTTACGAGAGAATGTGACAAATTACTAATTGAAAATGAAAAATCAATACAAGAAATATTTTCAAACAAACAGGCAATATCAAAGAAAATTCATTTAATGGGTTATACGATTCTCAGGTCAGATTACAAAACGGTTATTTTAGAGCGCCTTTTCGCGGAATTTGGAAATACAAATGCAGATTTGTTAGCTAATCTAATACTCACGAATTGTATTTGGAAAAGCGATATTCTGCAATACGTTTTGGAAAACTTTGAGCCATCTCAAGTAACAAATAAATTACTTTTATTCAGAATTTCCAATAAATTCTCAGTTTCAATGCACACATTAAGTATCCATCGTTTTGTAAACAAGATACTCGAGATTTCAATCAAGATTTACTTTACAGACGAAAGTTTGCAAAACGAAAGATTAGAATTCGTTATCAAAACAATTTTAGATACAAAAGAAGAATATTTAGAATACGTACCAAAAGAACTAATTGAAAGATTAAAAATTACAGCAATGAAGATGAAATAAGCAAATTATAATGATATAATTTTTTAATATGAATAAATATTTGAGTGGAAATAAATCATATAAAGAATGAGGAACTTGTAAGTGCTTGTGATCAGACAAATCTGTTTTTCAATAAGACATCTTAGAAAAAAAATTGTAATTTGACTATTTCAATATCATAAACACATTTCTATTGTTATAAAAGTCTTAAGTGCTTGTGATCAGACAAATCTGTTTTTCAATAAGACATCTTAGAAAAAAAATTGTAATTTGACTATTTCAATATCATAAACACATTTCTATTGTTATAAAAGTCTTAAGTGCTTGTGATCAGACAAATCTGTTTTTCAATAAGACATCTTAGAAAAAAAAATTGTAATTTGACTATTTCAATATCATAAACACATTTCTATTGTTATAAAAGTCTTAAGTGCTTGTGATCAGACAAATCTGTTTTTCAATAAGACATCTTAGAAAAAAAATTGTAATTTGACTATTTCAATATCATAAACACATTTCTATTGTTATAAAAGTCTTAAGTGCTTGTGATCAGACAAATCTGTTTTTCAATAAGACATCTTAGAAAAAAAATTGTAATTTGACTATTTCAATATCATAAACACATTTCTATTGTTATAAAAGTCTTAAGTGCTTGTGATCAGACAAATCTGTTTTTCAATAAGACATCTTAGAAAAAAAATTGTAATTTGACTATTTCAATATCATAAACACATTTCTATTGTTATAAAAGTCTTAAGTGCTTGTGATCAGACAAATCTGTTTTTCAATAAGACATCTTAGAAAAAAAATTGTAATTTGACTATTTCAATATCATAAACACATTTCTATTGTTATAAAAGTCTTAAGTGCTTGTGATCAGACAAATCTGTTTTTCAATAAGACATCTTAGAAAAAAAATTGTAATTTGACTATTTCAATATCATAAACACATTTCTATTGTTATAAAAGTCTTAAGTGCTTGTGATCAGACAAATCTGTTTTTCAATAAGACATCTTAGAAACAAACTTACTTAATTTTTGTTTATTCTATCATTCCCTTACTAAATAAATCTTTAACTTTCCTTCTAGTTATATTTATCTATTCATCATCAATTTATGTTTTTTAACTTTTTTTCATATATATTTTTTCTGAATACCTACTGTAATATATTTTTTCATTTATTATTTATTCAATTGCTTTTCAATTTATTTTCAAAACCTTATTCAAATTTATTTTATCATTAATATATTTTTATATTATAAATTTATTTAAAACTTATTAAAACATGTTATTACGTTATTAATTTTTACTTTTTCATTTTTATACCCTTTTCAATTTTCTTCTCAAATTTTCAATGCTTCTCAAATATTTCTCCATTCAAATATATCTTTACTAAAAATTTCTTTTAAAAAATCACAAATTCACTTATATTCTTATACGAATCAATCTGTATCATATTACCAAACTTCACAAACACATCTAACTATTCAAATCATTTCAAATTTAAAATCATATAAATTAATATTATGAATATCCTGTTCTTTTTCCGAATACCCTTTATTCCCACATTTCAATATATCTCTAAGTATGCAATAGTACCGATAAAACATTAATATCCCTGATATTTATAAAAATGTAATATCTGATCTTTTGATGATTATCGGTATCATATATGTTTATTAGTATTACCATATCTATTATTACATACGCTAACAGTATATGACATTTACACTTTTATTAAACCAAAATTCAAAAGAATCTTTTTGCAATTTCGTCCAATATGAAATTAAATCCAATGAAACATACACAACATTCTCCTATATCTTCTGTAGTTGCATATTATATATTCAAACGATTTTTAAATAATGTTTCTATCAAATGTGTAGTGATTCCGTCCCGATTAAAAATTGAGTACTTTCATCCCGATTTATCGGGATAAAATTGAATACTTTTATCCCGATTTCCCGATCAATTCCGATGCCGCCTGGACACACTCAAACAATAGCAGTGTGATAAGATTTCAAATTTCAATTTGGAATGAACCTCATGAAATCCAAGTATTTTATATAATTATAACTATATATATATAAAAAAATTGAAAAATATCATTTTTGTTCCAGAGTACTCGAGTACTTTGATATATGATTAAAATCATATTATAGTATTTAGATACATATGGTTTTGATCCAATTAGTTGATATGCATTAGGTGTTGAGATATTGATCAAAGACCTTTTCCGTGTAAACTTTTGATTTTGAGTTAACTCATAGAAAAATTGAGAGGTTTAGCGCACCCTAAAAAAATGCATTGCATATATTTAAGTATTTCAAGTAACTTTTTAATTTTTTTTTTAAAACGGCAATTTTTTATTTTTATGAATACACTTGATGATTATAAGCTTTGGGAATCAAATTTATTGGTAAATCTTAAACTTTTTAACAAGGAATCAAAAGAAATTCAGCTTTTTCTTAATTTTTTAACGCAATATTCCGAAAATGGAATTATTTCAAACTTTAATTCTCAATTTATTCCAGCAACAGTTCATAACTTTTTATCTACTATTCTTTCACTTCAACCTACAGACTTTGCATCCAAGAGTGTCGTTCAAAAACTATTAAATGAAATCATATCTTTACTTACAATTGCAATTACCAACAATCATTTTGAATTCGCAACAACATTGCATCGATTGTTTGATTCAAAGGCTGTTTTATATCGTAATTCCAATACAAATTCTACCACTTCACAATTTCTTCAAGCGATTACGAATAATTACTTAAAATCTAACTCGTTTACTACTCTTTTAGCCAAGATAAATGATGAAACTCAAGTTCCAAACATTAATCAATTATACGCTTTTCTCTCCGTTTTATTTGAAATTCATAAATGGTTTGATATGGTTTACCTTTCTAAATTTATATCAAAGATTTCGAATTCTCTCGGAAAATTCTATAAATCGTTTGATTCAAACTCAATTCGTTCATTAGATAATGATTTATTACAAAATGTAATGCATCTATCAATCTATTTATCTTCTTTGGATGAGTGCTTTAAAGAAGTTTGCGTTAATACTCTTGATTTCGCAATAATTTTACTTCAAGTCGATATTTTGGATAAACAGTTGATTGGTGCCAAAATAATTTCCTTCGGAATTAACGATTTAGCGGAAACAGAAGAAGAAACTCTCAACGAATGGTTTGATAAATCAAATATTTTTAATATATTCTTAAAAAGGAGCTACCATGAATCAGTAATAAATAAATTCTTCAAGATCTATAACATTGCAGCTCTCAACGGAAAGATAAACCAAGATATTTTATATAAAACTCTAATTAAATCTGCAAATTCCTCACAAACGCAAAGAAAAGAGTATTTTAGTTGTATACTTCAATGTTTTGCTTCTAAAACTGATGAAATTCAGAATTTTGTTGCATATTCTTCCACAACAGATAAATCAGAATTTCTTTTTGACTTCATGGGTTTCGTCTCCATTTTCTGTTCAATGCAGTACCAAATGCAGTCCAAGCAAGCAATTGATTTCCTTGTCAACGGTTTGACAGATGAAAAATTCATAAAACTCTCAATTCAAAAAATCCTGGAATTTCTGAAGTACAAAATTTCAATGTCTCTGATTCAGGCACTTTTTGATGGTTTGTCAAATCTTCTGAAACCAAAAGTTGACAACAGAATCATTGAGTTATTGGAAAACGTATTGAAATCAATCGACATGGAAGAAGAAAACGAAATTTTGAGGATTGATGTTTCATTTGCCGACAAAATCACCCAAGTCATTGATTCAGGCGAAAACAATCGTCAAATTCTTTTCAACATTTTATTTTTGTTAGTTACTAAATTCAAGAAGAAAATGACAAGGAGTCAAATCGAAATTTTGTTTAAGAAAGAAGACAATTACTTATTAGATTTCCTCAGTTCTTCCTTGAAATTGCAGCAATTTGACTTCTTGTTCCCTTCAGCCATCGAATTATTATACAACAAAATAGATGAATACGATTTCGTCAACGCCAATCAATCGTTTTCCAGATTGATCTGTTCATTTGAGTTATCAAACGAATGGCAAAACAACAGAGTTGTTGAAGCAAACTCAAAATCATCTCCTACAAAGAAAATTCCGAGATACGCTCCAATCTCTCTGAAATCAGAGTTCCCAATGACATTGAGATTGTTACAAGTCTGTAAAAACGAGGAATCAACAAAAATTGCGTCTACATTTTTGATCGAATTCGCAGAACAGAGTAAATCGAATTTCGGAATTGACGGATTTATTTTCATTTTGAAGCTTTTGAAGAATATTTTGACTTTCGGAACAGACGAAGCCAAAATCAGAGCCATCAAAATAATCCTTGAATTACTTCCGAAATTCGAAATCGATGTAACCTTGGAAGATGTTGGAATCAAAAGGCATCATCCGAGATTCGAAACAGATTTGATTACTGCGAAGATTTATGCCAGAGAAAACTATTTCGATATGAAAGTTAATCCGAATATAACTGTTCAATCTCTTCTGGCAAAAATTGCAGCAAAAATCGGTTGCAACAAAGATGACATTTCATTATTCTATGAAGGAAAGAACCTTGGAAGGCCATATACTTTATCTCAGTATGGAATTCTTTCGAATACGAAATTCAACATCATAGAAAACAAAAGGAAAATAAGAATGCAGAAATTCCCTAAAAATAGTTTACCTTCTGTTGCAATATGTGATTCAGGAATTTGTGATTTGTTATTTGGATATCTTGAAAAAGACAATGAAAAACTAATTGACACTGCTTTAGTTCTTCTTAACCAAATTCCCACTGCTCAAAAAGCTTTGGATCTTTGCTATGAACCAAATATTTTGGAAATAATTGTGAAATCAAAAACATGGCAAAACCAGAAATATTTATTAGAGAGTTTGGACGAATCTCTTGATTATGGGGATGATTACGAAGAAGAAGATACAACATTCAGCAATGATTATGATCTAATTATTTCTTTAATTAATAAGAAAATCGATATCAGAGCAGCTCCTCCTGCTTTAATGATTTTATCAGATTTGGATTCACCTCATATTATTAAGTTCTTTGCTGATTATTTCAATATTGCTTTGCAAGTTTTCTTGAATGCAAGGACTGATACTGAGATTGAAAGCGCAATTTGTTCTTTCTCAAGATTGCAAGAGATTGACAACGAGAAGTTTGCTGATTTACTATTCACATCTGATCTAAAGGTGTTTGAGTTCACAGAGATAATGTTCAAAGTCCTTATATCATTGATTAACAAAATGGTTGACAAAACAAAAGCTTTCGATTATTTGTCAAAATTTGTCAATGAAATTGAATTTCATGAGAAATTATCTGACATATTCTTCGAATGCTTATGTCATGCACTTTCGGAAGAATCAGATGTGCAAAAGCTGATGCCGAAACTTAAAGAATTACTTCATAGAACAACACAAGGAACATTATTTGTTGGAATTGTCACGTTTTTGGCAAAAGTTTCTGAATTCCAACCAATGGTCATTGATGAAGAGATATCGCAGATCATAATACCAAGAATAATTAGAGAGCAAAATGAAACAATTCAGAATTATTTGATCAAAATCATTTCAATCGCTGTTGTTACATTTCCAAATGTCAAACAAATGGCATTGAATGTTTTGGGAGAATGTTTAAGCAAGCCAAGCACAACATTCGGATTCACATCAATGGAATTTGATTACAAAGACGAAGATAAGATGTGCGGACTTAAAAACTTAGGAGCAACATGTTATTTGAATTCCATTTTGCAAATTTTGTTTTCGGATTTCACTTTTAGATCTGAATTACTCAAATTAAAGAATGTTGACAAACCATGGATGAAAGATTTGCAAGTTTTGTTCAGCAGCATGCAATTATCAAATAATCCAATCCAATCAACAAGCACCTTCTGTAAATCCTTCAAAATCAATCCAGCAGAGCAACAAGATGCTGTTGAATTATACCAGAACTTACTTGATAGTTTGCCGAAAAACGTATGCCAGAAATTCATTGGAAAACTCACAAATACTTTCGAAGGAATCAATGAAACATTTACAGCTGAGAACAAAGAAGATTTCTTCTCTATTTGCTTGGATGTAAAAGGTTTCGATTGCTTGGAAGACTCCTTTGAAAGTTTCATTTCTTCACAGTTTTTGACAGGAGATGATCAATATTATGCCGAAAGTTTAGGACATAAAATTGATGTTAAAAAGTTTGTTAGGATATCAGAACCTCCTGAGCATTTGTTCATCCAACTAAAGCGCTTTGAATACAACTTGGATACTTATGAAAGATACAAAGTCAATGATAGATTCGAATTTCCACTTGAAATTGACATTTCAAGGTTCACGACATCACCAAATATCAGCCAAAACTATAAACTAACACATGTTTTATTACATGATGGTGAATGTGAATTGGGTCATTATTATTCATTGATTTTGATCGAAGGAAAATGGATTTTGTTCAATGATAAAACAGTTGGAGAATTTCCAAAGGAATGTTTTGAAGCTGAATGCTTTGGAAGTGAAGATTCTGCTGATGCAAATTACTATTCTCCTTCTGCTTATTGCTTGATCTACACGAAGAATGATATTCCTCATAAATACTCAGAAGACAATTCGGAAATTTCAGAATTGATTGATCAAGACATCAAGAAAGAAATTGAAGAAGAAAATGACACATTTTGCAGATACGAATCTACATATACAAACTCCTTCTTGAATTTCATTCTTTGGCTGAACGAAGAGAAGATTCTTTTGGACTATTTCTTCAATGTTTATGCCCATTCAAATCTTGTTGAAAGCAAACGAAAAATGTATAATTCTCTGCTGAATTATAAACAACAGATTATTTCAAGATTTGCTCATGAAAAAGAACATCTCTTGAATATTTTGCTTCATGCAAATGACCAAATCATCTCTTTGATTTGCGAATTAATCACAAGTAAAGTGCAAATCGAAAACAAAGATGATTTCATTGTTATTGCTGAATCTTTTGCTGCTTCTCTTAAGCAAAACTTCAACAAAAACAATCAAGTATTGAGCGTCAAAGCTAAAGCACTTCATTATTTGTGCAAAGATATTAGTTTATCAAGGACATTGATCGAAAACATAATGAACGCATTATTTGTTTTAGGAAGAGATCCACAGATTGATCAAATGGCTTTGTTGAGTATTTTCAAAGAACACGTTCATGAATTAACTGAAATGGATTACTCCAATCTCTTAGCTGCTGCTCCAAATTTGTTGATATCTATAAATGGAACTTCATTAATGGCTGTTTTCGTTACTGCGGCAAAAGAGAAACTTATTGACCTAATAACAGTTCTCAAAACAATTCTTTCTTCTGCTGATGAATCATATAGTGTTTTCCTATTCAATGCATCAGTTGGATTCATTCCTGTTGCTCTTCTAATTGAAGTTTTCAAGGAATGCGGTGTAACTAATTTAACAATTGCCAAAACTTTGAATTTGGCTCTTCTCAGAGGAAACATTATGTTACAAGCCAAAGCAATTTTATTCGATTTGTTACTTGATGAAAACGAATTAACAAGAAAATATGCAGAAAAATTTGTAAAAGGATGTTTCCCTGGAGAAATCAATGAAAAGACAGCTGAAGAGATTCTCAATGGAATACCTGCAATCAAGAATGATTTCTACGATGACATTGACGATGATTCTGATGATGACTTGGAAATGATTAATTATGATGACATCGACATCAACAACTTCATTGAACAAATAACAGAATTTTTGAATACTGTAGATATTATTAAATATGACACTGGATTTAGATTGACAAGTCTTGGAAGAACACTTCAGAGAGTTATTGTGAGACAAAATACAAAGGAATTGGCATCCGCTTTACTTAAATTAGTTGAAAAATTAGGTAAAAGTGATGCAAACAAATTAGAATTCTTGAGGGCATTAGAACTCTGCGATGAGATGAATCTCAAAGCTGTTGTCGATGAAGATTTCATTGAGAACTTTGTCAACACAATCTTCCCAATTAACTTCGATAATGTTGAAAGCGGATGCACTCTTTTCAACAGCTCTTTCGTTATTTTGAAGAAGATTAGTCAAAGTATTGACAGTTTCATGATTCTTATTATGCTTCCTGATTTCTTCGAATCAATGGTTTCTTTCATCGAATTCTGCGAATACAATATGAGTCTAGATTTTGTTGCATTCGTGATTTCTCATGAAGAACTCTGCCAAAGTATTGTTTCTGTCATCAATGACAACGATCGAGTTGTTTCTACATCCAAATCGAATCTCCTTGCAATTTTGTTCAATTTGAAGACCGATGAAGAGACAGAAATAAAGGAATACTTAGTTGCAGTTGCCATAGAAGGAGGCTTGATAGCATTATCGGATAGTTTCATGTCGGATGACAGTGATTTGCAAAGCACTTTCCAGATTCATATTTGCGAAATGATACAAGACGTTTCTTTTAAATTCAAGCACAGCGACATACATTCACAGTTTATAAGCGATGTTGTCACTAAAACAATTAGTGCTGATGCTTCCTTTGTTAGTCCAAATATTTCAAAGATGATTAATTCGATTTTGTCAGAGAAATCTGCACAACACTTAATTAGAATGTTCGAAATGATTAAAACAGGAAATGTTCCAATTGCTACTCTCTGCATGATACTTCCGGCCATGGCTTATGCGAACAGTTTCAAGGACAACAAGCAAAAAGTCTTGGAACTTATTGAGGTTGCGAAGAAGGCAGTAGTCGAACAAGATGAAAGCCCATCTTCTCTTGTTTCATTGTTCTTAGAATTGAACCTGAAAGATGAAGATGTTTTGCACAGTCTCAAAGAATTAATGCAATTGGTCACTGATTGCTAATTTTATTTTGTATATTTCTAAATATATATATATTACTCGTTAAAATACATTTGATTTTTTTCATTAATTAACTAATTGATTAGCAATGGTTTGCTTGCAGCTGATTGTTAAGCGAGTCATTGATGTGTGATATTAAGAAAAGATTCAGACGTTTGATTTTCGATCAATATGGGTTTGAAGCTAGTTTTACATGAAGAAAAAAATCTTTGTAGAATTTGTCACTTTTTATTTTGGAGAATGGCATATAATCAAGAAATGTTTCTCGAAATCCTTGACGACGATGTGCTCGTTGATAAAGAAAAGTTGATGGCTGCCTCATATTATGGCGTGCCAGATGCTGTTCGTGCAAAAGTTTGGATGCATTTACTAAATGTATCTGATTCTTCGCATCATTTTGAAGGACAGCAAGTTGTAGAGCGCACAAAGTACTATAAATCTCTGAGACCAACAACATTTCCTTATATCAAAAACGCTGTTAACACTGTAATTCATCATATGGCTTTGACAGAAGAAAATATCTCAGCAGGATTATCAAATATACTTTGTAATTACTTCTCATGCAATCCTAACGTCCATTTCAACATGGGAATCGTTTCATTAACAGTTCCATTATTCATTGCATCAGAAAATGATGAAGTATCATCATTTTTCTTATTAACCAATCTTTTGGATCGATGGTACTTCCAAAATTCTGATGATATTCATATTAAACAAGCAGCAAAACTTGCAAAATATATAAGTATTTTCTATCCTGATTTGGCAAACCATTTCTCGTCCGAAGCTCTCGATATGAGCGAAATTTTCATCCATTGGTTCCAATTCTACCACTCTACAGCCCTTCCTATTCAATCTTTGTTAAGATTGTGGGATACCTATCTATCTCTTGACGCAGAACATCTCAGAAAGACAACTTTGTTTGTTTCTCTTGCTCTCGTTGAAAGATTGATGCCAAAAATCTTAAGAATGGAACATATCGAAATCAAGAACTTTTTGTCTCATCTTCCATTTATTGATATTGATGTTCTTTTGGTTCAAGCTCAGACAATGCAGTCTCAATTTGCTGCAATGTTCGCAAGTGAAAAATCTTCCCAATAATTTATATTTTTGTATTTTTGTTATAAAGAAAACTATTATCTTATTTATGTAAGCTATTACCAACTCATCTTATTATATTTTTCAGCAGTTTCAAAAATAAATTTGATAATTTCACCTGATTTGAGTCCAACTCATGAAGGATTATTCATATTTAGTCTGTGTGATATGTAATTTGTGGAATTTGGCTCAAATTCTAAAATAAATAAATTTGAAAAAAATTCTCATAATATTTCTGTATATTGAATAGAATATTGGCTATATAGTATATGTATTCAAGAATCTCAACTAGACTATTCACGAATTTCTTTTTCATTATGAAAATTATAAAATTATTGAGGATTTTCCGATGAGGAATAGTATATTTGTTTTCTGTAAGCCAGTAGTTTGTATAACTAATTTTTAATAATGATACAATAAATCTTTTTGCGGATCTATATTTAATAATGAAACAATAGCTTTATAAAAATATCTGGGTTATTCATCTGAGTCTTCTTCTAATATATTATTAATTTCTTCGTCGTTTATGAGATTATCGTCATCACTGATAACAGCGAAATTAACTTCCTTTAAAAGGGGTGCCTCCGGATACTTCTGACCAAGAATTTGGTTGCCATCTGCAACAGAAGAAACTGTCATACGTGGGAAGTTTCCAAATTCTAAAACTGATTCTTCTTTTGAACACAAGCAACCCATTTTTTTTCGAATGAAAACTGAAATCAAAGTGCCAAAAATAATCGAACCATTGAACATGATTTGTGCAATGTTCGCCTTCAATATGTATCATACTACTAATGTCATAATATAATTTAAACAAAATCCATGGAAAATTTCAAAATTGGTGTAAATTTGTAGCAATAATCATTGTTTTTTATATGTTAGAGTATAAAAATATAAACCCTATATTCTTTCAAAGTTATTAAGATTCTTCAAACAATATGAAACGTATGTTTAAGTATTTTGACTCAAATCACTTTAATCTCATATTGCTTGAATTTAATATAATCATATTTTACTTTAAAATAGACTTGAAGGTTCACAATTTTTAAAATTTGCTATTGTTTAGCTAAATCTTATCATGCAATTGCGAAAAGCATCATTAATATTGTAAGCTGCATGTTTTCTGTGTTATGTGCATTCGATGGATAAATCAATTGAAAAAACAATTAACTTTGAAATCGGAAGTTTTCTTGCTACTCTTTACGCCATTCTATGAAATTTTCATATGATAATCATATTGAACAGGATCAATATCGAAGTTCTTGAACTTGAGACCAAATAAGCGGTTTGACACTCACCAGGAATGAATTGGTTTAATATTGGTGGTAATAGACAAACTTTCCGTCCAGTTAGGCGCGGAGGTATCAATCAGAGGAGAACAAACCTTCATCAACACCAGATGGAAACCCTTGGTTATGGCGATTTCCATGAAGCGGTAAAACTCCCTGAGGGCGAAGACCTTAATGAATGGTTAGCAAATGGTGTAGTTGATTTCTGCAATCAGCTCGAAATTCTTTACAGGACAATTACGGAGTTTTGCACACCAGAAACATGCCCAGTAATGAGTGCAGGGCAAGGCTTCAAATATCTATGGTCTGATAACAACCAGTACCAAAGGCCAACTGAAGTATCTGCTCCGGAATATATAAGTCTATTACTCGATTGGGTGAAAGATCAAATTTATAACGAGGATATTTTCCCAACTGCTCAGGGAAAGCCTTTCCCAGATAATTTTCAGCAAGTAATCAAAAATATCATGAAGCGACTCTTCAGAATTTACGCACATTGCTATTGGCATCATATAGATAACTTCAAAACTCTCGGAACAGACAGCCACCTCAACACTTCGTTCAAATATTTCATGTGCTTTACTCTCGAGTTTAATCTGATACCTCCAGATCAACTTGAGCCATTGCACGATCGAATCGAATCCATTACGCGTTCTTAAATAATAATTAGCGGTGTAGTTTTTTCCAATTATCCAAAAATACCAAATGTTCTTTATTGTAAAAAAATATATTGAAATAAAAAATCTAATGTTGTTTTTACTCTTTTAACTTTTTTGATTTATTTTGTCTATGATTGTTTACCCTATGAAAATAGTTTAATGGTTCAAATACATTTTTATCAAATTCAACTTTCATAATTCTAAAACAAGAGAATGGAAACATAAAATAGTTTTTATAGTGAAATAATTTTGTCATGAAACTAACGTGAAATTTATTCTAAATTAATACAAAAATAATCTTTACAATATTTAATCATTAAGAAGGATATCAACAAGTATATTATAATCGATAAATCCATTATCTACCTCAAGCTGTGAAAATAGACGCTTGATCTGCTGTTCTTCGAAAGGTTGGTTGCAATTCTTCAGAACTTCAATTGCAGTTGCTTGTTTAATCTTTCCTGTACCATCGCGATCAAAAACTTTGAATGCGCTAACAAGTTCATCACGACAATTAGAATATCTTGCTATATGATAAACAAAATATGCATATTGATTAAAGTTAACTTGGTCATATGCTGATATATCCCTGTTTACTGCAATTATTTCTTCTTCTGTTGGATTCAATCCAAAAGCACGAATTGCTTTTTCTAACATTGTTAACTCGATGTTTCCGTCAAGATCATCATCAAAGTCATCGAATGTATCATGTAATTTTTTGAGTGTACTTGGAGTCATAAATTGTTTAATACTCATCTCGAATTTTTAAACCGTTAATGACGATTATCCAAAACGCACTAAAAAGTGACTGAAAGAAAACTGTTTCGTTAAGTTCTTCGTTTGTCTGGCATTGGATTTTGAATCAGTGGCTAACAAGGAAGCTCAGTGGAATCAAAAAGCAAGATTCTACAAAACATTTTTAATTTCATATCATTTTAGTCAGTTCTGGAAGTTTAAATATATCCTGCAGATGAATCTATGTAGTCAAATGACCATATTAAGTACTTCAATCTCATGATAGTAATATGGGATTTTATAAAAAAAAATAAAGATATATAATAAAATTTTAAACAAATACATAATATAGAGATATAATTGGCATATAAGCTATATGAAAATATTGATTATTATGAACAAAATGTCATGAGAAATCGATATTTCAAGATTATAATTGCTCAATCAAGTGATTTTATGAAATCGCTTTGAATTCATCATCAAGTGGAATAAACCACATTGATTCATTGAAGAGTTTTGAATGTAATTGATCATGGGGACTATCAGGATGATTTGAAACTACAGGACGTGAATTTTTATTTGGTTTCTTGATTAATGGTGAATTTCTGGTGTGGTTTTTGCTTGTTAAATTTTTAAGATTTTCGAAAAGTTGCTTGAAATCTAAATCTAAGCCCTTTGATTGGTTCTTGGGTTGATTTTTGACGGTTTTGGGCTTATCATCAAGTTTTTTCTTGCTTGATATCAGTTGATAAAATACCAAGAATAAAACAAGCATTTTAATGTCACTTTTTTATTCCCTTCTAATCAGATTTTCTTCAAATTTTAAAGATCGATCTTATCCCGTAAATTACATTGTTTTGTGGATTGTAATCAGTTCTCTTGTATTGTGCACTTCCTAATATATGCATTCTCATACTTGGTCATGAAGTTATCTCTTTCATAGATCCGAGAATCATTGCAATAGAAAATTCATTTTTTTCGGGCTTCGATTTGTAAACTATTGAAATTCTGAGTTATTGAAAATCAATAGTGAGGGGAATAGAAGTCATCTTATTGTATCTGTATTATCTAAAGGTCAATTACTTTGTAATCAGGCTGTCATTTAATAAATTATTATATTTTAATAATATTTTTGAGCTTTGGCTCATGTCTTACAGGGTGATTGTTTTTTGGACATGATATCACCATATATCACCATCATTGCCTTGTTTCAAATATCTTTCAGAATTATCAAATTATATCTTATTATCGAAGTATTATCCTATTAATGCAGAGTAAAGTTCTAATTAATATTAAATCATGCTCATATGATAGACTAAAAGTTCATTTAAATGCTTGTTACTCCATCTCCTTTATTAGTTGTTCATCATAAACATCAAAATTTTGATGATCAACTATACCATTTAGAATACGCTTTGGCAAATAATGCATCTGATATAAATAATTCACCAAAATCACAACTATTTACAGATTTAGCATTTTTATGTTTAAATGAAGATAACCAAAATGCAAAAAAGTCATCACTTCGAGCATCGATATTCCTTTCATTGCTTACTGACTTAGAAAGTCCTGATATTCCTTTGTTTTTGGGAATATTAGCACTCTCAACTAACGATTCATATACTGCAAGACATTGGCTTCAGAAATCTGCAAGCCTCGGAAATAAAAATGCAATGGTTTTACTTGGTAGATTAACAATGGGAGCTTTTAATACAGCTCCACTCCCTGATTTTGACGACCGCCCCATTTTAACAGCAATCCGTTGGTTTATTAGAGCAATTCGCAGCGGATCTGTTGTTGCAAATTACTATTTAGGCGAATTATATTTTCAACATAATGATTATCGACGCGCACTTATTTATTTTAATACATATTTCGCAAAAACTAAGTCCGTCTTAGCTGCTGGTTTTATTGCAGTTTCTCTACAAAATCTTGGTCAAACACAATTGTCAATTAAATGGCACAGATGGTGTGCATCACAAGGATTACAAGCATCAGCGAACTCTTTACTAGTAATATATAGAAGTGGAAACTATGTTGTGTCATTTTTCCAATGGCTATCAGTTGCAACAAGATATAGTTTCTTAAAAGAGAAAAAATACTTCTTTTCACCACTTCTTAAAGCAACTCTCACAGATAAAATCGAATTTCCTCAACTTTCTGCTGCAATTTCTTTATTATCTTTTTCAGAGCCATATAAACAAGCATCGCAATTTTTACCAGCACAGCCATCAGTAGAATTCAGACCAATCCTCAATGAAAGCGAAATTGTTGCTGTTTCAAAATCAGATAATCCAGGACTTTGTCCAGCCACTCGTTTGCCATCAATTCCAGCCACAACACCAACACAGCTTCTCCTTAAAGCCTTTGATCTTGCAAATCCTTACTTCGAAAAGAGAAACCTCGCAATGTGTAAGTCAATTTTGCAGCATTTGCAGAATCTCAAACCACGAGGTATCTGCGAGAGCCATTTGTTCAGAGCCAAATGCAAATCTCAGTCTGCAAATGATCTTTGCACTGCAGCTTTGATTGCTTTAGTTCTTGAAGACGCTGCTTACGCTTTGGAGCTCTTTGGAAAGGCAGCAATACTCGGAAGTGAAACAGCAAACTTATTTATTGGTTTAATATTATTCCATGGCTTAGTAAATACAGAAAGAACTGAATCCGGAGTAATTTATCTCTCAAGATGTCCACTTGAACCTGTTGCCCTTCTTCACCTTGCTGTAATATACAATGACAAAGTGTGGGCAAGAAGAGCTGCTCAAAGTTTAGGTTCTACTGAAGAAAGTGGAGAAATGCACGAATACGTGGGCGATTTGTTCGCGAATGGAATCAAATTCCCTAAGGATGGCAAGGTCGCAATGATGTGGTATGGAATTGCCCTCCAGAAATACGAAGAATTCGGATTAGATACAAATAATATTTTGCAGAAAATGGCTCAGCATGCTTACAACTCTAGGTCGTCATTTAAGTGAACCACATATTGATTTGTTCTTTGTTTTTTTATATGTATATAAAATTATATTAATATTGGAAATTTTCGACTTTCTTTCATATAAATCTTTAATATGAATACTTTGATATCATTTATTGTTGTCATGCGTCATAAAATCTTCATAAAATTTTTTAATGAGCGTTTATGATTCTTTCATGAATCAATCCGAAGATCCTCTTATTCGAAATGAGCAATATATGAGGATAATTGAAGATAAATTGGAAGAATTAGCAACTCTTAGAGAAGATTATTCCAAAATTGAATCCGTTATTCAACAATATAATCAAGAACTCGAAAAAGTTAAAGAAAATACTGAAAAACATGAACAAACAATAGTCATTCCGCCATCATCTATAAAAAATACTGATGAAACAGAAGAAGAATCCATTGCACCAGCATTATCACCAAGAATAGCAGCACTCGCAGTTTCAGAAACTAGTGACGAACAAAAATATTACGATAATCTTGAAAAAGTACAAGACTTAGCGCTTCAAGTACCTGAAGAATATAAAAAACGAGCTCAAAAACTTGTAAACGTATGTGAAGAAGTATACAGCACAAGATTATATTTGAATGATGTACTTAATATCGAAATACCAGACAATTTTGATTTTGATAGAATTGGAATCACATTTAAACCAAATAATGTTCAATTTATGGATGTAGAAAACGAAGTTATTTACTCAGAACCACCAAATAAACCAATACTGGCAAAAAGAAAAGAACTTGGACAAATAGAAGAAGATATTAAATCACTAAATCAGCGTATTTCAGATAAACGTGCAGATCTTGAACGATATGCAAGAGTTTATGATCTAAATGTTAAGTGTCTTGCAGCAAAAACGATTTCATCAACTTTACCTCCAAATTCAGTTTCAAATATATTAAAATCCGAAGAAGAAGCAAAGAACTTTGCAAGTATGAACAAAGCAAAAGCAGAAGAATTAAAGCTTCAAATTAAAAGGCTTCAAAATGAAATTTCAGAAAAGCAATTCGAAAATTCGCATGATATTGTTACATTAGTTAACATGATGAAACAAAGAAAGCTTGATGAAGCTAAACTTCAGCACAAATATAGATCATTTTTAAGTGAACTTGCAGCTCTCACACATTGTATTGATTTAGATTGTGAAAATATTAATGTTATACAAAGTAATGTCGAAAAAATGAAAAAGCAAGTCTCTAAATTGCAATATGATACACAGTTTTATACTTGTCCTGCTTATTTAAGTCATATCAAGCTGCGTGATATGGAGTTGAAACAACAGCTTCAAAAAGTAAAATCAACAAAGGAAACGTTACAATATAAAGTTTCGATGACGAAAAGAAAAATTGAGCTCACGAATGAGAGAGTTCCAGATGATCTCATGAGCAATATCTAATTCTAATTTTTTAGAATAGAGATTATTTATTTACTCTCTACATCCTTTCTAATTTTGTTTGAAAATTTTAAAATAGAAAATTAGTTCTTGTTGAACAAATTGACATCAGTTAATTTGATAAATTGACAATTTATATAGAAATTTACTGATCAAGAATGTATGGAGAGAATCATTTAAGCAACGAGAGCAGAAGCTGTCTGGGCGTTGTACTTCCAGTTTGGAGCAAGAACACGGCGTGTCTTGTAATAGCGGGTAAGACGGTGAATTCTTGACTCGATAAGGATGAGACGGTACTTGCCATCGACATCGTGCTTAGCGTGCTCGAGGTGCTTGCGGACGTTTGTTGCCTTCTTGATAAGATGATAAAGTTCTTCTGGGAGAGCTGGGGCGAGGCCATTAGCCTTAAGGATACGGAGAACCTTGACGCCTGTAACAGCACGGACCATGCCAACACCATTACGGTCACGAAGGAGTGCGCCGATCTGAGATGGGCGAACACCCTTCTTAGCGTAGTCGCAGATCATCTGGACGCATTTCTCTGCAGAGAGCTGGAGCCAGTGTGGTGCTGAACGACGGTATGGGCATGTTGAAGAAGAAATACCTTTGCCTTGGGAGTGAAGACGACCCATTCAAAAAAAGGAAGAAAAATCTAACCGCAAAATAACCGTAAATTTTGCTGGGCCAAAATTTGCCCTGTATCAGAGTTAATTATGTTATCTTTAACGGGGTTGTTATGCTGATTTATGATCCGTTTTTAAATCATCATAAATATCAATTTTTATCAATTTCATTGATATTTTTTTCTGTCAAAGTTTCAAATGAACTCAAATGATCCTCTTGGTGATCATTTCTTTGTTATAGAAGAAGAGTTTGGACGTCAATCATCATTAAATCCCAATGATATCGAACCTAATACAGTTGAAACATGGATGGATGACAATGAAAGCGACCATTGTGTTCTCTGCAAAGAAAAATTTCACCCCATATATCGTAGAAGACATCACTGTCGCTATTGCGGACTTTTGATGTGCGGAAATTGCACTCAATCATCTGCAATCATTGAAGATAAACTTGAACGTGTTTGTGATTGCTGTGCTGCTGTAATATTACCTCCCAATTTCTCTAATAATTCATATCCTGGTCTCCGACAATGGGTATCCCTATTAAATATTAAAATGACATCATTCAATCCGAAACAAGCTGCATTTTATTACATATCTTCATTCTTTACATCAGAAAATACGATTACGCACAAGTATGCAGTGAATACACTCCTCAAAATGTACAAGAAATATCTTCCTGATATCGTTAAAGCTTGTGTAGCAAGACCATTACTGTTGCATGCAATGAATTGCAAATGTCACTCACTTGCTCAGACAATTGAGCTTTTTGTCACTCTTTACAGTGCAGATCCTTCAAGTTCTGATATTGACTTTACAAATCCAGAATTCTCATCTCTCGACATAAATTCATTCTTTGCAGCCGATTCCTTGGATATCAAGCGTGCTGCATCACGATTACTCTATTTACTTGTTTTCGAAGGAAGATTGCATCCTTCTGATCTAATGGGCATCGAAAAGCTCATAAATTACCCAGACAAATGGGTTGCTGCGTTCATCATGGCCTCCATTTCATACAAAATTGTGCCACACGATGTTGATGAATATTTCAATTATTCTGTATCAGGACCAAACATTATACAGAACTCTAAGGATTACATTTTACATGTCCTCAAGTTATATGAGCCGAATACGCCCCAAACATCAACAGCTGCCAAGTATTACGCATCAGTTTTTCTTGAATACGTTGCACACTTCCCAGAAGACTTAAATATCATTGCGAAATCAGATTTATCTCACATGATGACATATTTGGTCCAATCTTTCCCGAAGAATGCTGAAGATCATCGCCCAGAAATAAGAAATTCGATTATCTTGACAGCATTGCTTGATCACCTTTGGAAAGGAGCAGATAATGGAACAATTGATGAAGAATCTAAGCGTAACCTCTTCTCTTACGTTCTTCTTCCTCTTTTCGATATCATCGGTATCGAGAATAAATCTACTGAGAAATGCCTCTGTTCAATACTTCAGGCGAAGTTCTTGTCAATAGTCAGAATAATTTGCAAGACTGTTGAATTCAAAGCTGCAATTTGTTCCGAACAAATGCTATCTATTCTAAAAGAGCTTTCACAGAATGCTTCTGTTGTTGGCGAAGAAGCTTCCAAGACTCTCGCCGTACTTAATTAACTGTTGTTTATTATTTCCCTGAATTTGTAAAATTTATTTGATTCTCTGTTGTTAAATCATACGAGTTTTTCTTCCAATGATAACAAAACTATCCATTAAAAAAATCAATGTTTGAACAAAATGATAAATAAAACGATCGATTTAGTGCACACTATTCTATTGAGCAAGGAATATTCCTGCATTTGCTGCAAGTCTATTTTCATCATAATTGAATTTCTCTTAATCACCATCATTTTGCAGTTGAACATTTATTTGATTTGTGCTATCCGATCTATTAAAAATGGCCAATAAATTATCAATTTAGAAACACATGGTAAAATTCAATTGTTTTCAAAAAAATTAAAAAAGCTATCCTGGGGAGTCGAACCCCAAACCCTTGGAATAAAAGTCCAAAGCTCTATCCTGTTGAGCTAGGAAAGCTTTACATAAATATATACTTTAATGTTACCATCATAATAAATATCTACTTTTCTCAAGATTCGAGGAAATATAGTACCAGTGTTAGAAAGATGAATTTTTTAAAAAAATCCATTGTTCTTTGTTTTTATATCAAAATTACCCATTTTTCAATAATCATTTTTTCCTATCCTGCCCATTATAAATTTTATCATATAGTTTATTCGATAATTTAAATTACCATGGTAATGTTAATGTAGATCATCACTTAAAGACATATACATTCAATTATCCATGTCCATTAAGTTACGAATGTACCGACTATGTCATCAAATTTCAGCCTGGAATATATAAATTTGAGCTCTATGGTGCCTCAGGGGGTGCTGATGAGGGGAAGATATCTTCATTTATAGACGAAAATGGTAATTGTATAAGCGATACTATAGTTGAAATTTACAATGGGAACACTAAATGTAAGAAGATTGGAAGCCGTGGTGGTGCTGGAGGATATATATCTGGCATTATCAAGTTGTCACGCCGCATAACCGCTTTTGCGACGATAGGAGGTCAAGGATCAACTAAATTTGTTCCCGGCACTAAAACAATCAAAGGCGGTTATGGAGGTGGTGGAGATACGTTTAATTTCAACGTTGGGATAATACAGATGGATGGGGAGGTGGTGGTGGTCAAACCGCTGTCAAATTTCTGTCAAATGACCTTTGGCATCGCGTAATTGTGAGCGGTGCAGGCGGTGGGGCAGATAACTCATATACTAATGCAGACAATATGTATGATGATGGATCTGGAGGATCAGGTGGTGGTTTGACCGCACAGGGCTTTTGGGCAAATGGTGTTTATAATTCAACTAAATTGGCAAATTCTACTTTCGGTTTTACTTTTGGATTTGGAGAAAGTGCACTGCAATCGGGGTCTAAAAATCATGATGGAATTCAACAACTAACTGGTGCAACAGACAGACCAGGTTCAGGAAGTGGATGGTTTGGAGGATTTGCCGGTTACAATGGAAATGGTGGTTCTGGAGGAGGAAGTTCTTGGGCACTCTCTCCAGATGCAATCATTCCAAAAGGAGAGATTTTCGCAAATGGTAGTTATTATAACGAAACAGAGAGTCATCCATATTTCTTCAGCTTGGACGATGGATATGTATTCAGTGATGTCAAAAATTATCCTGGTATCTGGGAAGGTAATGGTCGACTTGTAATCACCATTCTCGACTCTATCTTTTATCCTTCTTGTTTCAGTAACTATTTTCATTTCAAATATTCTATTTTGTTTGTTTTTATTATTGATCCTACTTCCGAATAAAAACGAAAATTTCAATAAACCCGATTTTTATTAAGGTATTATGATATAGTTATTCAATTCTGTAGGTCATGGAGTTGTCAATTATACAGGGTGTCTAAATTTTAATCAATATCAACCAATCCCCAAAACATATCATTATCAGTGAACTTGCTCTTTGGCTTCTTCTTCTCCTCTTCTACATTCAAGATGTCATCGAATGAATGACCGTTGAACTTCTTTTGTTGCTGTTGTGGCTGCAACTGCTCAGGCCGGACATCTACTTGGAATTTTTCTTCTTTTTCTCAGATTGTTGCTGAACTTTTTCTTTTTCTGGTTTAATATTCTGTACTTTCGGGGTGTTCCAAACGTCTGCCTTTGGCTGCGATGTCTGTATATCATTGACTGATGGTAGCCCTGCCCACTAGTTGCACTTCTTCTCGCTCCAAAGCAAATGGCAACACAAGCTCAACAACTTCGCGGACAACATGTAGCTTACCTGGTTCTAGCTGTGGTTTCTGCAGTCTTGATCCAATTATCGTTAATATACTTGATTGGAAGGTTATCATGATATTGTACATAATGCATTTTGTGAATAAATATTCATATTTCAATTTCAAAAATATAATTTGAGTAATATGAATATTCTTTTGAAAGATATGAATGTATGTAACATCATTGTTCTAATAAACTATGTGGGATATGTAAAAAGAGTCAAAATCATTGAATAATGTTGAAAATATGTAAATATTAAAAATTATGCTCAATTTATTTTCAAAAGAACCGGCTGTATATATTAAGTTCATTATTCTATTCCAAGAAAATCTTGAAATAAAATTTTTATTATCAAATATATATAATTTTAACTTTATTTTTTTGTTTCTTTTAAAAATTTGGACTGGAATACATCGAAATTACACAATTCCGAATCTAGTAATAGTTGTTATTTTTCAAGTAGAATATTAATTTATATAAGTTAATGATATTATAATTAAATTGACAAATTTTAGATCACAAATTAGGAAATTATTCAAATTTCTGGATGAAATAATAATTCATAACATTATGTAGTTCAAAATATCATGTTAAACATTTCCTAAATGCATTTACAAAATTTTTGACATCAAATTCAGCGCTGTACGTTACCGTCTCTCAAATTCAACCATCATCAAATAGTTGCATTTATTTATTTAAACAATATTTTCAAAAAATTATTTTTTTTTGGTTTCATAAATTTTTTTTGAAGTTACATTTCAGATGACTTCTCGCAGGAAGAAGAGAATAGATCCCATGCTTTACATGGGTTACGCTGATGAGAAGGAATCTATCGAGTCGATTGAAGCAAAGTTCGCCATGATGGAAAACAAGGAAAGACAAGGTGATTTATCTGCCGAAGAGTCAGCCAAATCCGTCTTTCTTGAGACAGCAACACCAGATCAACTTCCTCTTGACGTTTGGTTTGACTTAGAAAATTATGGAGAAGAAGAGGAACAATTATTAGATGATGAATTCGAACCAGGCTACTATGACGGTGACGAAGACATTCCGAGATCAATGAGGAGATCACACTCACGCGGTTCCAGTGAATCTTCTGGACCAAACTTTGCTAATTTCACCCAAATAGACCACTTAGGTTCTGGCATTGAACTTTGGCCTGATTACAAGTTGCGTTCTGTTGATTGTGAGAAGAATTCCGCAATGATCAGTACGGAATTTCCAAATGTTCAAGAAGGTCTCTCATACGAAAGATTCCAAGATATTTGCCAAAAATGCCCAATTACAACAATTCGAAAGATGACACCAAAAGCTATTTACGATATTGCAGGCAACAACATCGATGCAATCATCATGGATGTTCCATTTGGCCACAATGGTTGGAATGGAAACACATTTTACCAATTCCTTCGCGAAATGAAAAATACAATAGGACAATCCTTCTTCGTCATCTGGGCAGATCCAGAACATCTCCCAGACGTCGTTGGAGCTTGCACACGATTAGAATTAAAATTCTGCGATTCCATTTCATGCGAACTTCTTACACCAACAGGATCTCCTGTTTCCATCAAGCTTAGAAATGGCTTCAATAGGGAAACAAGAATGCTCGTAATGTACCATACCGACGATATCAGCAGAAATGACCTTGCCCAGCAACGTATCAAAGATACAGGTTGGGGAATTTCTGTTCGTGGCGGCAAAACTTACGATAGATTCTCGATGCCAATGGTCGCACATCAAATCATCGAGACAATGCTTCCACAGAAGAAGAATAAGCGCCGCATTTTCGTTGAACTTTGGCCATCTACATATAGCAGAAGAAATGGCTGGATAATGATTAATGAAACTGAATATGAAGAGTAAAAGATCTGAAATTCAAGTTCTACTCTTAATAATCTAATTCATTATTCAATATTATTAATGGATTTTATTATTGAATACTGATTTATAGAATTAATAGAATATTATATTATTTGAATAAAATATATTGATGATGATTTATGCTATTGTTTGATTGCTAACTTATGCTTATTGATAACCATTCTTTGTTTTATCATAAATGAGTGACGAAAGTTATGTTGAGTATAGTCAACGAACTCAAGAGTTGCTCAAAATGATTTCAAATGTTACAAGTCAAGTGCTATCAATGAAGAATATAGAACATACGATTGATGCTTATAAAAATTGCTACGCAAGTTTAAACAGGATTTCAAATGTCGAACTTCAAGAAATATCTCAGAAAAATGCAGATATCATAAATAGATGGAATGATTTAGTCAAAATGAATACAGAATCAGCAGTTATAATCGTTATAGATCCTTCACTTCATTTTCGAAATGTCACTAAAGCAATCACAAAACTTAACGAACTCATTTCATCTGCAAATACGGAAGTAGAGAATTTCTTATGCGGGTATGTTAACCGCTACAATATTTTTGTTCATCAAGTTGATACAGAATTATCCGCAGCCGAGTTCACAATTACTAATCCGTGCGAAGGATTTGATCGCCGAAGACAAGCTTTAAATGATGCCAAAAGAAAACTCATGGAGCTTCGTCAACAAGTTGAAGAACTCGAAAGATCATACTCAGATGTTAAACGCGCAGGAAAGACAGAGCATGCAACTATGACACCAGAACAAGTACGTGCTAAACAACAAGAAATCTTTAACACAATTGATGAAAAATTATCCGAATTAGATAATGAGATTCAGCTTGTATTAAACTTAAAAATAACAGAACAAAAATTCTATGAATTAAAACGAGTATTTGCACAACATGATTTAAATAAATCTGGTGCGCTTGAATCTCATGAGTTGGCGGCGCTTTTAAACTTTCCAAAGCGGAAGAATGATGGTGCGATAATAAGTGCACTACTCTCAGAGTATGGCAACGGAAAATCCATTTCGATGATTGGATTTTTGCAAATGATGGCTGCAGATGCAGCAAGACTTCTAATGCAGGATACAGTTATTAAATCAGTTCCAAAAGGTAGGATATTTACAAAAGGAATACACCATGTGTAATATTGTTTGTAATAAAATTCTTTTTATTAATAATATACAGTAGAATTTTTTTAGTTTTTAACAAGGAATCACTAAATTCATTGTCATTATTACATTTAAAAGTTAATGGAATTGCAAATGTTTTAATTTATCGAAAAATACCTCTACGAGAGGTATAAGATAGTACAAAATACATACAAACTCTATATTGCACTTCCTTAATTTGGCATTATAAACAATTCGATATTTCCTATCAAAATCAAATATTGGATTTTAAAAATAACTCATGATTTGAATTAATAAATTTATACTTATTACATTTTTAGTAATTACAAAATAAGATTGGCGATTTTTAGATTCGATTATTCAGATTTGACACGAAATTTGATTAAAATCTATGTTTCTGAATTTGTTCATGGAACTGATGTTTTTATTGTTGATTTGACCAAATGTTTACAAACCAAATGAATATTTTTTACAGTAAATTATCTCCCCTAAAATACATTTTTGATAAATGGAAAAAGAAATTACTGAAAAATCAAACTGAGCGCTTATAAATATTTTGAGAGCCTGCAATTGAATGAAATGGCAGAAAACACGTTAACATCGACATCTCAAAAGTGAAATATTCTTATACATATTATACACAATTTAACAAACGATATAATTCATGAAAAATTTCAATTGTCATGTCAAAAAACTGACTTCAAAACAAATGTCAATTATAGCTCCCCATTATATTTGATATACAATTATTTTTTATCGATTATCGATTATCGTTTTTTTTTTAACAATATGCAAGACAGCATTGATGGATTAGTAGGTTACCTAAAAATAAAAAATATCCAAGATGGACTGTGGTACAAACGGTACTGCGTCCTTACTTCTCATACTTTCACCATATTTAAAGACGAAAGTCTCAATGATATGGAGAAAGTCATCAAAATCGATTCCAATACTAAGATTGACGAAGTACCATCAAATAGATCTCCAAGATTTTCAATCCAAAATCCAGACGGTATATTATACTTTTCATGCGACTGCCAAGAATCTTTAATAAAATGGATTACAGCACCAAACGCATCCAAAGTAACAGTACCACTTCTTTCAATGAACGATTTTAATATAATCTCCGTCATTGGTAAGGGATTTTATGGAAAAGTTATGCTCGTTCAGCACAAAACTTCGGGCGAATTATATGCACTCAAAACGATTCAAAAACGCCGTCTCATTGAGACACACAAGGCACATACTGTCATTGCTGAGCGCAATAGCCTGATGAAAGCATCACATCCTTTCATTGTAAGATTATGTTTTGCTTTTCAGACCCCGCAAAAGTTCTATTTAGGACTTGAATACGCTTCAGGAGGCGAACTTTTCTACCATTTAGATAAAGCTGGCGCCTTACCACCAAGCGAAGTCCGATTGATTTCAGCCGAAATCGCTTTGGCCCTTTCATACCTCCATTCACTCGGAATTGTCTACAGAGACCTCAAACCAGAGAATGTCATGTTCGATAGCGAGGGACATGTCAAATTAACAGATTTTGGGTTATCAAAAGACATCGTAGAAACGAACTCTACCAATACATTATGCGGAACAACAGAATACCTGTCTCCAGAAGTTGTTCTCCATAATCAGTATGACTATGGAGTCGATTGGTGGGCGCTTGGATGTCTGATGTACGAAATGCTTACTGAGAGAACACCGTTTGAGAATCCGAATCGTTCAAAGATGCTCCAAGACATCGTCCACGCACAGCCAGAGTTCCCAGAATTCTTACCTCCAGATGTTATCGAAGTATTAAGTGCTTTACTCTCTAAAGATCCAAAGAACAGACCTGGAATCGATCAACTCAAAGAATTCGCTTACTTCAAGTGCCTCGACTTCAACAAAGTTTTCAGACGCGAATATACTCCAGAATACATTCCTCCTCACACAGACAAACTTACTCCATTAAACTTCGACTCAGAGTTTACAGAAGATAAACCAGTTGATTCCCCTGTTCCTTTGATGCTTCCGGATTTCCCTGGTTTCTCTTACAATGCATTCGGAATGGAGCCATCAGGAGAAAGTAACTCTCCTATTCTCATGAATTGAGAACTAATTATATCTCTTCTTAAGATAATTGAGAATAGTGATTTTATTTTTATTGATCTCTCTAATTATTTATATATCTATGTATTGTTTTTCCTTTAAAATATATTGTTTATTTTTACCGTCCCTTCTTTTAACCTGAATTTCAAATTAAAATCTAATTTTATCTTTTTCTTAATTCTTAATTGTATGAAAACTTATAATTTTGCAAAAATTCATCTATTTTGGAGATTGATTGATGTTTTAAATCAAATTTTGGTAATATTTTAAAAATTTCAGATAAAAAATGGAGTAAAATGGTTACTAAATTCAACAGTAGGTACTTTATAATTAAATAACAAACAATATAAAACAAATAAAAGTATAATTTTTTTTCATTTCCTTTTCTTCTTAATTATTGCACCAACAAATGCAACAAACAACGGAATTAAAGAAAATGCAAATGCAACATCATTCTTTGAATCCTTTGCAACTTCAGCTTTATTTGGAAGGGCGAGTTGTTGTTCTATCTTGCTGGCAGCCTCTGCAATCTTACGAGACTCAAGCCTGGCCTCTTCCTCAGCGTTATCTCTCTCTTGAAGCGATCTTAATATTTCTTGCGCTTTTCTTTCGAGATCTAGCTTCAATCCGATCAGTTCTGTAGATGCCAAAGAGATTGTTGGGTCTATTTCGTGCTCTTCTCGTAGCATAATTTCCAAATTTGAAATTGAATTGCGGATATCTGTAAAGAATTCATTGAATGGAATTGGAATATTATCGTTTGATGCTGACTGTTTGCCAGCTGATAATGCTATAAGCTTGTTTTGCTCTCTATGACGTTTATAAATATGATTCATTAAAATTGGCTCTAAATTTTTATCTACTTCGCTCCTTTTGATTGCAACAGTTACAATCGAACTTGAGAAGCCATTATCATCAGGATAAATGTTTCTAATTGATTTAACTCCGAAAAATTGTCCACTAATATTAAAAACGAATCTTGTAACAAGAACGTAACCCGTAACTGTGTTAGCATACTTGATTTTATCTGTCTGGTAGAGGCGAATGGGCATATTTATTTCAGGAATCGTTGGAACAAAATTTATATTGTGACCATCAACGACAACATCGTCATCTCCCATCTCAAAATGAAGTCTGATACGAAAGTTCTCGTTGGAGGTCAAAAGACTATTCACGCTTGAAGCAGGGAGCTGATGTTGCGATTCAAGCGGGAAATCCATTGTATTTCTAAAAGTGACAAAGATTTAACCAGCTATTTGACATGATTAGAGTTACATCTAATCATAACCAAATGCATGCAAGATGAAGCAAACCCGTAAATGCTCAAAATCTAATCGTCTTCATATTTTTTCATCGATGTTTTTGCTTAATTTGCAATTGTTACATGCACATATTAATGAATATTCCTAATTAATCCATTTTTGAACAGTTTTCAAGTACCGAAGTGTAATTGAAATCAATTCAAAAATATCAGTTCCTAATATCAGTCAATAATAGGACGAAGATACTAATAATGATTAATATTAATCAATTCGCGTGAAAATACACGAAAAAAATGATATATTTCGAACTAATTTTTTAAAATAAACATAAAACTCAAGATCAATCTAACAGCAATGCTTAATAACTTCTGCATTATCTTCAAGACTAACCGATGATACTGTTTCGACCTCTTCTGGGAGTAAACGCGCCATATGATCAAATAATTCCATAACGTTTTCACCTGTAATAGCGGATGTATAAAAGAATTGGCATCCGTGAGCTTTGCACCATGTTTCAATTTCTTCTTGAGTTACTTCTTCAGCCTCATTTCGACGATCACATTTATTGGCTGCAACAGCAATAATTGGAACACTTCTTGCATAACTTAATAAATCTTTATACATAGGTTCTAATTTTTCGAATGATTGGAAGTTTGTAATATCGAAAACTAAAATTGCCCCATTTGCGCCTTTGAAATATTCAGAATTTAAGGATTGATATTGTTCCATGCCAGCTGTATCCCAAATATCCATCTGTCTTATTGGAAATTCTCTTGTTTCAAAGTGAGAAAATAAAGCTGCAGTCGTTGGCCGTGTGGAATCTGTCTTCGTGCCATTAATAGCATAATGAACTAGTGTTGTCTTACCTACGGAAGTTGTTCCAATCATTACACAACGTGGGTTTCGTGTTTTCATTGTTTTTTTATTTCTGAAAAGATAAAATTCATAAAAGCAGGGTCTTCTTTATTCTCAAATTTTGAGAGTATGTTACCACCATCAATTTTATCATGGATAAAAGCTGCTTCAGATCCTTTGGATTTATAAAATGAATGTTGTACATTTATATCTATTATTTCATTCCAAATCTTAGCTTTTCGATTATAATTCAATTTCCCTAAGTGTTCATCACGTATTTCAGGAATATTTTTATAAATACGAGGTATAACCTCACACATGTAACTCATTGCTGTTTATTATCCTGTTCAGTATTATAGATATAAACACGATAACTTATATATATCATAAACATTATAACTTATACTTCACATTACATTTATCTGCAACATAGTGAAACAAGATAAATATCTTATTAAGTTTGTCATATAAAAATAAAAAGACAAAATTGAATAATATAACATGATTTTATAGATTGGTTTTGAGTGATTTTCTGATAGGGGATAAACAAAGAGAGGCGCTTGGAACGAATGTTCCCTCATATTTAGACCAAAACAGATTCAGAAACTCAGATATTTGATGGTTTGATGACGAATAATCATTGAGAACTGTTAATGCATCTGCAATGTGTTGAGGAACTGTTCCGAATAAAGGAGTTCCACTGACAATGCACATCAGTCCATTGAGGCCAGAAACAGAGTCTTCTTGAGCCATTTTTGTGAAAACTCCAACAAAAATATCGGCATTCTCTTGAAGGGAATAAAATCTTTCAAAAGCAATTGTTAACAATCTCTGTGCGGAACCAGTGATTTCTGGTGCACTCATCATCATTGAAGGGACGATGAAGTCCAATATAATGTCGCTAACATGTTCATCAACATAAAAAGCAGCGTTTTCAAACAAAGTTTCGATGATTTCTAATTCTGAAATCAAAATGAGCCACTTTTCATCAACTTGTTGGAAGTTGAAAGAAAATGACTGGTCAATATTAAATGACAAGGATTTGAACACATTTGTCAAGTTTTCTATAATCTCATCATCTGTTTTCTCGTCTAAAATCATTCCGAAAATTTGATTTATATTCGAAATAACAATTTTTGTTATTGAAATTGTTGATAAACTCTGTTCATTAAATAATGATGACAAATAGACAGAGAAATTAAGAGGAAAAGTATTAAATACTTGGTTGTATATCGATTCTGGATCAAGAAAACTTAATTCTGCTAAAATTTGTGGTGATTTTGCTGTTGAAATAATGAAATTCTTGAACTTTTCATCATTACAAGCAAAAGGCAAATTAAAAATGAGGATATCATCATCAACATCAATTGACTGGATGTAGTTCGTCAGGAATTCGTATCTCTTTGGATCCTTTGATGAGACAAGTGATGAAGGAATGAATAAAAGTTCGGGTTTTGATTGAATGAAATTAAACAATTTTGGTAGGTTTTGTTCATCTTTTGTATAATGATATGTTGTAATAAAAGCGGAAATTGATTCATTAACGAAAGAAACAACATCATATGACTTAGAGTCAAGCAAATGCTCATCAATTTCAAATACAAATTCAGTAAACTTAGAATTGAAATATCTCATCATTGTAGAGAAAATTTTGAAGTTTTGAAGTGAAAAGATATTTTCTTCATCTGAAACAATCAGTTCCAAACAATGATTCATATTATCTAAAAATTCATTCATTGTTTGACTGATTTTAAGTCTTTCTTCGATATCATCGTCGAAGTACTGTTTGAGAAATTCTTCGGAGTTCTTTTCTTCACCTGACATTTTAACCGAAACTTTCTTCCTTTCACTTAATCTTTTATCGTTAAATTCATAGTTTTCTGGTGCTGATCTTGGAATTAAGTACTCTGTTGCTTTGGAAATGATTTCATTTGATGTTTGTCTGATTGATTTGTCTTCATTTGACAAATTTTCAATAACAAATTTGAACAATTTTTGAGTTAAAACTGGATGCTTTCCATCAACTAAAGAATTAATGCAAGAAATAACAAAAGATGTCGTATCTGGATTATTTTTCTCAATACTTATGTCTATGATCTTTCCGACAAGTCCTTTTCTTTGGTCAATGATTTCATTTGAATCATATGTTTGTGAATAAAAATCAATGGAATCCAAATATGAAATTAAATGATCTCTAACATCCTTGAAATCGTTGTCTGACTGGCAAACATATTGAATTAAATTATCTAAGATGCCAAATTGTGTATTGATGTCACAATTATTAATGAAAACAGACAAAATACGATAAAATTGATTATCATTGTTTTCCTTGAATTTTTCAACAAATTTTGAAAATTGACTTTGAATTGTTATATCAATTTGTGCTGCGCAGTTTAATAATTGCAGAACAGAATCAACAACATTCTGTTTCAATGCATTGATAGGAATTTCAAGAATGTAATTGTATATCATCTCTGAAATTTGAGTTGATACTTTTTTGTGGATGTTTTGATAATTTATAATTTCCAACTTCGCTTTTTCATAATTATTTGGCTGGTAATAATTCTTCTTCTTGCATTCAAACAAAACTGTGAAACATTCAATGATTCTTGATAAAACAGCGGAGTGAAGTGTCAAAATTGGCAAATTCATCAAATAATTCAAAATTTCAATTGTTAAATCATCATCCAAATCAAAGGAGAGTAAGATCTTCAAATTGTACAGTATACTGACTTGGTACTGATAATCTTTTCCATTGAAATTCTGCTTGATTGTCTTCAGAACAGTTTCATGGATCAATTTAATTTTTTCTTTGTCATTTGAAGGTTTGTTTATTTGCGGCTTTTTCATCATAGGCATATAATGAGGGAAGTAAACGCAAATATTAGAAAGTGTCTGCTTGACAATAGATGCTCCAATATTTCTAATACTTAGATCAGTATTGCAAATTGATGACTTGATCATTGTAATGATTTTATCATCTAGATATAATCCGCTGTTTTTGAGGAGCCGATGAATGATGAAATAATTCACTTTTTGTTCATCATTGAAGCAAAAATCGATGAAAGTTGTGATTGGAAATGCATCTACGAATGGACCAATGTTTTCACATAATATCTGGTCCATATTCTCCCTGAAAACTTCTAATAATGACCAAATCATTTCAGCATCAGCATTTGAAAAGACGTTTATTAACGTCTGTCTCATATTTGATTTAATTTCTTTATCCAAAATAGAAACTTGAGAAATCTCAATTGATTTCGTGAAAACAGAGTTAATCCAATCAGTTAATGATTCATCCATTGGAAATACAGACGTAAACTTGGCATATAACTGATAAATAAATCCTGTCAACTCTTCTTCAACACTGCTTATTTCATCAACTAAAGAAAGAACTGCCAAATAATAATCTTCGGTTTCAACATTGAATTTTGCAACGACATCATTGATTTCAATTAGCGCATTAGCAATATTATCTTTGTACTTGATATCCTCTATTGTTTCAAGTATCGAAGCAACAACATTTTGCGGTGAAAATTCTGCCAAAATTGACAATTTTTTTGATGCAAAATTTTCAGTAAATAATCCATGTAAGAAACAGGGCAAAACAATTTGAACAAATGACTTTTGTGTTTCTTCATCATCAATATTTTGCTTGAAGTTGTATATCAAACTGTCCATGAATTCATTATCGTATTCCAAATCAATTATTTTCATCAGCTTTTGCAAATGAGATAAAACAATTTGTTTGGAGTTTGTCTTTAAAAGGTATACAAACAATAGAGCAAATCGTGTCTTATTGCTTTCTGATGATGCAAATATATCTATCTCTGATTGAAAAGTTAAATCTTTGCTTGAATTCGAGACAAATTTATTGAATAATTTGATAATGTGATCATTTTCGAATTTCTGTTCTGGATGAACTTTTAGATATCTAATGAAGAAGTCTAAACTGATCTTGTCAATCGATTTATTGTTGATCATTAAATAATATTCGAATATTTTCATGAATAGATTATCTGATGTAGATGGAGGTAGAAATGTACAGAAAAGACAATATATAATGGGAAATTGTGGATTTTTGAGGTCAAAATTGCTTCCCCATAATTGTTCCATTTCATTTGCAGAATCTTCTATAAAATAATTACTGCAAAGTAAAATAACATCTATGAAATCATCAATGAATGACTCTTGATACGTTTTAGAAAATAATTTTGAATGTGTGAGAAATGCTTGATAAAATGTTTCATATAGTTTCTTCCAAGGAATAGATATTACAGATGCTTTGGATTTATTCGACAATATTTGTTTTATAGGCGTGAATAAAAGATTTGTACTCGAACAAATTGTATTATCGCATAAACAATTGAAAAGAATGCTAAATATTTTGGAAACATACTCTGTATCTGTAGATTCATGATTAATAATGAATTGCAGTTGATTAAGTTGCTGAATTATATTTAGAATATTACAATTTGAGGGGAGATTTTGGAATTTGTTAAGAATAGATTCTATTACATCATTGTTAATGTTAAGATTCGGCTCTTGTGTGGTCTGAATTTCAACATTACTTTCAGTCATTAAAATTTCAAAAATATTTTTAAACGTGCACTTTTCAGAAGGAACTTAATCATAAATCATCATCTTATTAGCAAAGAGGAAATTCCGGTCAATGATCCCCAATTCAAAGTCTGCAAGGAAATTTGAATATGTCGAATAATAAACCAGCATTTTCTAATAAGAGGCTACCTAAATATAATTTACTTACTCTTAGTCATTACTGACATGATTAAGAATATGATAATTCAAATCAAAAAAGATATTTTAACCAGCTATCTGTTAATATTTATACAAATTTATAGAATGCAAGTATATAATCCACAATAAACAATATCAAAACATATGAATATTCATTGCAAAATTTGATCTTTGGTTTTATATCACTCAAATAAAATAATTCTAATTGAATGACATAGAACACGCCAATTAATTTCAAGTGGGTCAAAGATCACGATCAGAAATTGCTATTCGACACTTTACACTTTACAAAATTTTTTGAGAAGAAATTTTGAGAAGAAAGGCACTTTTTTGAACGTTGTAATGCTCAACAATTGTAAATTTTTTTTTAATTGTATGGGCTGTGGGCATAGCACGAGTAGTGAAGCAAAACAAAGCCCCACAAGCCGTGCTCCAACAACCAAGGCTCCTATCAAACTCTTTTATCTCCCAGGTAATGTTAAAATCACACTCACAAAATTAGTTTCCGCAGGTGTAATGGGCTCAGAAGCAACTACAACAACAACGAGTAATTTCAATTTAAATGCTCGCTTTATTGACATACCAAATCATCGATCCGTTCGCAAGTTTTGGGCTAAAGAAATTACAAACAAAACAGCAGAGTGTGCAATGTGCATTTATTTAGCTGATATTAGAGAAAAACCATCAATGCTACTTAATATCAAAACAGTTAACTGGTTTCTAAAGCAAATTGGCCAAAAAGGTCAGCTTTATCTAGTTATAATTTGTAACAATGAAATACAATTATCCGAATTTAAATCTCATGTAAGTGCCCCAGATCTTGATCTCATTGTTATCAAAGATTCTGATCCCGAAACGGCAATTCAATTTACCGAAGTTGTTACTAGCGAAATCATCAAATTTAATGAAAGAAAGAAGAAATACAACGAAGCATCACCTAGAACTCACTAATCATTTAGTTATTTTATATAGATATTATGTTATATTATATTTTCATGTTTTTCTATTTGTTATAAAGTATTAATATTATTATAGAATCTTTGCATCATTAATATGATCTTTGTATATATTAGATTGCATGCTATTTCTGAATAATCTTCGATTTTGGAAGAATTAAATTTTTATTGACGAACTGATGAGATTCAAATCACATCGAATAGATATTTTAAGATTGCACCATATTTTCATTATGTAAATATGAACAAAAAAATCTACCAAATATGAAATTTTATGTTGATATAAAAAATCGGTAGATCCACAAAAAAGACATAGAAGAGGAATTTAAGTATTGAATTTCTTTGTCGAAATTTCTTTTTTTCGAAATATATTCTGCGCCGTTCATCCCATGCTTTGAAATCATGTTTAAATGGTTGCCTACAAATGTTAGGAGGATCCACATACTTTATTCCTTGCTCAGAACATGCAAAGAATTCCTTTACAGGATTAATTTCATCCAAGCTTTCATCAGAGAAATCAGATCTTATCATTTAGACTTCTAACATTTACCTTCTACATAGATTTCAATCAGAGAGAAGGTAAAAAAGGAAAATTACATATTAAATTTTATTTTTCATATTTATTGAGGAGGACTGTAATTTCAATAATAGCTAACCAAATTTCATTGGGTTCTAAGAATTTCACTTAGAAAAACTATTTCATCTTACTGAAAATATATTTTGCATTCAAATTCAAAGTGATTTATTTAATAAAAATGATGAATGATATACGAAAGACCAATCCAATAATATCGTTTAATAGTAATAATAAAAAAATTATCTCTTTGATTTCTTAATTGAAGATTCACCATTCTTTGGCGCGAAACCAGGTGGATACTTCGGAACACCGGCAGTTGTTGTTCCAGGTGCCTTATTTCTAAGGTGAGGAGGGATGTAAGCAGCGGCCTGTGGCTTAGCGATTACAGGAGCTTTTATGTTTGGCAAAGGAAGAGCCTTTTCGACTCCGACCCACTCTGCCTGGGTGAGCTCTGTTCCCTTCTGCCTGAAGATGATCTGAGACATGTGGTTGATGATCCTGAACTCGTTGTCGACCATCATCTTCGGGTACAAAACGGCGGAAAGAACTAATCGACCACATGGAGACCAACTCCACTCTGAGGTGTATGGGGCTTCTCCTTCGCTGATCTTCTCGCGTGAGGCTAAATCATAGAACATGATGGTGCCGGTGAAGGAGCCAAAACCACCAATGACCGCGATGTTTGGATTTGAGGAATATCTGACGTTGTTCAGGGAGAATTCGCCGATATCGCCGTTGGTATGTAATTTCTCGTAGAATACTTGGACAGCTGGAGGAACATGGCCAGAAATAAGAACAAATTTATCTCCATTTGGAGAATATTCGACTGTATGGATTGGTCCTGATTTCTTTTGGTTGAGATCTTGACGGTTTTGGTCGTTGAGGTAGAATGCGTAGCTTTCACCGTAGAAAGTAGAGTCAGATTCGTTCTTGAGACCAATGGCAACTGCTGATGAGCCATTTGGACTGATCTTGATTGTAAAGGTTTCGCCAATCATGATTGGGCGATAAGCAATATGATTTTCGAAGTTTGGATACTCCAAAATCTTCATTTTCTTTGGATTTTCTCCGTAAACTGCGGCAAAACGAAGTCCTTTGCGAGTAGAGGTAAATGCACATGCATAAAGCTTCTCTAACTCGCATTCTTTTGTGGCAGATGTGCCGTCAGCTTGAGTTTCTGTAAATCTGATACCATTTGTATGAGAAGTAGCAAGAACTTTTTCATCATCGGACCAGAAGATGACAGGAACCTTCTGAGCGTTGTAATTGAAAGAGTTTACGACTTCACCTGTTTCGGTTTTGATAATTAGAACGAGAGGGATCTTTTCTTGATCTGTATTTGCTGTTCTTCGACTCATAATGCAGATATATGTACTCCTTGGGCTGAATTTAACTGAAAGAATGTTTGGAACTGGATGTTCGTGCATCAATTCGATAGATCCTTTATTAATGTCAAAGCGGTATACATTTACAAACTTATCTGGGAATTCTTTCGAATGTACGCCACTTTTTGTGTATAAGCAAACGTATTTATAATCTGGTGAAAATGAAAAATTGTGGCAATTTGGGACAAGCTTAACTGGGTCATCAACAGTAAGCTTAGCATCTTTGTATTGAACTTTTCTGATTTCTATGCCATTAGCGGAACCGCAGCAGACGTACATTTGGTCCAAAGAAAATCTTAAACCGCATTTTTAATTCAATTTAATTTTATGTCCCCATTTTCGGATTTAGATGTATATTAAAAATTTATTTTCTGATAAAAATTAAGCTATTGAATAGTGCCTAATCAGCGCGTCACGTTTCTATATTTTGTGATCTTCTGGCAAAAAAGTTTTTGTTGCTATTTTTAAGTCGCTATCTAAATGAAAATTTACAAATAACACTCAAAAATAAAATGCAATATGTATGAATTTTGAAAAAATTAGGAAAAATTAAAATCAATTTCCTTCAATAATAGAATAATTCATTCATATTTGTTGCTATCAACATAACATAAGAAATAAATATATTGGTTGATAGGTAATCTTCTCAGTCTTGTTAATTGTCCACAAAATCTATTAGATTATTGCTTTTTAGTATTATTAGATTGAATGCTTTATATCTTAGAAATATACTCACTAAATACAATCTATGTGATATATAGTTGGCCCATAATTTATCTTGAAAACCACAAAATCGAGTAATTAATTGAAGTTTTGTCACTTTTTCATCATCTTTTTTGAGTTTTTTTTATCATGAGCAATTTTACTAGATCTGAGAATAAGATTCCTTCAAAAAGACTCGATAACCCAGATTCTGCAGCCAAATATGCTCATGATGATTTAGTTCAGCAGAAAAAACTCAAATTTGATACATTAAAAAATAGTCTCAATTTATTTCGAGATTCAACAGATCCAATTGCCAAGAATAACGTGATACTACAGATTCTAACATATAAAGACGGTGATAGCGATCTGAAAATTTTGTTAGCTAATGATGAGTTTTTTACGTTAATATTTCATACAGCATTTGATGACTTTGGCTCAGAAGAGCTATCAACCAATTCATTTAATCTTTTAATCAGATTCATCCAAAAATTTTCTTGGTCATTTCCTTTTATCATTGGAAAACAATTCCATAGACATGCATATGAGCTATTAAGTCAGGAAGATTGTATGATTAATCATTCTATTCTTTGCAAATTCTTGGCCAACGTTATGGCCATAAATACAGAGCTTCTACATGACCTATTCACTAGCGACTTCTTTTACTATCTATTATCTATCTTGCAAAACCAAAAATTACAGCATTCAAATAAGATTTGGGTTTTAGAAGTTTTGCAAGACATTTTTTCAATAAATTTTTACGATATTAATGATTACATCGATGACATACTCCAATTGGCAACAGAAATCCTGAAAGATAATGAAACAATGCCAAAATACACGATAATTAACTTAGTTTTTGATATTCTAGCAAATTTACTTCGTTCTAACATTTCCCAGGAACAAAAGGCCAAATTGATCAATCCATTTATTTGGAATTTATCATTTGGCTGCTATGATTCCAACAATCCTCAGCTTTGTCCAGCTTCTGTTCGATATCTCATCAATGCCGTATACGAATTCAATGAATATGGTGATATTTTAGTAAATGAATCAAGCCAAGAAGTGTTTAATGTCATTTCTTCGTTACAAAACGCATCAGATCCAGAAATTGCAGCTAATATCATTCTTTTGATCAATAACATCATGGCATCTTCACAGAATTCAATTGACTTCATCTGGAAATCAGAATTTTACAAATTAATTGCAAATTACCTCGAAGATTCGTCATACAAGGTAAAGAAACAGGCAATTATATTTATATGCAGGTTGATGATGCTTGCAACTCCCCAACAAATACCAGATTTGCTTGAAAATGCTCCATTAAACTTAATTTGCGACGATTTCGTCTACGATGAAAATGAAATCGTTGCAAACATTCTTGGAGCTTTGATCAATTTAACTTCTCAAATTGTTGGAGATTCTTCGAATTTTCCTGATATTAAGGACATTTTCGAGGAATACGCGGTTATAGATAGACTAGAAGAGATTATAAGCCAGAAAGAGAAAGAGATAGTTCAAGCAGCAACTTTTCTTTTAGAAACTATCAAAATTATATTATCTCAATAAATTGTTGTTTTTTATTACATGCTATCAACACAAAATTTATTTATTCTTACTAATATGTACAAGGAAATAAATAACATTCATAATAAATCTAATATGAACAAAATAAAATTAAATATTGTTGTAAAAATTAATCTTTAAGTACAAAAACACTATGTATTCATGGGGACTTTGATTTTAGCAGCTTGAAACATAATATATTTCTTTATTGATGTGTATCTAAGTTAAATATTGAATTGTTTTGTTAAAGATGTAGTACAATCGAGATAAACAAGATGATATAATTAGTATAATTCATTTTAATTGCAGTTGCCTTGAAAATCTTAAATTAATATCTTGAATTTAAAGCAGATGATAGGTGAACTGATAGCCACATCTTAGTTTCCGAGCTTTTGCTTGATTTTTACTAAGTGTCAAGTCTAAATTAGTTCGATCTAAGGGGTTTCTCGTAGCAATAAAACGTCTGACAAAAATTTTAATTGAAGGCGTTAAAAAAAAATCGGATGGATGTTACATCCGGTTTTAGGGCATATGATCAAGACAGAACTATATCATATCAAGCTAAAAGACTATACAAAGAGAATTCTATAAATTACAAGAAGTATTACGATGAAAAAATCAGCGAATGGATGCATGATGACAAACTTGAGGGAGCACCTAAGTTTAATAACGAAGACCTAGTTAAAAGCTTATCGAGAATCGCACGGACAATAGATAATACACAACCAACGGATTTAATTATGAATCCTCCTTTAATATTACAGCAATTTCAAAAATATTTACTTAAAAATATTCCTTCTGCATCATATTCAATACTTGTCAATACATTTCCTCCAGCTTTTCCGAAAAATTTAGCATCATCTGAAGCAATCCTCAAATCCATCATTAAAATCATTTGTATAAGTCAAAATCCAGCAAAATCATTATCCTGGTTCATTAACTGCGTTTTTCCTACAGAATGGAAATCAAATGTTCCAGATGCACTGAGAGCTGCTTGCAATGCCAAGACAAATGACAAATCAATTGCCTGGGCATCTCTTTCAAGTCAGAAAAAGCTTTGTGTTTCCTCCAGTTTCAACAATTCGCCATTCCGAATTTTCATCAGATTGACAGCAGCCAAAGCAAAGAAAGTAGGGCCAAGATTGATATTCTACGGCGAAGATGGAACCGAGATCTGCAAGTTCATGCCAATTAACGAAAAGATTATCCCTTATTGGGTGAAATCTTTCGACAAAAAACCAGTTCAATTTTTCACGTTTTTGAATGACATTGTTTTTCCTGTTGCTCCCGAAGTCACAAACACTTTGTACAAGATGCTGACTACAAGAGACATGTTCTACACTAGAGCTTTGTTGCAGCCTGATTTGGTTGGAGTTTTAGACAGAAAAGACATCTTTAGAAGTTTGTTGAACATTGCACAACATTCAGGAAAGATTGTTTTGCTCATCAACACGTTTTTGTCGACTGTTTTCTCCCAGCCACAGTCAACAATTGACCACTTATGCTCTTCTGAGTCTCTTCTCCATGATTTTTACTATGTTTACTTCGAAAAGTTTTCTTACAAATTCTTTTTGAATTTTGCAGACAAAATCGTTCGATATATCAACGAAAAGAGCATTCCAAAAGTTCAAAACACAGAAGAAGGAATCAAATACGTGGAAACTGTTGTTTTCACATGCATTAAATACATCATGGATTCAGGAAGTTTTATTCCGTTAGAAATAAGAATTTTGGCATTTTTTGTCAAAAATTACTGTGAAGCAAAGTTCAACAAACAGATTGGAACATTCAGAGTTTTGTCTGATATGTTCTCTACACAGTTGTTATGTCCATTTATTGCTAATCCTGCTTTGGTATTCCCGAATTATACTTACCAGCAAAAAAGTTTTCCTATTTTGATTACAAATATTTTGAATTGTATTTTAACTCTTTCTGAAGTCGAAAAGATGTATCCACAGTACGGTAGATTCGACCAGAGAGTTCTTAAGAAATACATGAAGAAGATTTTTGATTTCACGCTTGATTTAGCAAACACACAAATCGATGACTTCAAAAACGAGGAAGAAGAAAAAGCAGAGATAAATTTGTTGAATGAACAAATTGAAGAAGATCCAAAAGTAAAGGAACAAAAAGAGAAAGAGCAGAAACTATTAGAAGAACAAAACAAATTATTCGGAAAAGCAGAAGACAAAGATGTTGTGGAATCAGTTGAATCAATAATGAAATGGATTTCTTCAAATAATCAACAATTCATGAAATCCATTGATGATTTGAGAGATAAAAGGAAATTGTCTGCTTCTTCTGCTGGTTGGGCAATTGCAACTCATGTTTCGAAGTATTTTGCGGATATACAACCAGACATGAGCCAAATTGATGCTCCTCCAACAACAGTCTTTTCGACTTCAACTGCAACAATTCAGGAGAATGAAGATGAAGATGAAAAATCGAAAACTTCAACAATATCAAAAACTGGTTCATCAACTTCCGAAGATTTCATGTCAACTGATTCCGAATTCACATGGACATATGATTCTAGAGTCACTCATGATGCAGGAAACACTGTTTTTGACGACGATTTGGAGCCCGAAACAACTTTCGACGCTTTGGAAATTGCAATTAAACTTAACATGTTGGATAAAGAGACAGAAGAAAAACTCATTGCAAGAAGAAAGAAAGGAATAAAGAACGGTGAAGAAGAAGAGTCAATAGAGAGTTTGCAATCAATGCCAACATCGGTTGCACCAGAAGAAGAGGAAGAAGAACAAAAAGAAAAGAAAGTTGAAGAGGAAGAAACAGCTGAAGAAGAAAAAATTGAAGCAAGAGAAATTGATATACAAGAAAATTCTCCACCACAAACAAAATCAAATTCTTTTGAGTCAACAAAGGTTTATTCGCAAACAACATTCAACACAGGTTATACATGTGAAACATTGGATGAATATTCTTACTCAATCACAGCAACAACAGACATGACAGGAGAAGTCGAAGAAACAATAGAACAAACAGACAGACACAAAAGAAGACATCATTCTAAACAAAAGAATGGAACTTACACATTCACTAGCACAACAAACGATCCGGAATCCGAATCTACAATGAAGAGCGAGAATGAAAAACCATATACTCCTAGAACTAAAACCTCATCATCAATTAAAGAAAGAGATCTAAAAGAAATTTCTGGAGAAAAAGATGAAAAAGTTGCAAATGAAGAAGAGAAAAAGAAGAAACATAAAATCAGGAGATCTAAGAAGAAACAGATGCAACAACTTGCAGCTAATAAATCCCGTCAGTTTCCAATTGTTGAGTCGTTCACAATTCTTGCCCCTGACCAAGATGGCGTTTCCAAAGTTATTGTTTAAATAAAAAAATTATTTCATTGTTATTTAAATTTAAAGATAAATAAAGAAAAAAACATGTTGAATTTGAAAATATAAAAATAATACATTTATACATAAATCGATTGCATGGTTTCCATTGTTACATGAATTGCATTTGAGAAGATTATTGCCTTGAAAAACCAAAAATCTGATTAGGAAAGAATATGTTAATTGAACATAATTGCAAATTTTAATCAGAGTATTGCATGCCAATACTATGATTTCAAATTAATCGAAAAATGATGAATCAAACTCTTGTGACGAATCATAACATGGAAAGTGTTCATCGTATGATGGCGTTTCAAAAAATTAATAAGAAATTATTGTTGTTAGAGTTCAAGTAAGTGAAGGATCTATCCTTGATGATGCTCAAGATCAGAACCAAGAATATTGACTGAGTGTTTTTCATAGAAGACGTTCAGTCATAATTCAGCTAATTCGATACAATTTGGTGGAACAATATGCTTAACATAATTACAAATGCACTAAAAAGAATTAGAGCAAATGACAATGTTAAAACCAAAGATTTGCGTTTCTGAGCAAATATCTGAAAGCTGTTCCAAATTCGAAGAGAATTAATTTCATTTTGTTTGGAAGATTTATGATTATCTTCATGCAATAAATGCATCCCTTGAAACTTTTGAATTTTATTTGGGGATTTTTGAATTTCTATTAATCCTTCTTGATTCACATCTTCAAAATATGGTAAATTGACATCCGAATTGGATTTCTCGTCAAATTCAGGTGTATTTGGAATTGAATCATGTGAGTTAATACTAGATGAATCGTTAATTTCTGGAGCCAAATTAGCACCTTTTGGTATTGTCATTTGATTTTCTTTTTCACAAGTCATTGTGGAAACGTCTTTTTGAATTTCAATCGAATCATTAGTAACACTTTCCTGATGTTGTGTAATTACAGATGAAGAGTCATTTACTAGATTAGATTGTTGTTCAAAATTAGGATCTTCTTCAAACGTATCGTAGTCAATAGGATTTTTGAAACAGAAGATGTTATTAGAATCGAAGTTTTCTTCATCAGATGATTCATCCATACAAAGAGTCTGTAACAAGTGATGAAATGATATTTTGAAATCATTTGCTGATGAGTAATATGGACAAAATGAATCAAATGGATGGAATTCCAAGAATTCGTGTAAGGAATATAATTTCATGAATGTTTTCAGTAAATTTATTGGAAATGATTGTTGATTAGATTTCATGTAACTAAAGAAAAGGTCACTGAATTTGTCACTCATTTCTTTATATGAGTTAATCAAATCGACAATTGTCGACATATCTTTTGTTTTAATTGATTTAATAGTTGCTGTTTTAAAGTTTAAATGCGAATCCATATCACTAAAAACAAAATCTGAAACTTTGATGTTTTCGTTTTCTTTAGATCTAGGTTTAATGTAATTTAGATTTAAAGAAATTGGAAAATTGTTTTCAGAAATTTTCAAAATCCCTTCAACTCTTTTTGGTTTGGATGTTATATCAACAGATATTATAATTTTGTCATCAATAAGTTCAGTTCTAAAGAAATCAGAATCAGATTCAACATATACATCAAGATACTGAAAGAAACCTTCAATTGCCACAAAAATTTCTAAAATACCAAAGTTGACGTTGACATTATTAAAATAAATCTGAGAGAAATTTGATACTAGACCAGTATCAAGCACTGTTATTTTCGGAGTAAATTTAGTTTGTAATCTGAAGCAGAAGTTTCCTTTCCGAGGTCGTCTAGTTTTCGGATAATTAATCATATTCACATTGTTCAGTCTATCTTGGACAGTATATAAAATTGTTTGGGCAATGTTGATATCTTTGACATTTCAATGTATTTCTCAATAACTCGAATAGTTTCAGGATATGAGGAATCAAAAACAATTGTATCAATGAAATTCTGAAAGTTTTGTGAGAAGGACTCCACTGATCCCTCAGATATTTTAGCCAATAAATTCAAAAATTGGCAATAATTCAACCCAAAAATTATTTGTGTTTCTATAGTTTCTTTTTTGACTAAATGCTCAAGTTTGCTGTGTAATTCACAAAACATTTCGAAGGTGCAATCAGTAAATGTTTGATTTCTTTTCAGAACCTTCACATCTGCCCAAGTAATATTTGAATCATCGCACTTATATAAAGATTGACCAATTGAATTGCAAACAACTAATAAGTGTGGACTATTACAATATGAATATGTATATACTCTATCAGTTTTGCTGTTTCTAACAGTTAAATATCTTTTTTCTTTGAATAAGAAATGGAATTCATCAACATCCTCAGTAGAAAAATCTATGTTCATCTGACTGTAAGACAAAATCATATCGAAAAACTTGATTTTATCAAATAGAAAATCATCATTATTTGAGATGGATTTAATCATCAAAATTGGCACGTTTTTAATAATTTTGTGGAAACAATTAGAATATTTTTCAAGAGTATCCTTAATTTTTTTCTTCTTTAATTTTTCAAATTCTGCTTTGAGTGTATTAATAACTTCCTTTTTGATACATAATATCATTTTTGAAATATTTTTCCTTTTTGATTCAATCATTATACAGAATTCAGATGATTCATCCTGCGTTTCATTGATAATAGAATTCAAAATGAATTTGTAGAGTTCTTTTAATGGATTTGTAAAGAAAATATTGTTGTTTTCTTCAATACATTTCAATGTATATGCAATAATATGTTCTTGGTATCGGAACAAATGGTTTTCTTCACAAAATGTGAAAACAGATAAAAATGAATTTTCAATAAGTTTCCACTTATTTTTGTCAACAAATAAAAGTTTTTCGAACAAATTAAATCTTTCTTTTGTCATTTTTTCTGGAAGATCATCATTAAAATCGTTAATAAATGAGATCTTTGTTTTGTGGATTTTCTCTTTGGATTCAATTTCTTTTTGAAGATTGAAATAAAACTCAGAAAGATTACTTTGATTTTCGATTTTCAATTTCTGCTCTTCGTTTCTTTCTTTGAAGTAATTGGAGAATATTTTCATATTGCATTCGAAAGAATTTGAGTTTTGGAGTAATCTCAATATTATAATTCCAACAGTCACATTGTGCCCACTTGGAAGATGAATATCTAATCCTGAATTTTCATTAATAATGTGATTAAAATCTTGAATATAAAGTTCTTCTACTTTTGAATCTATCAAATCACAAAATTCTTTCAATTGTGTTAAATCTTCTACAATTTTATTTGCATCAACCATCTTCGTAATATCATTAATGAAACCTGAAATTGATTGATATTTTGATGGTTGGTAATTCCAAATTCCATTAATTTCCTTCAAGAATGGAAATATCTTCTGGCAATAATTAAAGAAATATAAGAAATTTGAAACTGGAATTATAATGGTTAAATCATTTTCATAATTTTGAATCAACATATTAAGAATATCAATGCTCTTTTCATTAAGAGATTTGAATGGAAGTGAAAGATTGTTGATAGATCTGATCAAGTTGTTAGTGTTGAAAAATTCGGGATGTAAAACAAATGTGTCAAAAAATTCTTCTGAAATTTCATTCTCATATGAATCAAGAACTTTTGAATTTCCTGTTTTAAGAAATTCTTTTGTCATTTCAATTTCTCGTTTGTCTTCCTTTTGCAAACTCTTGTAGATATTGACAAAATCATATGTTCTCAGAGAGTAAATGAATTTGACTTTCTCTGAATATTTAACTAAATCAAGAACCCATGAAATGTCTAAATCACTTTCAACTGGTTTAATTTCAACTATTCCGGGTTTAATTCTTTCTTTCAATTCTTCTTGCTCTGAAACATTCATTATTAATTTAAGTGTGTTTACCGACATCTTATCTAAATTAATAAGTTTTTTATCAATAAAGAATTTAATTACTTGATAATTATTGACTTTATTTTGATCTGTCCTATGACCATTGTTGAAAGATATTCTGGCTTATTAATAACCTTTGAAATTACTTTCGATTGAAATGATATGTAATTCTTTGCTATTTTCCAATATTTTGAGAAATTAAATGATCTCAGTATTTCGAAGTTTATAGGTTCAGATGGATTAATCGTATGCAAATTGTAAATCTCAATTATTCGATAAAATCGTGAAAATGATTCACATTGATCTTCTTGTTCATTCAAGATTTGCTTAAAAATTAGATAATCATGATCATCAGTTGTATTTCCATTTTCCGTGAGAATATCAATCAATACATCTTTTTTCAGACAATTTTCAGACAATTTCTTAATAATAAAATTTTGTGTGTCTTCTTTCATTTTAAGTGGGCCTTTAATGCATTTATATGTGGAAACATACAAAGAAATCAAATAATTCAACTTATTTCCAGAATTTTTTTCTTGTGGGATATTGAAAATATTTCTGAATGATTGATTTGGTTTAAAATCCTTAATGATATGATATATTGGTTTGAATAAATCATAGAAATTATAAGGTTTTTCGTAAATTGTGTTATTAAACATGCATTTTGATTGATCTAAGAGTTTGATTGCATCTTTGCTATATTTAGGATCCATTACAGGATAAATAATGTTAATTTCCAAGGGATATTGATTTAAGATTTCCTGGCAAAAATTGAACTCTTCAATCCCCAACTCGGTAAATGGATCCTTAAATGAAATTTCATTACATTGCTGAATTTGATATTCATCATACAAATATGTAATTGCCTTTTCAAATAATATTTCATCCAAAATATGAAATTTCCTTGAAAAAATCTTTTTCATAAAGATTCTTTCATCGATTGAAATCTGTTTCGAAATTAAATAAATTGACTCAATGTTAAACTTCTTAGATTCATTAATCAAATAATAAAAATAGGAAAACTGTATTCTTTTTCTTTGTATTTCAAGATATGGCATGAACTTCTGGTCAGAAGTTGAATTATTCTTTTCCAAATATTCTAGTAAATTAATTGTTTTGGCCATATAAATTTCCGATTTATTTTTCTCCAAGAATTCTTCGATGATCTTAATTGTCATTCTTTTGTCGTTGACATACTCTTTAAGAAAAGCAATTGATTCCTTCCATAGTTTGGATGCATGCAAAGTGCTTAATTGTTCAAATGATTTTGTTAATATATTGTTATTCAACTCATTTTTTAAATAATTGAAATCCTTAGATAAAAATTCTTCATAGTTAAGTCCGAAAATGTTACTACGTTCAGATTCTCTGATTTCTTTAGCAACCAGATGCATATCAATAGTTTGTGATCTTTTCACTACTTTCAATAAAACTGTCATCGCATCATGGAAAATCTCATAATTCTGTTTGTCATTTTTTTCATATAATGATATCCAATAATTAATAAATGGCTGTATACAGTAGAATAATCCATAATCATTCTTTACAACACTCTTCAAACTGCTAATGAAAAACTTTCCACATTCTGAATCTATTTTAAAATTTAATGCCCAAGTAAATAATTTGACCATGTAATCAATATTCTCATTAGATAATTCTCGCTCAGTTTCTGCATATTTGGTTAAATTGTAAAGAATGTAAAAACAGTAACCATTTGATGTGTGAAAATTCATAAATCCTGAGCTATTATAGGGTGTCCAAAGGTGTGTTTAGCACAAACCTGAATACTGCGAATAGAAATAAACAAGTTACATATATATAAAGTTTATTTAAATATAATCACCATTGGATTCAATCACGCGTTCGCAGCGATCGATCCAGGCTTGAAAGACACGCTTTAAATCATCATGAGAAAATTGCTCAAATTGCTCTCTTACAAAATTTTCAAGATCATCTGGACTCGCGAATTCGCGTCCTTCAGCTCTCTTTTTTAGCGTGCCGAATAAATAAAAGTCAGAGGGTGCAATATCAGGTGAATAAATTGGGTTTGGAACAACTTTGACATTGTTTTCCACCAAGTAATTCATTACCTTATGACTTTTGTGAACTCTTGAATTATCAAAATGAATTGCAAACTTTTGTTTTTGTTGTTTGGATTTCTCAAACTCATCAGAATTGATAATTTGAGTAAGAACATTGTCAATTAGATACTGAGCATTCATCGTATTAGGTTTTTGAAGAATATCAATTGCGATGATGCCATTCACGCCCCAAAAAACCGACAACATCATCATTGGTGTGTTAATTTTTTTCTTCGGGAATGTTTGCGGATTTTCATCCTTCGGGATCCACATGATTTTGGCTTCTGTTGCATATTGAAACCAAGACTCGTCCCCTGTTACTAAAAAGCGAAACTTCTTGGATTGATACGCACCCAATATAGAGAGGAGCTCTTTCGAAGATTGGACTCTAGATTTTTTTTGAACTGAATTAAGGTTGTGCGGAACCCAACGTGTATACGCTAGTTTGTAGTTTAAATAATTGTGCAGATAATAACTGACTGTTGTACGTGGTATCTTTGTCATCTCCTCTATCCTTCTGAGTGATGCTCTTGGGTCTTCATCTAGCGCTTGAAGAATTGCTTTGATTTTTCTTTGATCCGGCGATTTTTTGTCAATTTTTATGATGGGCGCCTTTTTGTTCATGAAGTGATACATCCTAACATGATACGTTACAGTGGAATAGCTAGGAGCATCCATACCGAAGCATTTTACCAATGTCTCGTAGATTTTTTTACAGTCTTTGCATTTTTTTGCAAGAGCGAGGATGTTTTCTTTATGATTCATTAAAAAAATGAAAAAAATCCCGCCAAAATTTCCCGCGAAACCGCCTCTTGTCTCAAAATTCATTTTATATCCCGGCATGGCGCCAAAATACAACATACTCATCATATACATATATTCATATTTTTTATTATATATTTATAATCAGCATATATCTCCTTTAATAGTCTCATATAGAGCGCTGTGCTAAACGCACCTTTGGACACCCTATATTATAGACCTGTATTATAATTTTATATAACTCAATATTAGATTGCCAATGATCATAAAAAATACGAGTATTAGGCAGTTTCGTGATTTCAAATTCAAAACAAAGATTTTTGATTCTCAAAAGATTTTCTTGTGGAAGATTTTGATAAGACTTTTGTATCATTTCGAAATAATCAGCAAATGAAATTGATGAACTTGAAATTTCCAATGGCTCAAGCCCAAAAATTTCTTTGGAATATTCATTAACTAAATTGATATCAACTCCTTCGAATATAATCGGAAAATCAATGGAAAATAATCTTAGAATGTAGTATATTTGGTCACAAATACAGTACTTATTGTAACATGTATTGTGTGGATTTCCATCATAAATTTTCATCCAAACTCTCCAACTCAAAAGTTCAGGGGAAGATGAATATGATAAATAGAGTGATCTTTTAGCATCTGATTTGATGATTGAAAGATCTGATTTGTTGTTATTCATTATAATGTTTGGATCAAATTCAATTTTTTTTGATAATTTGTAAAATGCAATGTAATAATATTTATCATGTTTGGCAATTTCATTCAATAAATATATAATGTATGAGTAATTTATTTGAGGAATTATGAATTCAGATGAATATCTGTTGGTTTCTTCAAATGCAGAATCATATTGATTTAATTCATCCATCATCCTTATTGCACTATTTAAAAAGCGTGCCATCTTATTAAGGTTATGATATTTATCGCAGAAATCTTTTGATTTAAATATGTTGATTAGAATATTTTGAGAAGTAAATTTACTAATTAGATTAAATTCGAGATAAAACTTAAGAATTTTGAAGCCCTTACCCTTTCCATTAACATATTCCACGATTTTGTCATAAATTATTTCTGATGGCATATTTTTTGAAATAGTACTTGGAGTTTCATTCATGAAAAAAAAATGTCATTGAAATTCAGAACATTATCATGTTTTCGCAAGATTTAACTCTAATATAATTCACTAATCTATTATTACCTTCAAAAATCACCAGGACCTGCAAAAAGATGTTGTAAAAACAGATACTTTTTTTTCAATTGTGAAGAAAGTGATTTTGATCTTAACACATCAAGATTCATCTAATACAGATGCAATTATTTAACATGAGTGCTGTTATAGGTTGAATCCAAATCTATGGATTTGAATTGGAGTGTCAACCTGTAGCTATTTCTGATGTTTGGCTGAGGAAAAAAATCTATAATAAAATAACAATTTATAAATCACAATTTTGGCTTCTGCTGAGATGTGTCATTGAGCATGGTGAAATGTTGAGAAGTTTGTTGTTGTGGTTCGTTTTCTATGTACGGAGGATAGAAAAAGCTTCCATTTGACATTAAAATTTCATTAATTGGATTAATTCCAAATTGTTGATAAAATTGAAATGCAGATTGTTGAATATATGAGAGCTGAATTTGCAGCGATCGATATTGCTGTTGAATCTGCTGATATTGAATAATAGCTTGTGGATTGTTTTGGATGTGAGGAGGAATCATTCTCTGAAATTGAGGAGGAATCTGAGATTGAATTTGGTGCTGCATTCGCTCCTGAAAATTCTGCATCTGCATATGCGCATTGAGATAGTTTTGAATATTATTAAAATCTTGTGACTTCATTTGATCCTGGTTTTGAGAAATTTGATTGAAAACTCTTTCATTTTGATATTGCTTTTCTTCGACTTTAGTTTCAATTTCAATTTGGTTAGTTGTTTTGATTTTTTCTTCAGGTAAATAATTGGCTTGATTCTCCTGAACAAAACTTTCTTCAGAAAAATAAGTTTGACTAACATTTTCTTGATAAGGATTAGTTATTTCAGTAATCACTTCTTCAGTAATAGCTTCAACTTTTGATGATTTGCGTTCCGAAGTAATATTCATTTGGTTTGATCTTTCTTTTTCAATAACTATTTTATCAGTATAATGTTCATCCTTTTGTTCAGCAATATCTTGTTGCAATGTTTCAGTTTCTTTAGCTCCAATTTCATTTATTATAGTTATTTTTCGTTTGATATTAGGATCATCAACAACTAAACCACTTGGAGACTTGTAACAAAAGATGTTGTAAAACTCAAAATCTTTTTCTTCCGAAGAAGTATCAATTCCAAGATTTCGAAGTAAATGACAAAATGAAGTTTCAAATTCTTCAGATGAAGAATAAAATGGACAAAAATTGTCGATTAAACTTGATTCAAAGAATTCATGTAATGAATACATAATAGAAAATGTTCTCAACAAATTAATAGGAAAATGAGGCTGATATGATTTCAAGTAACTGAAGAATAGAGCACTGAATTTATCACTCATATTTTTATATGATTCAATCAATTCAACAATTCTTGCCATTTTATTTGTGTTAATTGGTTCAATATCTGCTGTTCTAAAATCTAAATCTGATTGTATTTTATTAAATACAAAATTAGGGCCGTTTATGCTTGAATTCCATTTATTAAATTTGAAATTCAGACATATTGGAATATGGAGATCCAAAATTTTCAAAATTCCTTCAATTTTATTTTGTTTGGATGATAAATCAACTGTTAAAATGATCTTATCTTCAACAACTTCTGATTTAATATTAGCAGATGATTCAACAAAGACATCTAAAAACTGAAAAGATCCTTCAATCAAGATGTAAATTTCTAAAATTTCGAAATTAACATTGTGATTGCAAAAGTAAATTTGAGAGAAATTTGGTTTGATTCCATCACTTGTTACAATGATTTTTGGTGTAAATTTTGTTTGCAAATTGAAAAAGATATTCCTATTATTATAATAATTTATGTTTGGTATTTCAATTTCTTTAATTTTGCTTAGTTTTTCTAAAACGAGCTTTTCTAAGTCTTTATTTGTGTCATTATCTTTAATTTCTTTTGATATGTCAATAAATTTCTTGATAATGCCGAATGTATTCGGGTAAGTTGAATCTAATTTTATTGAATTCATATGATTTTGGAAGTTAAATGAGAAATTTTCTTTTTTGATCTTTGAAATCGTTCCTAAAAACTCAGTAAAGTCGTTGAAATTAAGTCCAAAAATAGTTTGAGATTCAATATTCTCTTTTCGCACCAAATCTTCAAGTTCTTGATACAAATTACAGAAAAATTCAAAGTTGTAATCTTCAAAGTTTTGACGAATTTTTGGAATTCGAACTGTTGTCCATGCTGGATTTGAGTTTTCGAATTTGTAATTGGATTTGGAACTGTTGCCGAGTGTTAATAAATGAGGACTTTGTGATTGAGAATAACAATATGATTTGTCTGTTTTAATGTTTTTGACATACAAAGGTCCTTTATCTTGGAAAACAAAATCGTATTCAACAAATTCTTTGTATTCAGAAAGATCCAAATTCAGTTGATTGTATGACAAAATCATGTTGTAGAACTTAACTTTATCAAATGAATAATCAACACTTTCGAATTTTGGCTTTACCATCAAAAGAGGAACATTTTTAACAATTTTTGGAAAATAACTAGAATATATTTTAAATTTTTCTTTGATTTCTGAACTTTTTGATGAAGCAAAATCAGATTTGGCTGCATTAATAACTTCAGATTTCATGTTTGATTGGATTAGTGAGATTTTATCTTCATTTTCTTTGTTAAATTTATAGATGTCTGAGAATTCATTTTGTTTTTCATTTGAAACTTGATTCAAAATGAATTTGTAGAGTTCTTTTAATGGATTTGTAAAGAAAATATTGTTGTTTTCTTCAATACATTTCAATGTATATGCAATAATATGTTCTTGGTATCGGAACAAATGGTTTTCTTCACAAAATGTGAAAACAGCTAAAAATGAATTTTCAATAAGTTTCCACTTATTTTTGTCAACAAATAAAAGTTTTTCGAACAAATAAAATCTTTCTTTCGTCATTTTTTCTGGAAGATCATCATTAAAATCGTTAATAAATGAGATCTTTGTTTTGTGGATTTTCTCTTTGGATTCAATTTCTTTTTGAAGATTGAAATAAAACTCAGAAAGATTACTTTGTTTTTCGATTTTCAATTTCTGCTCTTCGTTTCTTTCTTTGAAGTAATTGGAGAATATTTTCATATTACATTCAAATGCATTTGAATTTTGAAGTAATCTTAAAATGAGTGAACCAACTGTTAACTTTTCTTCATTCAAATCAGAAATGAACTTATCTGAAACATCTGTGACATTTTGTGAAATTTCAAGATTCATAAGTGTTTTCATTTGATACTTACCTTCAGTTTTAATGTATTTGATATCATCAATGTAAAGTTCTTCTTCTTGTGATTCAAATGAGTTGCAAAATGCTTGTAATTTCGGTAAGTCTGTTGGAATTTTCTTTTTGTGAACCATCTTGTTGATGTCTTTGATGAATCCGGAAAATGATTGGTATTTTGGTGGTTTGTAGTTCCAAAAGCCATCAATTTCTTTAACAAATGGAAAAATTTCTTCACAATGTTTGAAGAAATAAAAGAAATTAGAATATGGAAAACTGATCTCTAAGTCACTCCGGTATTCTTCAATAAGTTGATTGAGAACACAAATGCTATTTTCATTAAGAGTTTTGAATGGAAGTGAAAGATTGTTGATAGATTTGATCAAGTTGTTAGTGTTGAAAAATTCGGGATGTGAAACAAATGTGTCAAAAAATTCTTCTGAAATTTCATTTTCATATGAATCAAGAACTTTCGAATTTCCTGTTTTAAGAAATTCTTTAATCATTTCAATTTCTCGTTTGTCTTCCTTTTGCAAACTCTTGTAGATATTGACAAAATCATATGTTCTCAGAGAATAAATGAATTTGACTTTCTCTGAATATTTAACTAAATCAAGAATCCATGAAATGTCTAAATCACTTTCAACAGGATTTATTTCAACTTTTCCAATTTGAATATATTCTTTGACTTCTTCTTGTTCTGAAACATTCATCAGCATTTTTAGTACACTAGAGGATATATCATCTAATATAATAAATTCATTTTCGATGAAATACTTTATTATTTCGAAATTAATCCCTTTCTTTTCAATTTTCTCTTTAATTATATATGTTAAATAATCTAGTTGATTGATGACCTTTGAATACACTCGTGATTGCAATGATTTGTAACAATTTGCGACATTTTCGTATTTAGAGAAATCAAATGATAATAAAATTTTGGCGTTTTCAAGTTCATATGGATCATACATGTTATTATTCATTCCAATAATTTTATAAAAGTTCGAAAACGTTTCAAGTTGGTAGTCTTGATTATTTAAAATCTGAACACAAATAGAATATTCGCTATCATTTCCTTTTCTATCATTTCCCATCAATACATCAGATAGTAAATCAGATTTAAAACAATTTTCATTAAGCTTTTCAAGGATAAATTTTCTTGTTTCTTCCCTCATTTTCTCTGGTCTTTTGACGCATTCATAGCTAGCTACAAAAGGAAAAATAAACATTCCAATATTGGACCAATAAAATCCAGTACTTTTTAAAGCAAAAACCGTTTCAAAGTTTTGATTACATGAACAAGCTGAAAACTTTTTGTTGTAAGCAAGATTAAAAGTTTCCATACAACAATTGTAGAATCTATAGTTTGAAAAATTAAATGGATGCTCATAGTTTGATAATTGAATCTTGTATGCCGATTTTGAGAACATATCCAATAAATTTTTCTTATATTTAGAACTGATAGATGGAAAAATCATTAAAATATCCAAAGAATATTGAGATATAATTTCCTGACAAAAATCGAATTCACCAATACCTGGTTTATAATGAGAATAGGGAACTCTCCAACTACAATTATAATTGATTTCATCAAGTAAAAATTTCGATGTTTGTTCAAAATCGATTGAATCAAAAATGTAAAATTTTCTTGATAAAATTCTTTTCATGAAATATTTTTCATCAATAGAGATTTCGTTGGAAAGTAAATATATTGCTTCAAGTTTAAACTTTTGTGCTTCAGAAACTAAATATTTAAAATAAGAAAATTTGATTAAGTTACGTCCGACTTGAATATATTTTTGATTATTTTGGTCTGTAGGAGCTGTTGGCTTTTCAAAATAATCTAGAATATTAATCTTTTTTGGCTGGGCAATCTCTGATCTATTTTTCTCGATAAAAGATCTTAGAGTTCCAATTGTCATTCTTTTGTCATTTAAATACTCCTTAATAAAGTTGATTGATCGCATCCAAAGATCAGAAGAATGCAAATGAGCCAATTCTTCAAAAATATCATTTTTCATCTTTTCATTACATTGATTGAATTCGTTTGACAATTGTTTCATTATTTCCATGTTTTTTGGCAAGAGTTTATCATAACAGAGTCCGAAAATTATATTTTTCTCTTTATCTCTGATATCTTCAGCAATTTCTTTGAGTGATGTATTTGATCGAGCCATAATTTTAAGTAAAACTGTCATTACATTTTGAAAAGTTCTAAAATATTGCTGATTGTATTCTTGATAAAAATACAACCATACTTCAAAGAATTTATATAATATTTTTGTTTCCTCCTGCTTATTACCAATAACATGATTCAATATTATATCATTAAAATCATTAAAAGAATTCTGATATGTATAGCATGAACCAGACTTGGCAAATTCCATTATGAAACGAAAATAATCATCATGGTCTTGGCAGCATTGTGCAGCAATTGATTCAAAACAATAGCAAAGATTGAAAATCAGATGAGATATATGAATATTCTGACTAAGAGAGCTTAAAAACATTGGATATTCCTTGAACAATTGCAAGATCATATTAGAAATTAGATTTTTTTGCTCATTCAACATTTGAAAATAGCACTTTCCATCTTTTGTTATTTCAAACTCAAAACAAAGATCTTCTATCATTTTGAGTTTTTCATGTGATAATTGAGGGTTGTTTTGCTGAATCATATAATAGTAATCAGGAAAATTTACATTTTCATCATATAATTCAAGTTTTTCAACTCCAAAAATCTCTTTAGAAAATTCATTTACCAGTGTAATATCTACTTCTTCAAATATAATTGGCGTCATATATGAATATTTCTCTGCAATGTAATAAGCAAAATCGAACACGCTGTAAGTATGAAAAGTAAGTTTGTTTCCATCAGCTTCCAAACGTCTAATCCAATTTCTCCAACTCAAAAGTTCTGGAGTTGAACAATAAGCCGAATACAATTCTCGTTTAGCATCTGATTTTATGCTATCATATGCTTGTTTATCGAACTTTAGGATATATTTTTGATCAAATTCTATCACTTTTGAGAGTTCATAAAAGGCAATATAATAATAATTATCATGTTTGTTGATTTCATTTAATAAATATACAATATATGAGTATTTTAATTGGGGCTCAATAAACCCAAATGAATGTTTTCCAGTTTCTGAAAATGTTGGTACATAATCTTTTGCAAATTCTTTATTACTTAATGGATTTTGGGGTAATTTAACTCTGTTTAATGAATCTTGATAAATATTTGAGCGTTCTTTTAATTTGAAAATGCTATTAAGGATTTCCGAATTGGAATTTATGCCAATTATGCCAGAATTAATATAATATTGAAGAATTTCGTAATTTCTATTTCTTTGGCTAACACACTCCATAACTTTTTCATAAATTTCCGATGAACTCATTTCATTTGAATATCGGTTTTGCTGCTTCATTCAAAAAAAAAAAAACTTCACTAACTCAGACAACAAGTATGAATAATATTCAATTTCCATATGTTTGACATCTTAATTTGTTACTTCTTTATTATGCTAGCATAAATATAAAAATGAGATGTATTTATGTATATAAACAAACAATTTTTAATAACTTTTACTAATTCAGATTTTCGGTTGTTGTTGCTGGGAAGGATACTCCTGTTTATGGTTTACTATGTTTGGAGGATAGAAAAAGCCTCCATTTGGCATTAAAATGTCATTGATTGGATTAACACCATACATTTGAGAGAATTGAAAAGCAAATTGTTGGACAGAAGAGAGCTGCATTTGCAATGATTGATACTGATTTTGTATCTGCTGGTACTGAAGAATTGCTTGTGGATTATTTTGGATTTGAGGGGGGATCATTCTCTGGTATTGAGGAAGCATCTGATTTTGTTGCATGAAATAATTTTGCATATTATTAAATTCTTGCTGCATCTGATTCAGTTGCGGAGTTCCTTGATAGGAAACATTTTCAGTTTGCAGCTGTTTGATATTTCTTCTTTCTTCTTCAGGTTCAATTCGGTTTGTATTATTGTTATCAATACTTCTTTCAGAAGGATTGTTCGATTGATATTGTTGTGTAGAACTTTGATTAGAAGTCTGCTGTTGGGAATTATTTTCTTGAATAGAATTTGCCGATTGGAAATCAATTTTTGATGCTGGTGCTTCTATATTTGATGCTTTGTCTTTTAGAGAAGTTTCTCCTGAATTAATGTTTTCGTCAGGTTCTGTTTTCGTTTGGAAAGCAACTACTTCACTACTCTGCTCCATTTGAGATTCTTGCTCATCATTCAATGAAATTGAAACGATTTCTTCTTCTTTATTTGTAGATTCAAAACCTTTATCATTAGTTGTTTTACGTTTGATATTAGGATCATCAACAATAGAATTGTCATATAATTTTTTGTAACAAAAAATGTTGTAGAAGTCAAAGTTTTCTTCTTCTGATGAGATATCGATGCCGAGAATTCGAAGTAACTTGGAAAATGATGCTTCAAATTCTTTAGCTGAAAAATAATAAGGACAGAATTCATCAAATGAATGCGTTTCAAAGAATTGATGTAGTGAATACATGCTTGAAAATATTCTCGATAAATTTATTGGAAATGATTTTTGATATGACTTCAAATAACCGAAGAAAAGTTCACTGAATTTGTCACTCATTGATTTGTAAGAATCGATTAAATAAACGATTTTAATCATTTCATCAGTATTTATCGATTCAAGTGAAGCATTTCTGAAATCTAAATCTGATTTCATGTCATTGAAAACAAAATTAGGACCATTTAGCCGATATGAATCGTACCCAAAACATAGCATAATTGGAATATTGACGTCAGCAATTTTCAAAATTCCTTTAATCAATTGTGGTTTTGATGTTGAGAAATTAACTGTTAAAATGATCTTATCTTCAATAACTTCTGATTTGATAATAGCAAATGATTTCACCGAGACATCCAAAAACTGGAAAGAACCTTCAATCAAGATGATAATTTCTAAATATTCGAAATTAACATTGAAATTGTAAAAGTAAATTTGAGAGAAATTCGGTTTGATGCCATCATCTGTGATAACAATTTTCGGTGTAAATTTTGTTTGGAGTCTGAGACGACAGTTTGTTTTATTCTGGTTATTTATTCGAGGAATTTCTATTTCCTTAATTTTACTGAGTTTTTCATTCAGAAGATTTGTCAAATTCTCATTGGCTTTGATTTCTTTGATTTCCTTTGTCATTTCAATGTATTTTGTGATTACACGAACAGTATTCGGGTAAGATGAATCTAATTTTATTGAATTCATATGATTTTGGAAGTTAAATGAGAAATTTTCTTTTTTGATCTTTGAAATCGTTCCTAAAAACTCAGTAAAGTCGTTGAAATTAAGTCCAAAAATAGTTTGAGATTCAATATTCTCTTTTCGCACCAAATCTTCGAGCTCTTGATACAAATTACAGAAAAATTCAAAGTTGTAATCTTCAAAGTTTTGACGAATTTTTGGAATTCGAACTGTTGTCCATGCTGGATTTGAGTTTTCGAATTTGTAATTGGATTTGGAACTGTTGCCGAGTGTTAATAAATGAGGACTTTGTGATTGAGAATAACAATATGATTTGTCTGTTTTAATGTTTTTGACATACAAAGGTCCTTTATCTTGGAAAACAAAATCGTATTCAACAAATTCTTTGTATTCAGAAAGATCCAAATTCAGTTGATTGTATGACAAAATCATGTTGTAGAACTTAACTTTATCAAATGAATAATCAACACTTTCGAATTTTGGCTTTACCATCAAAAGAGGAATATTCTTGACAATTTTGTAGAAACAATCAGAAAAAACTTCCAACTTCTCTTTGATTTGTTTCTTCCTTGTTGAAGTAAATTCGGCTTTCAATGCATTCAAAACGTCAACTTTCATGTTTGACTTTATTCGAGCTAAGATTCGTGAATTTTCTTTTTTAAGTGGAGATATTTCTGAAAATTCATTTTCTTTCTCATTGATTATAGAATTCAAAATGAATTTGTAGAGTTCTTTTAATGGATTTGTAAAGAAAATATTGTTGTTTTCTTCAATACATTTCAATGTATATGCAATAATATGTTCTTGGTATCGGAACAAATGGTTTTCTTCACAAAATGTGAAAACAGATAAAAATGAATTTTCAATAAGTTTCCACTTATTTTTGTCAACAAATAAAAGTTTTTCGAACAAATTAAATCTTTCTTTTGTCATTTTTTCTGGAAGATCATCATTAAAATCATTAATAAATGAGATCTTTGTTTTGTGGATTTTCTCTTTGGATTCAATTTCTTTTTGAAGATTGAAATAAAACTCAGAAAGATTACTTTGTTTTTCGATTTTCAATTTCTGCTCTTCGTTTCTTTCTTTGAAGGAATTGGAGAATATTTTCATATTACATTCAAATGCATTTGAATTTTGAAGTAATCTTAAAATGAGTGAACCAACTGTTAACTTTTCTTCATTCAAATCAGAAATGAACTTATCTGAAACATCTGTGACATTTTGTGAAATTTCAAGATTCATAAGTGTTTTCATTTGATACTTACCTTCAGTTTTAATGTATTTGATATCATCAATGTAAAGTTCTTCTTCTTGTGATTCAAATGAGTTGCAAAATGCTTGTAATTTCGGTAAGTCTGTTGGAATTTTCTTTTCAATTTTGTCTCTAACTTTCGATGCCAAGTAACCAGGCTGACTTATTACTTTGGAAATCACTTGTGATTGGAAAGATTTGTATTTGTTTGCGGCACTTCCATATTTCGAGAAATCAAATGACTTCAAAAGTTCAAAATTATTTTGCTGATAAGGATCAATCATTTGGTCAAACATTTCCATGATTTTATAAAATTTTGAAAATGTTTCTTTTTGGTTTTCTTGAACATTCAAAATTATGATTTGTTTGCAAATTGCATAATCCGGATTAGTCGGAGCAGATTCATTTCCCGTGAGAACATCAATCAACAAATCACGTTTAAAAGGAACATTCAAATAGTTCAAAATGAAATTTCGCGTTTCTTCTTTTATATAATCTGGGGATTTGAGACATTCGTAAGTGGAAACATACAAAGAAATCATATGCTTCAGCAAGACTCCTTTAGGATTTTCTTCGGAAATATCAAATATTTTCCTGAAATATTGATTCGGGATAAAACCAGACTGAGCAAACCCTTGAAACATTGAGTCAACTTCATTTGCCTCGTAATAAAAGAAGAATAAGTAATTCGAATAATCAAAGATGTCTTCGTAATTAGATCCTTGTAACAAGTATCTTGATCTTGAAAAGAGTTTGAATGATCCCATGTCATACTTTACATCAAAAAATGGATAAACAATGTGAAAATCCAAAGGATACTTCGAAACAACTTCCTGGCAAAACTTAAATTCATTCTTTCCTAGAGGATACAACAAACCAGGAAGTTGAATTCTAACATCGGCCAAAAAGTTTTCAGGAACAGACAGATACTGAGTAGACATTTGAAAAACAAAAACATCCAGAATGTAAAATTTTCTTGATAAAATTCTTTTCATGAAATATTTTTCGTCAATCGAAATCTTTTTCGAAACAAGATAAATTGCTTCAAGATTGAAATTGCTTGCTTCATAGAGTAAATAATAAACATAAGAGTACTCAATTTTATTCCTTTGAATGTTAATATACTTCTTGTATGTAGGATCAGATCTGTATTCATTCATTTTTAAATAATCAAGCAAATTGATGTTTTTTGGTTGGGAGATTTCATTTTTGCTTTTCTCCAAAAAAGTTCTTAAGTTTCCAATTGTCATTCTTTTGTCATTGTAATAAGTCTTGAGAAACTCAATAGAATTCGCCCACAACTCTGAAGAATGTAATCGACTTAATTTGTTGAATACTTTTAACTTTACTTGCTCATTCAATTGATTGTATTCATAAGCAAGTTGTTTCATAAATTTAATGTTTTCAGGTAAAAGATTTAAATAATCAAAACCAAAAATTTTTGCCTTTTCTGATTCTCTGATTTCTTCTGCATAACCTTTTATCGTATAATGGTTGACTCTTGCCAATATTTTGATCAGAGTAACCATTGATTCATCAACAGCATCAAAATATTCTTTATGCTGTCTGTAGATATATATCCAAACTCCAAAAAGAGGAGATAAATAATCAGGTTCCTTTGATATTAAATTCATTAAATCGTAAATTATGTGGTCACAAAACAAAGAAAAAGCAACACTGATTGTGTATTTCGATCTTTTTTCTGAAATTGACTCAATTGATTCATATAAATCGTATTCATCAGGAGAACATCTGCCAACATATTTAACAAGTTCTAAACAATAGCAAAGATTGAAAATAATGTGTGCCAAATTGAAATCGTTGCTTTCAAGACAACTGATGAATTTCTGATCTGATTTGAAATATTCACGAGTAAGTTGAGACAAAGCATTTGGTTCTTTATGAAGTTTTAGGAAGCTGATTTTCGGATTCTTCGTGATTTCGAACTCAAACAAAAGATTTTTTAAGTTGTTGATCTTTTCTTGGGATAATTTTGGATTGTTTGAAACATTTGCTTCATAGTATTGTGGAAAAGATGACTTTCCTGGTAAAAAATTATATTTTTTAAGTCCAAACAATTCGTCGCCAAGAGAATAAATTAATTTGACATCAACTTCTTCGAAAACAATTGGAATTTCATAGGAATATGTCGCTGCTAAGTAATAGACAAAATCGAAAATGCTGTAAGTATGAAAAGTCATTCAATTTTGATCTGCTTGGAATATTCTCATCCAATACCTCCAACTTAGGAGTTCTGGTGATGATTTGTAAGATAAATAAAGTTCGCGTTTGGCATCTCTTTTAATAATGTTGTAGGCTTGGGAATTTACGAAGTTTAAAATGTATTTTGGATCGAATTTTATGTGTTTTGAAAGTTCATAAAATGCAATATAATAAAATTCATCGTGTTTGTGGATTTCATTGAGTAAATATACTATGTATGAATATTTTATTTGTGGTTCAATGAATCCAAACGAATGATTTTCAATTTCTTCATAAGTTGGCTCATAATCATTTGTATTTTGAGTTTTTGTGGAAAGATTTTCGGGTAATTTTACTGTTTTTAGTGGAGGATGATATTTATTGACGAGATCTTTTGATTTAAATATTTTATTAAGGATATCAGGAGATGAATTTTTGTTAATAATGCCTAAATTAAGATAGTATTCAAGAATTGTGTAATTGTGGTTCCTTTTACTGACATAATCGGCAATTTTTTCATAAATTTCCACTGATTTCATTTGATTTTCCGAATCAAGTGTTTTACTCATTCATGAAAAATGAAGTACACAAAATGCGCCAATGCGTTAAATATTTTTATTGAGTTACAATTAATTTTTTTATATTTCAATTGCTCGATAAGTTTTATCCTAAAATGCTATCATTAAGAGTGTTTGAAAATAAGTATTTTAATTTAAGTATTATTCTTCTTTGCTTTTTGGATCAAGTAAATCATATACTTCTTTAAATACATAATGATAAGCAACATCTAAAGGAGTCATAGGAAGGCTATGAGAAAAATAATGAATACTGTGAATAAGCATAGAATTCCATATATTGAAAACGAATTGCATGATGGAACATAGAATTATATAAATTAATGTTAAATTGATTGATGAATAAATGAATAACTCTATAAATTTTAAAATGAACCATATAATATTAATAAAGAACTATTGTCTGTTGAATATCAGCTCCTTTTTCAACGAGGAATTTGACAACATATGCTTTTCTGAGTCTTATAGCTGTTGTAAGCGGTGTTGCATCAATACATAATGAATTTCATGATATTTTATTGAACCGAATGACAAACAAAAGAATGCAATGAGTATTTAAAAAAGACAATTAGATGAAAACAATGAATAATATATTCTGTCTCTTCACCACCATAAAATTAAAATTGAATGTCTTTAATTTAAAAGGAATTTCATGAAATAATAATGAATAAACAAGACTTTGCAGTTGATGTTTGCACCATGTGATAAAAGTGCATCAATAACTTCAATGCTTCCATTAATGACAGCCGAGATCATTGGTGTCAAAATAATTAATGTTAAACTCTATGAAAAAAATAAAGAATTATCTTCTTTATATCTGAGAATCTGAGAATATCGCTTGTTGGATATTTTATGATTATTCCAGTATTGACATCAGCTCCTGCCGAAATCAAGAAATTAACAGCATCAACATTGCCGAGTTTACATGCAGAAATTAACGGAGAGAAATGAATATAATAAAGAATTTCATCACATTAAAAAGAATTGCATGAATGTTAAATATGAATTATAGTCATTCCAAAACGTGATAATGAACATTATAATGAGAAAAGTAGAATTTGATAAATTAAAAATGGACTTGATGATGTAAAAATAAACTCCATTATATACAATATTGAATTACATTAATACCTGATATGGAATAACCTTTTTCATGTAAGAACTTAACAATGTCAAAACAATTTTCTTCTGATGCCATGAAAACTAAAAAGTCTACGTTTTCATTTTGTTCAACGCCTTTGTTGATGAAATATGAAATAGCTTCATAGTTTTTCGCAACATATGCATCATATATACTGCAGTTATTTTCGCTATTGTTTTCCAAAAGCCAATCTGCAATTTCGTTATGATTTGAGTGAATTGCAATCTTGAAACAGTTATTGAAATCAACTCCTTTTTGAGAAAGAATTCGAATGATTTCGAGATTTCCTGATGCAACTGCAAACTTTGCAAGGTCATCCAATGGACCATCGAAATTCATAATCAAGTATTTGAAGCAGTTAATGGATCCGAGTCTGCATGCTTCTTTCAAAAATTCAATCTTTATTTCACCGTTTGAATTAATAATATATGAGTTTAAAGCATCAGAATCATCGTTGAATATTATATTTGATATCTTCTGAGATATGAAAACATTGAGATTTGTGAATGATGCGGTTGATGCAAAATCACGATAAGGTTTTACATATTTTTTGCTAATTATTGAAGTAATCTGATTCATTTGGCGTATTATTCTCGGCCTAAATAGAGAAACAACAAATATCAAATTAAAAACAAAATTTGATGAAATAATTTTGGATTCAATTTGTGAAATTAAGAAATTCGAGAATTCTTGAATATTTTCATCTTCTGAATAGTTCCACACTCTTTCGGAAATATCTTTGTACAATTTAAAAACGTCAAACACGACTACATCCTGGATTGAAGTAAGTTGTTCAGATGACATTAAAAATTTTGACGGTTTTTCTCACAATAAAAATTTTATCAAAAATGAAATTCAATTGAAGAAATAGCTAGATAAAATTATCTATATGATTGTGGACATATCGATTATTGGCAAATTTTATAATTTTATTATGAAAAAAAAAATTATAATAATATTACAAACAAATATAAATAAATCATACATTAGGTGGTTGTTGTCGTTGAATGGAATTGGGTTGATAAGTTTCGGTGTTGAAAGGTTGTGCTTGTGGTGAGAAAAAGTTAGGATTTGAATATAAAGTGTTTGGAGGAGATAAATAATGCTGATTGTTGAACGAATGAAAGCTGAATCTGAAGTGATTGATATTGCTGTTGAATCTGTTGATACTGAATAATAGCTTGTGGGTTGTTTTGGATCTGAGGTGGAATCATTCTCTGGAACTGTGGAGGAATCTGAGATTGAGTTTGTTGTTGCATTTGCATCTGAAACATCTGCACTTGCGGATTGAAATAGTTTTGCATATTGTTAAATTCTTGTGGCATCATCTGATTTGAAATACTTCCGACTTGGATATTATTTTGTGAATCAGAATTCTGAATATCATCTTTCTCTAAAATCTCAGAATTGTTTTCTTGTTTGGAATAATCCCCGTGATTAGATTTATCTGAATTTGAAGAAATTGAATTTATGCTTTCTTCAATGGTTTCATTATGGTTAGATGAAAATATTTCTTGAACAGGATATGATTTTGTTTTTCCAGATTCTTGTGGAATAGAAACTTTTCCATCAATAATTTCTGCAATTTCATCTTTGTTTTGATTCAATGGGGTTGAAACAATTTCTTCTTCAATTAAATGCGTTTCTTTGCGTTTAACATTTGGATCATATATAATGGAATAATTGTCATGAGAAGATTTGTAACAAAAAACATTGTAGAAATCAAAGTTTTCTTCTGATGAAGTATCGTCGATACCGAGGTTTCGAAGTGATTGACAAAATGATGTTTCGAACTCTTGTGCTGAAGAATAATATGGACAAAACTTATCGAATGAATGAGTTCCAAAGAAATTATGTAATGAATACATACTAGAAAATGTTCTCTTCAAATTATCTAGAAGTGATTGTTGTTTAAATTTCAGGTATCTGAAAAATAAAGAATCCAATTTGTCACTAATTAATTTATATATGTCAATCAACTCAACAATCTTGGTCATTACATCAGTGTTGATTGATTCGACTGTCGTTCTAAATACCCAAGGAATCACATCCATATTACTGAAAACGAAATGAGGACCATTAATATTAGAACTGTCATAATTAAAACATAACAAAATAGGAATTTTGATATCTGAGATTTTTAAATTTCCTTCGATTTTGTTTGGTTTGGATGATAAATCAAATGTTAAAATGATTTTGTCATCAATAACTTCGGATTTAATAATGTTTGAGTCAGATTCAATAGAGACATCTAAAAACTGGAATGATCCTTCAAGAAAGATGGAGATTTCTAAAATGTCGAAGTTAACATTGAAATTGGAAAAATAAATTTGAGTGAAATTTGGTTTGATTCCTGAATCTGTTACAATAATTTTTGGTGTAAATTTTGTTTGTAGTCTGAAGTGGAAATTTTCTTCATTCTGATCATTTGTACTTGGAAGAACAACTTCATTTACTTTTGATATTTTATCATTAATGAGATTTGTCAATGAATCATTTGTGTTGATTTCTTTGATTTCATTAGATAAATTAATGTATTTATCAAAAACTTGAAATGTTTCTGGATAATGATTTGAATCGATGTTAATAGATTTGATAAGATTTCGGAATCTAATAACAAATAATTCATCATTTATTTCAGATGAATTGTCTAAAAACTCTAATAACTTGTTGAAGTTTTCTCCAAATACTTCGAATGATAAATCTTTTCCATTTGCAAAAGAATTTTCTAAATCTTTAAAAGAATTATAAAAAAGTTCGAAACTGATATCGCCATAAAATTTGTTGAATTTCGGAACTTTGACTTTGGTCCATGTTGGTGTTGAGTTCTCAAACTTGTAGAGTGACTTGTCAACGGTGTTGTTGACAATGACATAAAGATGAGGACTTTGTGTTTGTGAATATCGATGAGATTTGTTTGTTTTGGTGTTTTTAACAATCATTGGCCCTTTCGATTGGAAAACAAAATCGTATTCATCAAATTCTTTGAATTCAGAAAGATCAAGATTCAGCTGATTATATGACAAAAGAATGTTGTAAAACTTAACTTTGTCAAATGAATAATCAATACTTTCAAATTTAGGTTTGACCATCAAAAGAGGAGTATTTTTCACAATTTTGTGGAAATAACTAGAATAAATTTCCAATTTCTCTTTGATTTCTGAATTTCTTGATGATGCAAAATCTGTTTTCACTACATTAAGTACTTCGGATTTCATGTTTGATTTGATATTTGAGATCTTATCTTCATTTTCTTTATGAATTCTGAAGATGTCTGAAAATTCATTTTCTTTCTCATTGATTATAGAATTCAAAATGAATTTGTAGAGTTCTTTTAATGGATTTGTAAAGAAAATATTGTTGTTTTCTTCAATACATTTCAATGTATATGCAATAATATGTTCTTGGTATCGGAACAAATGGTTTTCTTCACAAAATGTGAAAACAGCTAAAAATGAATTTTCAATAAGTTTCCACTTATTTTTGTCAACAAATAAAAGTTTTTCAAACAAATAAAATCTTTCTTTCGTCATCTTTTCTGGAAGTTCATCATTAAAATCATTAATAAATGAGATCTTTGTTTTGTGGATTTTCTCTTTGGATTCAATTTCTTTTTGAAGATTAAAATAAAACTCAGAAAGATTACTTTGTTTTTCGATTTTCGATTTCTGCTCTTCGTTTCTTTCTTTGAAGTAATTGGAGAATATTTCCATATTACATTCAAATGCATTTGAATTTTGAAGTAATCTTAAAATGAGTGAACCAACTGTTAACTTTTCTTCATTCAAATTAGAAATGAACTTATCTGTGTAGTCGGGCTTTTGCCATTTTAATGAAAACGTATCACTGAACTTCGTAATTATTGGTGTTGGATTCACAACTTGCATGTATATCAAAGTTTTCATTTTAGCTTTACCTTCATTTTTAATGTATTTGATATCATCAATGTAAAGTTCTTCTTCTTGTGATTCAAATGAGTTGCAAAATGCTTGTAATTTCGGTAAGTCAGTTGGAATTTTCTTTTTGTGAACCATCTTGTTGATGTCTTTGATGAATCCGGAAAATGATTGGTATTTTGGTGGTTTGTAGTTCCAAAAGCCATCAATTTCTTTAACAAATGGAAAAATTTCTTCACAATGTTTGAAGAAATAAAAGAAATTAGAATATGGAAAACTGACCTCTAAGTCACTCCGGTATTCTTCAATAAGTTGATTGAGAACACAAATGCTATTTTCATTAAGAGTTTTGAATGGAAGTGAAAGATTGTTGATAGATTTGATCAAGTTGTTAGTGTTGAAAAATTCGGGATGTGAAACAAATGTGTCAAAAAATTCTTCTGAAATTTCATTCTCATATGAATCAAGAACTTTCGAATTTCCTGTTTTAAGAAATTCTTTTGTCATTTCAATTTCTCGTTTGTCTTCCGTTTGCATATTCTTGTAGATGTTGAGAAAATCATATGTTCTCAGAGAGTAAATGAATTTGACTTTCTCTAAATATTTAACTAAATCAAGAATCCATGAAATGTCTAAATCACTTTCAACTGGTTTAATGCGACGATCCAAAAGTTTGTCTGAATCAAATACGGACTTTTTCTCTGTTACATTTACAAGTAATTTAAGAATGTCTATTGAAGTGCTCTTCAAATCAACAATTTTTTTATCAAGGAAGTACTTAACTACTTGAAAATTTTTTTTGATGCTCATTGATTATTATATCGTAATAAAATGGCATTCTTAATGCATTTGAATCAACTTGTAACTGGAATTCTTTGTATTTATTTGCCTCATTTCCATATTTTGAGAAATCAAATGAATGCAATATTTCGAAGTTTTCATATTTATAGGGATCAATGCTTTTATCGTTATACATTTCCATGATTCGATAAAATTTCGGGAAAATACGTAATTGAGAATATTGATCGACCAAAGTTTGTTTGATTATGTTATAATCTTGGTCATTTGTTGTGTTTTCATTTCCCAAAAGGATATCAAGCAAAACATCGGATTTAAAAGAGTTTTCATTCAATTTTTTAAGAATAAATTCCCTGGTATCTTATCTCATATTTTGTGGTGGTTTGATGCATTCATAGCAGGCAACATATAAAGAAGCCAAGTACTTCAACTGGTTAAGTGATCGATCATCAATTTTCTCTGGGATATCAAATGCATTTCTGAAACTTTGATTGGTTTTAAAATTATAACCAGAGTTTGGAAGATAAAACTTTCCTGCTGAATATTCTTGATAGTAGAAGAATTTATAATTCGAATAATCCATTGGACCTTTGTGATTTTGTCCATAAACTGCGTAATCAGACGTCTGTATATTTTTCAGCAAGCTTCTTTTATCTTTGTATAATTTATCACTAAAATCAGGATAAATTGAAATAATATCTAGTGGATATGAAGATATAATCTTCTTGCAAAACAAAATATCCTCCCTTGTTGGTTTGTAATCGAATCCTGGAAGTGGAATGTTACTTAAATAATTATCTTCATAGCAAAAGTAATAAATAGAGAATTTGAAAAGAATTGTATCCAAAATGTACATCTTCCTTGAAAATATACTTTTCATTAGAATATTTTCATTAATTCCATTTTGTTTAGAAAGTAAATAAATTGCTTCGAGATTAGAATTATAAGCAGAATTAATTAGATAATATAAATAAGAAAATTCGATTCTGGACCGTTGAACTTGATAATATTTAAGATCATTATAAAAAGGAACATAGTTTGTCAACAAATAATCCTGTAGGTTAATCTTTTTTGGCTGATGAATTTCATCTTTGTTTAAATTGATGAAAAGTTTAAGAGTTGCTGTTGTCATTCTTTTGTCATTTATGTACTTCTTTAAGAATCCAATCGTTTCATTCCATAAATCAGAAGAATGCAAATGACTTAATTCTTCAAAAGCTTCCATTTTCTTTTCATCATTGTACATTTTGCATCTTTTTGCTAATTTTCTCATAACTTTGATACTTGGTGGTAAAAGTTTTTCATAATCAATCGCAAAAACTACTGCTTTCTCTGATTCCCTTAATGCTTCTGGAATAAGCCTAATAGAATCATATCTAGATCTTGACATTGCTTTAAGTAAAGTTATTATTGCATTTTGGGCTGGTTCCAGATATTTATGGTCAACTTTTTCATAGAAATATTTCCAAACTTTAAATAACTTTTTGATATGATCGGATTCTCTTGATTTAGTCCTTGTTATGTATTTCATGAGATAATTATTAAATATTGTCATTGGAAAATCCCTTAAATACCTTGTCCCAATATCTGCTATTTCTTAACAAGATCTAATAAACAATCTTTTTCTGGTGAAGTTCTGATCAGCTCTAAGCAACGACAAAGTTTGTAAATGATATGACATAATGAGAATTTTTTGTTGTTAAGACAATCGCAAAATTTTGTACTCAAAGTGAGCCAAGTAGTGTCATCCAAAAAGTTTTCTTCTTCGTAAAGTTCTCTGAACTCAATATTTGGTTCTTTTGTTATTTCGTAATCGAAACAAAGTTGTCTTATTTGATTTAGTTTTTCTTCAGACAGATCTGGATTTGATTTCTTTATCATATCGAAGTATTCCATGAAAGATAAATTACTATTAGGAGTTATTTTTTCTATTGGATCAACTCCAAAAATTGATTTTGCGAGTATATTGGCAAAATAAACTTCAACTTCTTCAAAAACAATTGGAATTTCGTAGGAATACGTTTCTGCTAAGTGATAAGCAAAATCAAAGACGCTGTATGTATGATAGTCTATCTTGTTTAGAGAATCTTCGAAACAAGTCATCCATAATCTCCAACTTAAAGCTTTCGGATTTGTGGAATAATCTGAATAGAGAAATAGCTTGGCAAATGATTTTAATAGTCTGTTCGTTAGTATATCATATTTGAATATGAGTTTGTTATCAAATTTTAGTACTTTCCCTAGTTCATAAAAAGCTAAATAATAATATTCATCAAGTTTGGCGATTTCATTAAGTAAATAAACGCAATATGAGTATTGAACCTGTGGCTCGATGAATCCATATGAGTGTTTCTTAGTTTCTGAGAATGTCGGTTGATAATCTTTGACATTTTTCATTGAATTGTAGGGATTCTTGGGTAACGAGTTTGGATTTAATGGAGTATGGTATTTGTTAGGGAGATCTTTTGATTTAAATATGTCAGTTAGGATATTTACTTGTGTGTCCTTGTTAATTAAGTTTGAATTAAGATAATATTCAAGGATTTCGTAGTTATTGTTCTTTTGGTTCACATATTCGGTGATTTTTTCATAAATTTCCGCTGAGGTTGTTTGATTTGCGGAAATATTTGTTTCACTCATTCATCAAAATTGATCATTTATGAGATAAAAATATTAAGATAATTTTAAGAAATCTAGTCATTTCTATAAAAAGGCAAAACTTTGATGATTCATGAAAAAATAATAAGTTTTATCCCGATTTGCTTAAAAATATGATTTATAAACTATGTATAGTTGTTTTGTTTATAAATGAAGTCCAGATTTTTTGAGATGTAAAATTGAATGTGAAAGTGAACTTCATCTCAAAAAACTTTTTTCTTCTTCCATGGATACAGCTGAAACTTTTAACATGTTGATTGGGAAACTCAATTCAACAGGATCAATCAAGGCAAAAGCAGAGGTTGTAAATGAAATACGAAGATATTTAGAAGAAAAAGATCGACGAACAAAATTCGAGAATGACAACGGCGATTTACTGAAAAACACTCTAGGAGCAGTCATCAAATTCATCAAAGATGGCTGGATCAAGAGTGGCAAAATTCCAAATAACGTCGAAACAGAATTACCAAGTATTATCAAGACTTTTGCGAAATACTCACTACAACCACGTACAGAAGAAGAAATGCTTTATATTAAAAACGATATTATCGATATTTGTTCAATTATAATTCCCGGAGAAACATCTACAAACATTGTGAGAATTTGGCTTGCAATTATGACCGAACTAATCGATTGCAAGTGGTTCTTCAACATTTTCAAGACCTCACTCGATCAAGATACTCTTTCATTATTATTAGAAACATTTATCAAATGGTTCTTACTAAATGAGACCTACGACAGAATCAAAGAGACACTACAGTTCATCCTCACCTTCCTTACTAACTCTCCTTACATGATTTCCGAAAACACGGCAAAAATAATTTTCGATAGCATGGACAAAGTCCTTTCTATCAACCCAAAGTATCTCGAGACTGTACTCAAGATCCTCGTCATCCTCATACCGAACTTCCATGTAACAATCATTCTAAACAAGAACATCTTTGACAGTCCATTCCAAAAGTCAATAATCGACCTGATAAAGTCAGAATTCACGAACAAGACACATTCCATTTCGATGTTCAAAGTAATGAGAGACTATTTACTCCAATTTTTGACTTTTAATCAGGCAGTTGGTAGAAAACTTCCTCAGGATTACATAGATGACTTTGCGAACCAAGTCTTTACGTTGTGGACAACCAAAATGGTGAGAAACAAATCTTTGTCAGGAGATATCATTCCTTATCTGAAATTTGATATCGAAATTCTGAAAAATTCTTTTTGTTCGTCACATGAAATATCAGAAGCATTTCACATTGCATTCCAGAAATCCCCTGACTGTTCAGACTTCATGCTTCTCTTGGCTTCGATTGCGAAATATTCTCCAGAACTGATAGAAATGAACTATTGGAAGAAAATTTTGAACACAGACATAAATTTGTTCCAGTTCCAAACATCGGCAATGATCAACGCAGACAGAATCAAGATTCCCTTCCTTTTGTTCAACGAAATCATTGACTACATTGATGACACTGATTTGTGGGATTCGAATTTCACTATGATCATCAAGAAAATCAAGAACATTCCGAAAGAAATCGAAGTTGATTATTACGAATTCATCTGTCATTTGCTGAGGAAGCAGAGATTGAGTACGAAATGCGCTCATAACTATCAGGACTTTCTCTGGGAGTCGAAGGAATTGTCACTAAAAGGTTTCACTGAAGAAAGAATTCGTTGTCTGCAAACAATGATTTTCTATTACGGTTTCGCATCAAATGAAAATAGAAAGAATTGTTTCACAAACATCACTTCACTTCTCGGCAGCATCAATAAGGCTTTCAATATTGAGATAATAGAAGATATTGTCAGGTTGATTTGCTCAATTATCCAATCACATGCAAATAAAACAAAGCCTTATATTGCAGAAAAAAGTGACTTTGTTGAAAAAATTGACAAATTGAAGTACCATATTTCTATCGGTTTGGATTGGAAAGATGATGAAATTAAAGATAAAAGTGACAAAAGTGAAGTGCGTTCGGAATCAATTGATGACTTTTTCCCAGTTAAATCACAGCATTATTTTGAGAAATCCAATGAAAGTTCTCAGTTGTTCGTAACTACAGATTCTTTTGATTCAAACAATTATTTTCCAAAAAATGAAGTCGAAGAACCAAAAAGTACCATTCAGTCGGATGATGTAAGTTTGTGCAATTTCATTTGTCAGCCATTGCAGAAGATGTTTGAAACTGCAATAGAGAACTCGAAAATGTCTGATCAAATGGACAATTATTTGTTCCAATTGTTCAGATGCAAATTTGCTCCGAGATTATTCTCAGAATCATCTTTTCTCACTTTCATAAGTTCTGAGTTTAATAATTTCTATTCTCAGGAGAACTTGAATTTCCAAGTGCAAGATTTCTCTACATTTACTTTGTTGTTTTTGGAAATTGCAAAACATTTGGATCCAAACTCTTTTCAACCATTTTTTGAATCAATTTCTGACAAATACATGACATTTTACAAAAAATATTTGGCAAAAACTGAAGAAAAACTGAAATCTATCAAATCTGATTTAGGAGCATTGAGCTGGCAGAAACTGAACAATGCAATAAACAACACAGAACTTCATTCCGATTTCGTTTTGGGATTGAAAGAATTGTCTGAATTCTTATCTCTGGTTTCTTCCCTCGCTCCAGAATTTTCTGATGAAATGATCACTTCACTTTTGCCAATTTATACAACAACACAAAACTTCCCCGTTTTGCACATCTCGATGATTGAGAATTTGTTGCAAATTCCAATGGATCAAAATGCTTTGGAAGAAACTCTTCGAAGTGTTCAAAATGTTTTGAAAGTTGTTTTGAACAAATATTTGGTTCCTATTGAAGAAAGAGAAGAATTTGTCATCAAAGTCTTGGACATCCTCCAAAACACTTTAATGGAAATGAATGAAATGAATGACATCTTCAACGAAATCTCCAAATATCCTTTGACTTACAAAATGAAACTTAGAATTCTGAATTTGGCAAAAGAACATTATTCAGAAGTTCCATCACTTTTTAGGATTTTATGGGGAGAAGGCGAAGAATCCGATCCATTCTTTATATTGTCAACAGAACAGAACTTGAGAATAGACAATATCGAAGCAATTATTTCTGTTTTGTCGAGTGATCAAATTGACGGAAATGAACATGACAAAGTGGCAACATTTGAAAAAGTTTTGTTGCCAAGTTACGAAGGATCAATCAGCAACCCATCTGAATACATGTCCGACGCGTACACAGCGCTTTGTTCTCTCACAAGTATCTGCTCAAAAATACCAGAACTGACTGTGAAATGCATTGTCATTTTAATCCAATTTTTCACTGACAACAATTTGTTGAATTATCCAGACCACGCAATCAAAAACTTTCTTAAACCATTTGGAAACTCTCATGAATTTCTCCAGCAGTTTTTGCCATTGATCATCAAACCATTGTCGAATAAAGACAGCTACGAATGGCAGAACTTCCCTTACAAACTGTTTGATGACAGCAAAAGAGTTGTTTTCGACATAATTTCTCCACTTTTAGTTCCTCTTTGTTTCAGAAATGACAATTTAAGCAAAATTTCTGACATTGTTGGATTATCTGAAGCGGACCTATGTGAAAAATACAAGACATATTTAATTCCTTATTTGTATTTAGTCTCTATTGATTTGGAAGAACCAGAAAACATCAGAAGGTCAATGGAAACTGAATACAAGAGAAGAATTAATTCTGATTTCATTTTGACTTCACCTTTGCCACTTTTAGAGTTATCCAACATCATAAATGACACAAATCTACTCCAAAATTGCTATCAACAGATGAAAATCAGGAATGTTGATCCCAATTTCTTCGATTTCCACAAGTATTTGATCATTTTGTACTCTAAAACATACAATGCAAAACACACAATCATTCAGTCGAATGAACTAAAGATGTTTTCATTGTATTGCAAATTGATTTTGTTAATCCATTCTGACTGTTTTGAGACAGAACCATGGTTATACGTCGACATGTTTGTATTCTCAAGGCATTTGATGGAATTTGCTGCTCCAATGATTGTTGATCAGTTGATAAATGAAATTGCGAAGAATTTCCCAGATCAAAAATACTTGAAATCGGAAAACCAAAGAATTATTTTGCATATAATAGAAGACATTTGTATTTTGGCGCAGAACTCATTCAAACAAAGATTCCCTTATTTGGAGAAACTCATAAAAGAAGAGATACTGGATACGATGATGATTGTTGATCCTTACAAAGATTTACAGATACAAAGAAGAACATTCGGAAATGAATTTTATCGTCTGAGTTCAACAGGAAAAATAAATAAAGAAGGTATAGATTTCATGTTGAAAAATTTGACAGAAAGTAATTTGGATGATAATTCAATTTTCAATAGAACTGTCAAATTTAATTTACTCAAAAAATTCCCAAATCTGACAGAACAGAAAAGAAACGGTTTGTTTACAATTTATCAATTCATTAAGAAAGAGAAATATCCACCAAGTATTTTGCTTTACACAGAGCTCCAACTGAGATGCTACGACATCTATCCAAGTCCTATGATTATCCAGCCAACAACAATCAGTTTGTATGAACAGTATCTTCAGTCATTGAACGAATGCTGCAGAGACAAAGATCCAAAAATATGTTTCGCAGCCTTGGAAGCGATGAGACACTCCAAGTACCAGAAAGGAATAGAGAGCCAGTACAATAAAGACGTGAAACAGAAAACATTTTTGGAAGAATACGTTTTGTTTGAACCGAGTGAAATAAACACGAAAGAAATAGAAATCGATCCGAAAATGCCGTGGTTCTGCAGAATGGTCTTGGAAATGATAAAATACTGCGGAAAAGACATCGTTTTCTACCCAGTAATGGAATTGGCTTCTCTAAGTGAAGATTTCTGTAAAAAAGTGTTTTCGTCAGTTTTTCTATCGGCAACGGTTAATTCAAAAGGAATGTCACGTTTTAGAGAATATATGGACAAACCGAAGCAGTACATTGAAGAGAATCTAGCAATAATGAAAGCGTTGATTGACATGAAGAACTACAATTTCATGGATTTGAACAACATGTCTCTCCAGAATTCGATAAATTGGCTCGGATGCCAAATTGAGTTTTCCAAATTTTCGCAAATTGCTCTGAAACTTGGAGATCCATATTTGAGTTTCTTATTTGCAGAGTTTTCGAGGGAAGCTTCTGATGATTCTTGTCCTGATTCTTATTTCATGGAAATTTTCAAGAAACTAGATGTGAATGAACTGATGTACGACTTGGATTTCGATGTAAGTTCATTGGATCAAATCGCTCAGATACATCAACATGAAAGAAGATTCAATAGATCGTTGGTTTTGTACGATCTAAATAAAAATGATGAAAAATTGTCAGATAACCTTAAACTTTTACATCTTGACAATTTGACAATGCGGAATTCTGGGTATAATTCTGAGAGTTTGTGGAGATTGCAGAACTGGGAAATTCCTTCTGCAACATTAAGAGAAATGAATTTGAAGAATTCTTCAACACAAATCTTCAGAATTATGCAGAGTTTTGCTTCATCCAATATTTATTCCGTCCGATCATCAATTAACGATTATTTCGACAATTTCCATATGAACGAACTTTTAACAGTGTCAGAGAATTTGTCCATTCTGTTGAACACCTCAACAATACAATGGTTTCACGCTTTGTTGATGCCGGAAGAATCAGATATTTGCAGAATTTTTGACAAAAATTATCATAAAATTTATGTCACGTTTTTAGAAAAACTGACAAAATTTTCCAGGATCCAATACAAAGTTACTGAATCCAGCCAGATGTTGAACGGCATTTTCATTGCAAACAAAGGATTCTTGGACTCAAACATTGTCAAATTAAAACTGCCAAATATTGGTTTGACATTTTTCGAAAACGTCATCCAAACTGCATGTGAACTGAAAGAAGTCGAATCAGCCCAGTATTTCGTGAACTTGCTGAGGAGTTCCATGAAGCTGCAACAGCCAACAGATTTCCAGCAAATTGTTGTTCTGAATGTTGATTCTCCATTGAGATCTGTGAATTTGCTGAAGAAGAAAATCAATGTTTTGCAAGTCAGAAGTGAAGACACCATTGTCAAGAACGAGATGAACAAAGAGATGTGCAACAACTTCAACCACAAACTGCAGTTGACATTGGCTTCTTGGCAGGCAAACACACACTTCGAAAGAAACATCGATGTCATCGAAAACTTGAGAGAAGTGATTTACCAAAGCGAAAGATGCCACGAAAGCGAAATCATGGTTGAAGGATACTTCAGACTTGCTACATTTGCCCATAACATTCACAGAGAAAGTTTGCAGTTCTTCAATTCAACTGAGTTTACCGAGCTTCAGAACATCATTGACCAGCTGAAGAAGAACAAAAGGAACTTGGTTAGCACTTCCACTTCGAACTGCAGAGATGTGAAGACAATAGAAAATGATATTTCGATTCACGAAAGTCACTTGGATTCGGAGAAAGAAAAGTTTACGATGTCAATCACGATTTCAATCGAAAACTACTTGAAAACAATGATAATTTCGGACAAGTACAACTTGGAGAGTTTGTATTCCGTCATAAATCTCTGGTTCAATTACTCTTTCGCAAAATTCTGCCACGTAATCAAAGAAATGCCAGAAATCATTGAAGTTTTGGAGAAAAATGTTTTCAAAATCAATCCTCTCAAAATTTTGCCACTTTTCTATCAATTGAGTGCAAGAATTGAACCCCTGAAAATTTCTGACACCCCCTCATCAGATTATTTATCCAAATTCCAGTCATTTTTGCGGCAATTAGTTATTAATGTTTCTAAGTCGAATACATCAGCTACATTTCCAATTTTGCACGCATTGACGCAAAATGACAAAGCATCAAATGACGGAACAATCTCAGGAACTGTTGTTATTCCTCAGAAGAAGATCGAAGCAATCAATGAATTGATAGATAAAATCGTCAGCTTCGGAGATGGAAACATCTCCAAAGTCTGGAATGACATGAAATCTCTGTTGAATTGTTACATAAAACTGGCGACGAATCCAATGGCATATGACAACAAATTCATGTCTAAATCATGTCCAGAATTGTTCAGACTCCCGCAAGAATGTGAGCATTTGTACGTCATAACAGACAACAAATACACAAAGATTGCGCAGTTCGAAGACAAAATGAAACCTCTGGAAGGAATCACGAAACCAGTGAAAATCAAAGTTTTGGGAGCAAACGGAAGAAAATACCATCAGATACTCAAAGGAAGAAATGATGATTTGAGACAAGACGCAGTTATGCAACAATTATTCCAATTGAGCAGCCAAATTTTAGAGAAGAACAAACCTGATTTGAAGATCAGATCATATAAAGTTGTTCCTCTGAATCCAAGTGCAGGAATCATTGAATACGTTGAGAAATCAATTTCTCTCGGAAGTTACTTGACTGCGCCTAACGGAGCTCATTTCAGGTACAAGAGCAATCTGAGCTACGACAAAGTTTACGCTTTATTTCAAAACGCGTCGAGTAATTACCACAAAGCGAACTTCAACAGAAGCATGGAAATATCGAATGAACAGAAGAGAGAAATGCTGATCAACACCTATATACAGATCTGCAAAGATTTCAAACCTTGCATGAGATTCTTCTTCATCGAAAAGTTCAGTAACACCGGAGACTGGTTCAAAGCGAGGATGAACTACTGCAGGCAGACAGCGACGAATTCCATGGTTGGATACGTTTTCGGAATCGGAGATCGACACATGAACAACATATTGATCGATCACTTGACAGGAGACGTGATCCACATCGATCTCGGCATCGCATTCGAGCAGGGAAAGATGCTGAGAGTGAGAGAAATTGTTCCGTTCAGGATGACTCCGGATATCATTGATGGATTCGGACACTGCGGAGGAAGCGGAGTTTTCAGGAATTCTTGCGAAGAAACACTCAGTTTGTTGAGGAAATACTCTGAATATCTGTTGACTGTTTTGGATGTTTTCTTGAGAGATCCTCTTCATAATTGGAATGTTGTGCTAAAACAGAAGAAATCTGATAAAGCAAGAGGTCTCACGATGCCGGAAACTTCTGAACCAAAAACTGCTGAATCTGTAATTATGAGATGCAGATACAAATTGGAAGGAAAAGAAACAGGTGAAACTCTTTCCGTTGAAGGACAAGTCGCTCAGCTTATATCTGAGGCAACAGATCCTTCAAAACTCGCAATGATGTACGCAGGTTGGAAACCATACCTTTAAATATTTTTTTGTTTTATTTCTTTATATAAATTATTAATCTTTATGAATAGAGAATAAGAGTTTTTCATTAGATAGAATGTTTCTGATAAATTTTATGATGAAGTGAAAATTAATTTGATAATTTGAAAACAATTGTAGAAATAAAATTTTCTAACATGAATGCGAACATGTTTCGTATTATAGCAGCAAACATCACAGAGAAGAGTCGGTTGTGCATAAAAAATGGATAAATTCAGAAAATATGCAATAATCTTATCTGGATATATTAAAAACTAGGTTATTTAAACAACTTCCATTTTATATTAATTGTACTTCTTAGAGAAATATAAAATTCGAATTGCAAACGCGTGATAAATCATGTGAAGATTCCCAATCAAAAACTATTCATTACACTTATTCATATTGGTTCTAATAAATCGTAAAATACTTCGTAATACTCATTTGCTTAGATTGTTGTTATGTATCAAAATATATAATCGATAAGGATGAAATTTACAATAAATCGTTTATATTCAGAGAAACCACTGCGAGTAGAGAGTATCTTTTTACGTAAAGACAAGTGGAAAATGTTGAGAAATTTTGGCTGCAGCTTTTGAAATTTTTGAAGAGAAAACATGCATATAAAAAAATCGATTTCGTAATGAAAACAACATCCATAATCAATGGCACGTAAGTATTTGATAAAATATTTACAATGGCAAACCCAAATTTTAGCTAAAAGTGACAGGGGAAAAAAACGTTTAGTATTAAAAAAAAAGACCGATGAGAGCTTCGTTCGAAATATAGAGGGAACTGAGAATGCGCAACCATTCTCAGGGAATATTGGATGCTATTCCCGTTCCCTCTGTATGGAAAATTGAGGTTTTCAAAGGGAGTTAAAATAATATCAAATTTATACTAATTTACTTCAAAATACAAAAGTATTTGACAGCTAAAATTAGTTACTTTAGCAAGCTTATCAATACCCTTTTACGATTATTGTTACTTTTTCGAAATAAAAGTAAAAACAAATTTATACTAATTTACTTCAAAATACAAAAGTATTTGACAGCTAAAATTAGTTACTTTAGCAAGCCTATCAATACCCTTTTACGATTATTGCTACTTTTTCGAAATAAAATAAATTTATTATCAAAAACCTTTTTTCTTAGTAAAAATAAACGAAATTTTTTACCTTATGAACTTTTGATGGAAATATGCAAATTTAAAATAATAAAGAAAGCCGCGAGCAAAGCGATCGGCTTAGTTCGAAGATTTTGATTCAAATCTTTGCTGATCTGTAATTCGCGGAAGCCGCGAGCGAATCGAGCGGCTTAGGTCTAAGATTTTGATTCAAATCTTTGCTTATATTCCTTAAATTCTTTATGAAACTCGCAACAGTTCCATAAAAAATTTTAAATTCTAAACTGTCGAAATTACCGATCGGTAATCACACCCTTCACGGGTGTGTCACTTTTAGCTAAAATTACCCCTACTCGTTCCTGTAAACATAGCACTTTTTCAATTTATTGATAAGTTTTGTCATTTGAATACCGTAATTTCACACAATGAGTACGATAAAATTAACCCTGTTTGCACGATATTATTGAAATTTTTTGATAAAGCACATTGAAATCCAAATTACTTTTTTTGTTTTTATAGTTTTTCAAATGTCGATGCATCAAATTGGTCCGTATCAATTAGTTGAATTTATTGATTCCGGTTCTTTTGCCAATGTCTATAAGTGCATCAACCGAGAGACAAACGAAGTGTTTGCCTGCAAAGTTGTCAGTCTTACAATTAGACAGAACCAAAAACTCCTCGAAAACTTCAAAAACGAGTTATACATTCACTCCAGGATGGCACATCCCGGTATCATCCGCCTTCACGATGTTCAATTAGATGAAAAATACATTTATATCATCCTCGAATACTCATCATACGGTAATTTAGAACAGGTTGTTCAATCAAGCAACGGTATTGATGAGTATGAATCGGCTGTATACTTCAAGCAAGTTATGGACGCTATTAATTATATCCATAAAATGGGTGTTGCCCATCGTGATATAACCCTCAAAAATATTCTTATTGGAGCTGATGGAAGAGCAAAGCTTAGTGACTTCGGTCTTTGCAAGCTCCAACCCGAAAATAGTTACTTAACAACAACATGTGGAACTTTTGTTTACGTTCCCCCTGAAATATTAAATGGCCAACACTACGATGGTATGAAAGCTGATATCTGGTCCGCCGGTATCTGTTTATACGCAATGACTTGCAATCATCTTCCTTGGGTTATTGACGATAAGCTCCCTCCCGAACAGATTTGGGAAGCTGCAAAGAATCAGATTTGCTCAGGAAATATTTCTTTCGATGACAAACAAACTGAATTATTACGAGATCTTATTTCTCAGATGCTCGCAATTGAACCAGAATACCGCCCAGACTGCGATGAAATTTTGGGACATCCCTGGTTCGCGCAACTTGGGTGCGATGATACTCCAGAAGATTATTGTCCAAATCAAAGTTTGATCGAAATTGTTAATCAATTGGTTGAGACCATACTTAATGTTATTTAATATCTAAAGTAATACTAAAATGTATATTAAGAAAATTGTATAACTCTTAAAATTTCATTTCATATGGATTTTTTTTTACTTTCCCGATTCATTGGATATCGCTAGTTTAATATGAAATTTCTGAGCTTTGAAAACCGAAAAATGCCATTAAAATGAAAAGATTTTGTTGATTTTTGGAAAATAAAAATTGGAAATTTATTCATTTACCAAATCCTACAAATTTCTTACTATAGGAGATAATGCTTACTGCCAAAGCATTCATGTGATTTTATTATGAGCCCAAATTAAAAAGTTTTTGAATCTTGTTGAATATGAAATCACCTAAAACTAGTGTCATATCAATGCAAGACAAGGCTCTTAGCTAATGGACAAATCCTTTTTGATATATAAGCCTCAATGGCTTGTCTTGATTTAAATTTTTTTCATTAGCTCAATAAACATTGGATTAAATCCATTGGATTACCTGGATGAAATAGGTATATATAAGAAAAGCACTTTCATAACTAGAACAAAATGAAATAACATTTTCAACGAAAATGTTAACTGATATTCTCAGAAATTGCTTAAAGTTTTAATTATAAGTATACTAAAAGGATACCAAACCTATTAAACCAAAACTTTCAAATTGAAATAATAAAATTATAGAAAATTAATTCGTCTCCATTATGCAGAGTAAAGTAATGAAATAGCAATACTTGGTCATCTCAAAAAAAGCGTGAAATATGTATATAACGGAAAATAAGTTATATCCATTTAGTAATTTGATGACTTATAAAGGTGTTCTGGTTTACATTTGCATAGTATAAGATATTTTCAAGTATTCGAAGCTTGGGATCTGAAATTTGAAAATAAGTGCCTATGCATCTAAAAAAAAAGTAACACTAATGGATATATCTGATAAATGAAATGAATGGCATTTCGCCAAGTAAGTTCGATGGTGAATCTAGTATCCCTACAGAGATTATGCGAGGATTACTTTTTGATATTGTAATATTTCAATCAATTCAGAAAAAGTCAACCAATTCGATTCACATGAGACTATACAATAGTATAATTTTAATTATTGCAATTGTTGTTTTATTGAAAATGTTAGTAGTATATGATGCGGGTTGTGTGACTTTTTTTGTAAACGTAAGAATTCATACAATATTGAACGATTTTGTATCATTTTTTTTAACATATGAAGTAAAAAATGTATGATTCTTACGGTTTTTATTCTTACGTTTTTGAATAAATCAAGATTTAAAAAATTGACTTCTTACGTAAAATTAAAACTAAGTTAAATTTATTTTTTTATTTTTTTATTTAATGATAAATGAGTATAACAACTAATTCATTGAAATCTTTAAAGTTCACTAATTCAGAATTAGAAAATATTTTAGAAAATTTTGGAGACGGTTCTTATCCAACATATATGCAGAATGTGAAAGAGTTTTCCAGATTGTTGAATGAATTTAAATATAACGGACCAATTACTAAAAAGGCTATAATGAGATATTTATATCCCAAAAAAGTTGAAAAACAGGAGAATATTCCTCTTTATGGTCCAGAGGACCTGGGCTCAGAGAGCCTTGAAACACCTCCTGAATATTTTGAAGAAAAAATTAAACAAGATGAATATTATAACGATGAGATTGAGAAATTGGAACAATTAAGAAATGAAATAGATGAAAAAATTAAGGAATTGAGAAATGCTGAGAATGAAGTAGAGGGTTTAATGAATATCCCAGCTTCAGAATCAGAAGTTCAAAAATCACATGAGGAAAGATATAAAAATTACTTTTTGGAATCTAAAAAAATTTATTAGATGGTGATATTGACGAAACACTTTCAGAAGAAGGCACAAAATTTATTCATAAACATAAGTTACAATTTATTGACGATGAGAATCCATGTATATTACTTTCATCCTCTTGAATTCTGAAAAATTCAAAAAAGCACTGAAAAATGTAACATATGCAACAAATACGATTAAGAAAGAAGACCATGATATTTACACAAATTATTATTTAAATAAATGTACAGGTGTTGATAAAGTTTTTGATTTGTTAGATAAAATATCAAAAGAAACAATTGGAACCTATAAAATTTTATGTGATTGTGGTTTCATTATTGAAGATACCAATAATGTTTCATATGAAAGAACAGCACCGAAGGAAGACGAAGTTGAAAGGTCTATACCATTCGTTATTAAGAATATAAAAGATATGAAAACTTATAAACATTATATTTATTCATTTATTTCAGAAAAAATGGAAGCAACCCATAAAACATCTTCTCATCATTTTATAGCTATTCATACATTCCTTTTCAAAGTTGTGAAATTAAATAAGACAGGAATTAGATTTAATGTATCAGGGTACGCATTCTTGAGTAAATTAAAATGTATTCGTCACGTCGCAGATGATAAAAATTTATGTGTTCTTAATTCATTTTATGGACTTTAGCCCTGGACTCTCTGAGTCTCGGACTTTAAAAAAATAAACTTTATTTTTATTTATTTTTTAATTTTTATTCTTACATAAATGAACAAAAATGGAACAGCTAAAATGAATGATAATCAAATAAGAGCCGAAGGTAGAAGGTTATTTAAACGCTTCTATAACATTCCTGATGGTGTTAATCCTAAAACTCGTAGAAGTTATTTAAATGAAGCCATAGATGCATATGAAGGATTTGACATTTCATCAGAAAGTGAGAGGTTAGCAAGAATGTTAAATGTTAATATTGATTTTATTATTGTGACCTCAACCAGAAGACGTAGACATTAACAAGGTAGACTTTCCATTAGTGGAATCAATAATGATAGATCCAGAATTTGAAACAGTAAATATTTTATTAACACAGAGTCCATGTGGAAAACTTCACGCTGACAGAATAACAGACGTTGAAGCACTCACAGGATATAAAGTTTGCCCCTTTTGCAAAGAAGAAGTTATTCTATCCGTGATGATCCAGAAAGGAAAAACCAAAGAAGATTTTTAAAACATTGTGAGAAATGTAAAGAAAATAATGGAAGATTAATTCAAGACGTTCAATTGCAAAACACACAACAACCATATGCACCACATATTACGAAACAGAAGATATATCAATGGCTATTAGCACATAATTTGCAGGAATATTATAAACCAACAAGATATTATATTACTTTTGACTTCGAAACATTAGAGACTAAAGAAGAATTACAACTTTCTGAGTGTGCAACTTTGAAACGCTTACTTAAAACCATTCATGGTATCATCAACGGTTAAATTAAACGATAAAACATATACGAGGAATTTTTGCTTAACTTCGAGTGATTCTTTTATTTCTGATTGGATTGAGTTTTTATTTTCAACCTGTTCATTAGTTGCTAAATCAAATATTGAACAATATGAAGAATTAATGAATACATTAAATGAGAAACAAAAGGAAGCAATGAAAGAGCTTTTAGATGAAGAATTTAATAAAGTGAATATCATTGGTTTTAATTCGGAAAGTTTGATTTAAATTTAATTCTTCGTGATTTAAATACTGCAAAATGGAAGATAAAATCAATGCTGGGTTCTTCTTCTCAATTTAAGCAAGTCATAGTAAAGAAAACAAACTGTCCATATGAATTAAGATTTATTGACATCAGAAATTATATAGCGGGTGGAACATTAGACCAATTCACTCAAGATTTCGGAAACAATAAATCACGTGTTAAATCCTTTTTCCCTTATCAATTCATCACATGGGAGAATTACGAAGATGAATTATATAAAAAGGAACCATTCACTCAAGATTCATTTTATTCAGCATTAACACAAGAAACAATATCCGATTCAGATTATCAAATATATCTCAATGATGCTAAAAATTTAAGAATAGATTAGAATATTTTATTCATTATTGCAATAAAGATGTTGAAATTATGATTGACCCAATTGATAAAATTATCGAAGAAACATTTGTTTATAAAATTGACATGCTTCATAATCTTTCTTTATCATCGAATGCATCAATGATTCGTTACGCGTTAGCATATAAGAACTTCAATCCTAACGAAACATATCCAGAAGAAGAAAATGTGGAATCAAGTTTTGAATTAACAAAAAAGTATTGGAAATATAAAATTGAATCATATAAGAAACAAGATGAAAAAGCAGAAAGGGATACTAAAAACAATGTTTCAATGGATGACTATCAATACTATCACGATTTAATCCTTTCATCTAAATGCAAAATGTGTGGTAAAGCGTTTACATATGCAAATAAACCAACATTGGATAGAATCGATAATGAAAAACCACATACCAAAGAAAATTGTCAGTTAATGTGTTGTTATTGCAATGTCGTAAAATCAAATAAAGATGAAGATGTTCAACGTTTAAGAATCAATTTAAGAAATTATGCATTAAAAAATAATTTACCAATGACTTTAGATTCAGTTGAAGCTTATCACATTCTCCGTAATGGAATTACTGGTGGTCTATCAAATGTTCAACATCGTGTTAATCTTAAAGGAATCACGCACATTAATAAACTTTCATATAATCCAGAAACTAAAACTGTATCAAATGAGGACACCACCAACATTATGACTCATTTCGTTGGAGTTGACTTTAATTCATTATATCCTTCATCATTTTCATCTAATCCTCATGATTTCATTCAATATACTGACCATAAAATGTATATGCCGGGAAGATTGAATGGTGTTATCATTTGTGATACAGCAACAAAGAAAGCAAAAGCACTGGGAATAATTAAGAAGAAAAATACTTTATTCGTGGCTGAAGTAAAGGGTCACATTGATGAAAAATACATTAATGATTACATAAACTTTTTACCGATAATAAGAAACTTAGATATTATCACAGATGAAAAAACAATTGGCAGTTTTATGTATAATTACATGAAATCAAACAATCTACCAGTTGACCAGAAACAGAGAAAATTAACTCAGTTAGCATCAACACACAACCAATATCAACCATTTTCTTCTTATTATCTTTGGTATCTAATAGACAGATTTCATTTTATCATTGATGATATTCAATCAATTTTAACATTTACTAAAAACACTTGTTTTAATGAATTTGCGAACAAATTTATGAACGAAAGACAAAAGGCTGAATTAGAAGGAAATAAAGGAAAAAGTTTATTTTGCAAGATTTCACTTAATGGATCATATGGTTACGATGCAATGAATACACAAAATTACGCAAAGACTAAAATAATGAATGCACAGAAGGCACGCGTTGCATGTATGTCAAATAAGTTTAAAAACATAAGAGAAATAGGTGAAGATACATATCAAGTGATGCTTAAAGATAGATTTTATAGATGTGATACATGTTTACAAGAGGCATTCTTCACTTTAGATAATGCTAAATACTGGTATTTGGTTTTCATTTATGATTTTATGTATAAATGCATGGATGTTAATCGTTTTCATTTCATTGAAGGTGATACTGATTCATCTTATTGGGCAATCGCTGGCGACCAAATCTTCCTAACACTCAAGCATTTCAAGCAATTGTTACCGATAAACAATTTTATGATAAAAACATTTTCAAATTCGCACCTTTTGATTTCTTCTGTTTTGATGAGAAATTTAAACCTAAATTAAAGAATAAAGCTGAAGAAAAAGCACATGAGAAGAAGTTATTGGGTTTAGCAATTGAGAAACAAGGTGATAACATGGTTGCTTTATGTCCTAAGTGTTATACATCATTCAACGGTTCAATTGATGGAAGTGATTTTAAAAAGATTGCACAAAAAATGAAAGGTGTTAGTTTACGACAAAATAAACAATTAACACCTAAAAATTATTTGGATATAATAAATGATAAATTGATATTTGATGGTCAGAATATTAATTTACAACTTAAAAACGGGTCAATGACTCGCTTAACAATTGGTAAGACTGCATTAACAGGAGCACACACTAAGGCTGTATGTTGTGAAAATGGATGTTGTATGCCATTTATTTAATAAAATACCACAGAAGAGACAAAAGGAACCGTTAATGATGGTTTTGATACTATGATTCAAAGAGGTGGGCACCCTTAAAACATTGATTTTATTTTTATATAAATGAATAACACAGATTTAAAAATTTTAATTGATGATTTAGTATTTAATCAAAATTTTCTTAATTATTATGATTTAAAAGCATATCTCCAAAAATATAATAATAATATAACGGGTGATGATATGGAATATTATTATCCATATTATAAAAATGAAATTTTGAAATATCATAATAAAATAATTTCTGAAATTAAAGACAAAATTAAAAATAATGAATATATAAAGGGAAAAACTAAATCACAGCTTAAACAGTTGAAAGATTTCAAAAATAAAGTATTAACAGAAGAAGATATTGATGAATTATATAAATTATATAATCCCGAGCCGCAAAAGCCAAAGGAACAAAAACAAAAGGAACAAAACACCCAGGTCCTTCAGACCATAAATGATGCACAAGCTTTAATTTATGATTCATTAGTTAAACCATATTCAGCCCGACTTTTAAATGAAGATCAACTTTTGGAATTCATCCTTCAACATAAACTCGAAGCGGGAAAGTATATCAAACCTTTATATACAGCATATTTAAAACAAATGAATAAAATACATCCAGAATTAATGAAGGAGGATGAATTCCAAAATCAAAGCAGATAAAATTAAACCACTTACAACACCAAAACCTCCAACAGTAGTACCTCCTCCTTCAGTTAATCCTTCATCATTCACTTTATTATATCCATTTCAAACATTTAAGAAGCAAAAAGATTTTAAAAAGGATTTCAAGATATTAAATAAACCAATTGACCCGAAAATTCAACCATTAAAGGAAAAATTTAGTCGACCTTCATTTGCTCCATATCCATATTCATACGAAATCGATCATCTGGAATATTCAAAAGGAAACGTTACTTATTTATTTGCCATTAACATTAACACTAGATATTTATATTGCATTCCGGTGAAAGGGAAAACAGAACAGGAAACAAGAAGAGCTATTCAATACTTACTAGATCATGAAAGAGTAGATAATATCAGGGGTGATGGTGATAAAGGATTTCAGGCAGCTATGACTCATTATTTCCCACAAATTAATTTTTACTTTTCATCCTCTCCATATACGTTTCATAATAAAATAGTTGATGCGGTAATGAGAACTCTTAGAGATGCGTTAGGGGTTAACGGTCAGATATACTGGGATGGAAATCATGACTCCATCATACAGCAGTTAGTATATTATTACAATAATACATGGCATAGAACTATAAATATGAAACCGGTGGAAATGAAAAATGATATTTCAAAAGAATGGGAATATATTAGAAAGCAAATGGAAAAGTTAAATGATGTTAAACGTGAACAAATTAATTCGGGGCTCATGAATTTTAAACAAGGAAATAAAGTTTTAATTCATCTCGATTATGGAAAAACTGATAAATCAATGACAAAAAGAAGACGAAGATTTGACACAATAGCTGAATTTGTTAGATATATTAACGGCAATGCATTAGTTGAAGTTGACAAGAAATTAATAGAAATTCCGATTTATTTTATTACTCCATTATATTTAAATAATATTTAATTTTTTTTATTTCGTAAGAAATGAGTGACAACAAAGCAGTCAAGAGTCCAGACAATGAATATAAAAAGAAACTAAACAGAATTAAATCAAAAATATGCTATTACAAAAAGAAGTCGCAATGCGGTGGGGTTGAAAACAATAAAACTAATGGAACTGAAAACGATAAAGAGAGGAAAGAAATAATCGAAAAATTAGAAACTTACCGTTCAATCATTAAACTGAGTGAAGCAAAAATAAAAGAATTTAATAGAATAAATAAATTGGTTGGAAGAGATGAATTTAATAAAGATGAATTTTTAAACTCTATCCAAATTTAATTTTTATTCCTCTTCGACAACATCTCTCTTTCCATCATTACTGCATAACCACATTTTCTCAATTTTAGTGGTTTGTTATTTTTAACATGTTCTTGCATCATTTTTATCATTTCCTCCCTTGTTATGATTCGTGGTAAATTTTGAGCTTGTGGGGTATTCATTTATGATAAAAATAAAAATTTAAATTATGCCGTTCTAAAGTTTGTGACAACATGACATTTTGACAACATCATGGGTTATTCAATAATTAATTATTTTTGAAGAACTGAAGGGGTCACCAGGTCACCAGGTCACCAGGTCATTTCACTTCTCTGAAAAAATGTGACAACATGACATTTTGACAACATCATGGGTTATTCAATAATTAATTATTTTTGAAGAACTGAAGGGGTCACCAGGTCACCAGGTCACCAGGTCATTTCACTTCTCTGAAAAAATGTGACAACATGACATTTTGACAACATCATGGGTTATTCAATAATTAATTATTTTTGAAGAACTGAAGGGGTCACCAGGTCACCAGGTCATTTCACTTCTCTGAAAAAATGTGACAACATGACATTTTGACAACATCACAGGATTAATGCAAAAATAAATTCAAATCATACTTTATAAAGCTTCATTCACAGGTATTTCATCGTCAGTAAATGATTCCTCATTATCGTTTGGTTCAATTTGTTTATATAATCCTTTCATTTCTTCTTTCAAAACATAACACCATGTTTGTTTATCGTCTATTCTTCTATGTTTCCTATCACATTTATCCTTAATGCTCATTTGAAAGTTTTTGTCTTTCATGTCTGATGGTTTGCAGAATAGAGCATTTTTACACGTCATACCTGCACATAATTCATCATAATGTGTATTTATCCATTCATCTAAAGGATTTGTTGATAACTCGATTAAATCTTGTTTGGCTTCAGTCATCGGAATGATTCGTACATTAAATGATGAAAGGTCATATTGCATAAAATATGTTAAAAGGTTATCATAAAATTCCTTTGTGCATGAATCCATTAAATTCTTGAAGTAATCAAATTGACCCTTGAATTTACCATTAACTCTTAAAACTACGTATCTTCTGTCTCCAACTTCAATTTTGACAGGGTAAACGTTATTAGTTACGAAAATGAAGTTTGCAACATTCTGAGCAGTTCTTCTAGGTTGATTCTTTTCATTAATTCTAATCTCATTATCCGTTATAATTGATTTCAAAGCGTTGAAGTTTGCGAGTCTGTCTTCACCTACATTCTTGAGTTCATTAAGTACAAGAAACATTTTATTTCAACTACTGAGTTGAAATTACCCGTTAGCTCACTTATTTCAGTAATGTTTTTACATGAATAACCAGCGAGAAGTTCAGAAATAATATCTGTAAATCTGTTTTTACCTGTTCCCTGAAGTCCTTTCAAAATAATTGCTGTTTCATTCTTGATTCCAGGATGTTGAATCATTGATGCAATCCAGCCGAGAAGGTATTTATACACTTCATCGTTATTATCACAAATGGCTTCTTTAATGAAATTCATAAACATCTCAATTTTTGAGTAATCAGGCTTTTCAAGAATGTTGTATTTATAACCTGAAACGTTGAGAAAACATCTGGAGAATCAGATTTAAAGCAAACACCCTTAACGGTTAATGAAGACAATTGATTTAGTAGTACATCCCATGCTGTTATGGTTTTACCTTCTTCTTTAAATAATTTAATCATTTTGAGTGACTCTTTCATGTTTGACTGAAGAACAAATGATATTTGATTCATTTTGTCGTGTATGTTGTAATCTTTCTGAATGAAGTATTTGTTTCCACAATCTACAAAACGAATTACACGTGATAAATCCTCAATTACTTCAGAACTGTTTTTATACTGATGATTTTCAGCCCTGCGTCTAATATCTGTTATCAAAAACGAGTCATCAAGTTTGATATCAAATGTTATTTTTGGCTTACGTAATAAAGGTAAAACATATTCATCATAATATTCCTTTTGATAAAGTTTTAGAATCTTCACTAAAACAAATGGAGAAGTCATTAAATGTGCATATCTACTACGTGCTTTTTCAAAATTACTTTTTGCATTTTCTGTTAAACTGCAGAAGTTATAAACGTTCTCGTATGCTTCATTAATTAAATGATTAGGTAACGAATTAATAGCTTGAAACAGTGTGAATAATGTTATTTCTTTTTCTAAATTCATGTTTCCACCGTCATTATGTACTTCAAAATCACAGATGCCATCAACTATGCTCTGAGCTAGTTTATCGTCAATGTTTACATCTTTGTTTTCATTCATTATACTCTTTATTTCTTCGCTTTCTGTTCAACTCTTACCTTAATATTCAAATCATTTAATATATCATTCACTGTTCTAGTTAATGTTGAATCATAACTTCCACGAATGAATGAGTATGTATTGATTGGTTCTGTTGCATTCTTTCGAACTCTTGAATCAGCCATAACCACTAAAGAACGTTTTGAATCATCCATAGAAGTCATTATGTCAATATCATAATCATTGCAGGAATAACATTTAATCATTCTGTTCGAAACTGCATAGAAGAAATTAGTGTTGCAATAAATGTGAAGACCTCCTGAAGCGGTTTTAACGATAACATCTTTATCCGAAAGTTTTGATAAAATGTCTTTTCTAACTGTTTCTTTAAGTTCATCATTGTACGATTTATTGATATCAACATCTATAATCGTTAAATTTGAAATTTTATTTACTAATAAAGCTGTACCAGTTTTCCTTCCTCTTCCTCCATCATGTTTGAGGTAGTTATGTAAATCAATCATGTTTTCACCAATTCTTTCGTTGAGGGTTTTAGTTTCTGCCACAACTAATTCCTCAACTAATGAATCAATAACTTTTTCATCAGAAACGATAAAGTTGCTGTTGTTGTTTGTTGCCGTCATTTATATAGGAATAAAAAAATAAAAATAATTTTAAAACTAACTTTATTTTTGGACTGCATTCAATAACTGATGTTGTCAAAATGTCATGTTGTCACATTTTTTCAGAGAAGTGAAATGACCTGGTGACCTGGTGACCCCTTCAGTTCTTCAAAAATAATTAATTATTGAATAACCTAAAAACATTAACGTAAATATATTTTTGGTCGTTTATGATAAAAATAAATGGTTCATTTACTCACAATATTTTGTACAAAACGACCCCAAACTTTTAACTTCTTTTCTGCAGCTTCTAATGCTATCTTAGCGAGTTCATATTCTCTAAATTCTCTCTTTAAATCTTCTTGTTCCCATTGGTCTAGTTCGTATGAAGAATCTCTATAACCATAACATATCTCACCTTCATGTTCTAATTGTTTTTCATGCATTTTTTCTAACTTCTTGTTCGAACAAAGGTTTAGCATTTTCAACTGTATCTTCGAGTTCTTCTTCATCTAACTTCTCATGAACTTTCTTGTCTATGGAGTCCATAATTTTTCCAACTGCTATGCAATATTTTGGAGAAGCCCACATTGCTATATAGTTTATAAGTCTTGGGTCTACATACGTTCCTCTAACCTGTTTGATTTCATCAGGAATTCCTGCATGAATTTTGTATAAAAAGCAACCGCCGGAATTCAGACGGTTGCTATATTCTTCACAAAATGCCTTATAATACTCTTCCCAGGACTTATTTTCCAACAACTTTCTAAAGTCTTTCCTAAACTGCTGACACATATTTGTTGCATTAATGTAACCATCCTTGTCTCTACGTAAGACTTCAATACCATTATAAGTGCCTTTTGTGAATGTTTCGCCATTAGATTTGTTCGTGAATGTTTTTGCTTCGACTGACATTTCTGTTCTTACATACAAATAAAAAAATAAAAATAATTTTAAAACTAACTTTATTTTTGGACTGCATTGAATAACCCATGATGTTGTCAAAATGTCATGTTGTCACATTTTTTCAGAGAAGTGAAATGACCTGGTGACCTGGTGACCTGGTGACCCCTTCAGTTCTTCAAAAATAATTAATTATTGAATAACCCATGATGTTGTCAAAATGTCATGTTGTCACATTTTTTCAGAGAAGTGAAATGACCTGGTGACCTGGTGACCTGGTGACCCCTTCAGTTCTTCAAAAATAATTAATTATTGAATAACCCATGATGTTGTCAAAATGTCATGTTGTCACATTTTTTCAGAGAAGTGAAATGACCTGGTGACCTGGTGACCTGGTGACCCCTTCAGTTCTTCAAAAATAATTAATTATTGAATAACCTAAATCATTTACTCACAATATTCTTGTACAAAACGACCCCAAGCTTTTAACTTCTTTTCTGTAGTTCATCCATTACTTCATTACCTAATTAATTACAGACATAAAATATATTTAGTTCATTCGGTAAGCCTAAACCCTTTGGGTTAAGTGTGTTCATTGAACTCTATACCATGCGAATACAGTCATAAATGGTGGCATGTATTCTTTACTTTGTCCCGTTGTTTGTGTATATCCTGAAACGAAATGTGTATGGTTTCCTTCTCCCTGAGTGTCACTCCAGTAACAATTTATGGCAAACTTAACGTCGTCTTTAACATCATATCCTTTACCTTTTGTCATTCCTGACCAATCCCAATATCTATGCTTATGCCAACCTGCTTGAGATGTGCTTAAATCTATGTAGTGACTATGTGCGGGTAAATTTTCACCTGAAATCGTTTTACTTCCCCCTGTTTCCTTTGAAGAGTTTGCACAATACAAAAACCTGTCAACTATTTGTTCCCATGCACCAACACCAAACATTACTTGAGGACCTCTTGCATCCATAGATGTATAAATAGAACCTACTGGGTTCATTAAATCAAACATATGAGATATTATAGGATTGTCTCTTTTGAACTTAAAATATAGTGTAACTATTTCAGGTTTCTTCTGGTTTGTGTCAGAATATTTTTATAATATAATTTTATGTTTTCAGGGTAGGTAAAATCTTGACTATAATATTTATTTCTGTCATCTGTATAATAATATACTATTCTCGTTTTTTCTATTGCATTATATCTTTTATATCTATAATAATCTAAATATAATGTTAACTTTTGTTCATCTACATGTGGTGTTCTGACATCATCTCCATAGTCATAATAATATGGTGCTGGAGCTGGGTCAGGCAATGTCATATCTGCCATTTCATAAACTCTTAAATATTTCTTTTGTTCGTCTCCATATAAGTTTAAGTAGCAGTTGTTGTCTAATGGAACTTTAACTTGTGTGCCATCATTCTTTTTATAACTTACATACATTTCATTGTTATTTTTCGGAATGAGTTTCCACCGTATACCATTTTTTAAGGAGTGTACAAACTGCCATCTAAAATATTTATTTTCTTCATTGACAGAAAAGTCGCCAACAATAGTTTCAATATTTTTGTTCCTATCAAACTTTGGTATATTTCGTTAACATATGTTTTATCTGCCTTCTTCCCTAACTCATCGTTAACATATGTTTTATCCGCTTTAAGGTCTAAACATCCTGAAACCCATCCTGTATCAGCTTTAGTTTTTAAAATCTTTGATGTCCATTCATGATACCATTCAACCATTTCTTTAATTTCATTATCTTTTTCATCCACATATTCCTTATCTGCCTTCTTCTCTAACTTACTAGCCACATATTCCTTATCCGCCTTCTTCTCTAACTCATCATCAACATATGTTTTATCCGCCTTCTTCATTATGTCATTTAGGAAACCTTCTATGAATTCCTCATTTAAATTAAATCTTCCAATCTTCAAAACTTTAGGAAATGCATTTAATGCGTAATATCTCTGTTCTTCTGGTGGAATTGATGTTATATCATCCGTTATACCTTTAATTTTAGAATTCATAAATAAAATTTCTTTTATATTTGATATCACTGCACCACCTTTGCAAACGAATTCGAAATGTTCATTAGAATGGGATTAAATTTACCACTCACAGAAACGAGAGTAACATTATAAATTCCGCTAACTGTTAAAATTAATTCACAGCTATTATTCGAAATAATATTGATAATTGACATTTTTATTACGATTAAAAATATGGTAAAGCGTTATTTTCCAGTGATAAATAAAACTAGAATAAGATTACCTCAAGAATTCATAAATTCAACGAATAAGAAATTCATTCATGTTATAAATTTTAGTGTTTTCAGAAAATATGAGTCAATGTCATATTCATCATCGGGTTATATTTCACTTCATTCAAATTTAGTTCAATCAAACCCATATAATGACCATTTCATAAGATTT